CGCAAGAGACTTTCAGTTACATCTCCAACAACAACAACAACAACAACAACAACAAGAGTTCTTTCTCCATCATCACCAGCAACAAAGAAACCAAACCGATCAAGATGATCAACAAGGAGGACTAAACAGACAAATCAAGATAAATCGTGAAGAGACAAGCGACAACATAGACAACATCGCTAACAACAGCGGCAGCGAAGGTAAAGACATAAGCTTGCACGGCGGTTCAGGAGAAGGAGGAGGCGGCGGCGGAGGAGGCTCCGGAGGAGATCAGATGACAAGAAGACCAAGAGGAAGACCAGCTGGATCCAAGAACAAACCAAAACCACCGATCATCATCACGCGTGACAGCGCAAACGCGCTAAGAACCCACGTGATGGAGATTGGTGACGGCTGCGATCTAGTCGAGAGCGTGGCGACTTTCGCACGCAGACGCCAACGCGGCGTTTGCGTTATGAGCGGTACTGGAAACGTCACGAACGTCACCATACGTCAGCCTGGATCTCCATCTCCTGGCTCGGTGGTTAGTCTTCACGGAAGGTTCGAGATTCTCTCTCTCTCAGGCTCTTTTCTTCCTCCTCCTGCTCCTCCTACAGCCACCGGATTGAGCGTTTACCTCGCCGGAGGGCAAGGACAGGTTGTTGGAGGAAGCGTGGTGGGTCCTTTGCTGTGTGCTGGTCCTGTGGTGGTTATGGCGGCGTCTTTTAGCAATGCGGCGTACGAGAGGCTTCCTTTAGAGGATGATGAGATGCAAACGCCGGTTCACGGTGGAGGAGGAGGAGGAGGTTCGATGGAGTCGCCGCCGATGATGGGAGGACAACTGCCACATCAGCAACAAGCTATGTCGGGTCATCAAGGGTTGCCACCTAATCTTCTTGGTCCGGCTCATCAAGGATTACCACAACATGATAATCAGTCTTATTGGTCAACGGGAAGACCTTCGTATTGATCATGTCGTAGCTAGTTATACTTATATGTGTATATTTATAGCTAGCTATAACGAAGAATCACGAGCTTATCAACGAATAAGACTATGAATTTAGTCGAGGATATGATGTGGTGGATAAGGATTCTATCGAGCTTCGGTATATTTGGGTCAACATTCATAAGATGAATCCCGTTTTTTTCACTCTTAGTTTTGTTTCTCGGTTCGTTTTAGTTGGTACGTAGATATTTCTATGTTGATTTGAGTTACATTTTCCTTTGTTTCTTGAGAGTTTCATTGCTAGTAATTTGCGTTTACTTTGTGGGATTGAATTGGCTCTAATTATTGTTTTGTTTTTGTTATCAACATTTTATGGTGTTTCTTTTTTTTTCCCCCGAAACTTCTTATAGTTTGTAGCACATTCTTAATATGGATTTTGGAACTATTTGGATACATACGACCTAATTTATATGACAGGGTTGTTAGTGTTCCAAGTTTGAGTTTTCCATCGGGAGAGATGGTTTAAGCTTTATAGACTTTCACGTATATTTAGTTATTTACCGTAGAAATAGAGTTAAGTAGGTCATAAAAATTATGATTCTAAATATATGAATTTAGCTATGTAGTATAGACAACATATATTATATATATATTAGCTCATCATTATTATATATAACTCGGGCTAATCAAAGTTATAATACTGTTGTCTGTGTCAACGGATGTGAATATATATGCTTAGATTGTACTATACTACATCGCTTACATTGAAGTGACTATAAAGTTCAAGGAACTTTCCAAAATGAGAAAGGTATTGTTATTGTAATTATAATTGCGATGAAAGCATTAAATTCTTCTGTAAGTAAAAACACTTTATAATGAGAGGTTTTCATCTCCTCATCAATCATTACGGATTTCCAAACATCAATAAGCGTATGTGGATAATGATGACCGTAATTAATTATTAATTACACGATACTATGATAGTGAATGATACGCCTATGTCCTTTACTCGGATCCGTATTCACAATGTCTCACATAAACACACACAAATGGTGATTTGAATAAGAGGGTTTTTAGTGAAAAAACCTCTCAACTAAGTTTGAATCGGATAGAAATCCCTCAACTATTTTTGTAATGCAAAAACCCCTTAACTAAAATTTCGTAATAATTTAGCAATTTCGTGAATAGTACCGTCAAATCTTAACGGAGACAGTTAAATGAAAACATGGTGTTTTGTATTTTATAAAAAAAACGAAATGACTTCAATAAAAGAAAACCCAAAATTGATTTGAAACTAAAAATCTCCAATTATAAATTAGGGTTCCTCATTCAATTTGAAAATCTCTTAAATTCTTCTTCTAAGTAAATTTGTTGGAAGAAGAAGAACAAGGTTTTAAAGATCAAAGTAAAACAGTTGCCTCATCTTCTTCCAAACTTCAGATTTGTGATTTTTTCTCCTATTTCTCCCAATTTGCGAAAATATTTCTCTCAGTTCAAGAGATTTTCTCTCTAATTCGTTTTAATCAACACAACAAATTATTTCTAATCTCACCCAATTGACTTCCAAACTATAAAAACTACTTAGAATCACACTTTCAAATATTAGAGTTCATCAATTTAGGTTTAAGAATTTGGAAATTATAGAGATTAGGTTTAATTTGGAATTCTTATATCTGGTTTTTAAAAAGCTTGTTGTTTATAGTAAAAATCATGTAGTTTTTGCTAAAAAAGAATGATTTCTTAAGATTTGACGGTGCTGTTCACGGAGGAATTAAATCATTACGAAAACTTAGTTAAGAGGTTTTTAGTTTAAAAAAATAGTTGAAGGGTTTTTTTTTATCCGATTCAAACTTAGTTGAGGGTTTTTTTTCACTAAAAGTACATGTAAAGAAAGATATATACATCATATTAACATCATATACCATCAATGACATGTATAGATAAGTACATGATATACATTATTAAATGATTAAACGAAAACGCTACTATATAATTTTATAAAAGAAAGCTGCAATACCGGCGGTCTAAACGGGAGACTAACAATTTACGAGAAAAAATAAAGAGGTATGGGTGCTTTATTTGCATGTTCTCTCTACACATATATATATATATATATATATGCTCTTTATAGTGCAATTAACAGATATTTGTGTGTGTATATGTGAGACATTGTGAATACGTACGTATACATGTATGCATATAAGTGGATAAGGAGACTACATTTGTTCAACAGTTGCCTCACACGTGCGCTTGCTCGTGAATACCATGTTCCTTTCGGGACTACCAGCTACTTAATTATACTCTTCTTTATGCATATAATATGGCGTATGTGTAAATGACAACTATATACAGACTACAGAGCTTGTTAGCAAAAAATATATAAAAAGGAACGATAAAATAGTTATAAAACATGTAAATAAAAGTAAGTAGACGAGCACTACTAGGCTAGACTTGTGAAATACAAGTCAATATTCATCGAGTGTCCCAGTGGCGAAATATAATGTGGATTCGGATTAAGATTCAATTCATTTTTTGACTAAATGAGTGAATATCTCTATGGATAAAAGAAAAGTACGATTAAGGGCCTGTTATGGGGGTGGGCTACGATTAAAGGCCTGTTATGGGGTGGGCTCGTTACTAAAACAAACAAAAATGTTCACTCCACAGAGCGTAAACAACACGCGTCTGATTATGCGAGACTCGTTTTCTTTTAGTTTCTTCTACTTTAAAGTGCCAACTAGATTCTAACTCGTGCATCCGCATGGAAATATTTTTTTATTGTTTAACAAATTTTGTAATATAATTTGTGTTTTTGAGTTTAGATATAACTTTTTTATAAATATATTTTTAATAAGTGAAAATATTGATTTTTGTGTTTAGATATATTTTTATAGTATTAAAATTAATTCTGATTATAAATATATAATTTTAACCCATCCGCTAATATTAATTCAAAATAAACTATTATAAAAACATAATTCTAACTTTTTCGTTCATATTACCGTATAATATAAATATTTGTTAAAAGTTCGAGATGTATTAACAGTATTATTTAGCATTATAGTTTTCTAAAATTTAATCAACGAAGGGAGTGTACAACTGGTTTTTCAAACCACATTATAGTGTATGCAATAATTTTTAATTTTTTATGTTTTGATTTTATATGAAAAATATATTTTCGATATACATGTATAATTTAAAATTAGTGATTTTAGTTACCAAAATATTTTTAACCCAGTTTTTATATATATTTTTAATTCTATAAATTTTAAAAAATATATTTTTAATATTTAAATTATACATTTGAATTTTACCTATTATTTTATTATTAATTTGTAAATAAATCATAATCATAATTATATTATATAAGCAACATAAATATCAATATCATTTACATCATTATAAATATTTTATATTTCAAATATGATCATTATTTTTCATATGTGAATTATTTTTTTCAAAAATTATAGATATTTTTGATAAAAATGTTTAATAGTATAGAAATTATTTAAATTAGAAATTTTAAATCAAATCTAAATTAATATCTGATTTATTATTTTTAATCAGATCAAATCAAATCTAAATTACCTATATTTAAGGAACTCTAAAATATTTAAATTAATAATTAATTTTCGAAATTAAATATAAATAATTATTAAAATTATTTTTAAACAATTAAAAAAATTTAGGAATGTTTGGAAGCAATTACTAAATGTGCTTCTGTTTTAATATAATAGATTATTTATTTTTTATATTTTATTTTTTTGCTGAAATGGGAAAAACAATTTTGGTCAAAAGGTTCGAGAATCGTCAGATTTTTAGCTGTGTGTGTGTCTCATTTTGTATGTTCTTTTTCTTTAAAAAAATCTCATGTTGTATGTTGGTTCCACATATAAGATAATTATACTAAATGCAAAAAGGAAATCCATACAAGAAATGGAATTACTAACAAATTGCAGAAAAATAGGAACAAAATCCTAATCCTGATTGATATCAGTGGTTCGCATCCAACCCTGGGATTATAAAAGCTCAGAAACCCTAATTTAGATATTGCAAAGAGAAGGAAATTTTAGCAATGGAAAGGCCAAGCAACAACACCGCACCACATGATCATTTAGTGACAGAGATACTAGCGAGACTACCATTGAGAAGCATCTGGAGATTCAAATCGGTTTGCAAAACATGGAAATCAACAGTTGAATCAGAGTATTTCCGGCGTCTCTTTCTGTCTCTGCACCAAAACAGCTCTCGCGGTTGGTCACTACTGCTGCTCGACCATATAGAGCTCATGGACTTGCATAGATGCAAGACATGGGATCTTCCAAAGTCCTTTGCCTCTTATATTCACAAGAGTAAAAAAGGAGGTCAACTATTCGAGTACCAGGCTTGTACCAACGGATTGGTTTTTGTAAATGCAACTCAGAACTCTTCCTATGTGGGCAATCCAGTATTACAACAGTGGGTTCGTATCCCTCCTCCTCCATATCCATATGTAACTCTTCCGTTTGGTTTGGTGACGCGCGTGGACGAGGAGGACGGAGTTGTCCTGAGCTTCAAAGTGGTTAGGATTGCTGCACACGTTCCCAAGAGACACCAATCAGTGACTTATTTGTGTCTCTGTGTGTATTCCTCTGAGACAGGGGTTTGGACTACCAAACGACTTGATTGCCATCATTACTTTACCAACATGGCTCCTACTATGTCTCTCAATGGTACACTTTATATATCCCCATCAGGTTTTGATGATGCTCTTCTACCAGGAGCACTTGTAGCTCATGATTTCTATGGTGAATCAGATCGTTGTCGTGTTATACCTCTCCCCGATCATAATCTGGACCACAACCGTTTGTTCAAAAGAGCCTTGACTTGTTCCAACGGATCTGTCATGTATATCAAAACATTACTTCATGATCTTTTGAAGGTTTGGATGTTGACCAACAATGATGATGATGATGATTCTTCTTCCTCAGAGTGTTGGCAGCTTCTGTGGGAAATCCGCCTCCCGTTTATCTCTTCTGACGACGATATCCTCTACTATGCACCCCTGGCAATGAATCCTTTTGATCGCAATCTTGTCTACTTATGGAGTCTACATAACCGTTATTTGTTATCATGTAACTTGAAGAGACAAGACTACAAAATCTTGATAGGAGACGAATCCGAAAGGTATGTTGATGATGATGATCTTCAAAATTGTTTCGTCAACCAGTCTACCTGTGACAAGTATATGGAACAAGTGATATTTGGACCATGCTCAGACCCAATCTATGGAATTCACGTTGCTGTTTTCCATAACGTGCTCCCACGGTGGATAAGACCGCTGCCTTGTCCTCCCCAAGTTGAGATGATAGACACAACTTCACTACTCTCTTACATTGCTTCATCGCCGGAACAAGAATAGATGCAAAGAGGGGGTTTTGTGATATAGATTTGGATCTTCTTTGTCCTTGTTGGAAAATGTTATGTTATTCATTCAATGCAGTTTTTTTTTCCCTCCCCAATTGTGACTTTGTTTTGCAATCAGGACTAATATGATCATCTTGTTTAAGTAACCTCAATGATAGATTTTATGCATCCAAAGTCTGCTTATCTGTTTTTTCCTTTTTCTTTAACTTGTTACAATGTAAATGGTTTAGGAGTCATTGAAGCTTATTCTTTTTTAAGAGGGTACCACATTGACTAGAGGAACTCATTATATTAGCCTAAGGTCATCAAAATGAATTAGAAGAAATCTAGAAACGACCTTTTGATTCTGTCTCTCAGTAACACCAATGATCAAGTTATCACCAAAGAAAATGTGGGGAGGGTTTCATTTCTGCATTTCTGATTAAAAACTTGCTATAAGCTTTTTATAAGGATAGAGTTAATGGTTTAGTGGTTTGTTTGTTTCTGCAGCTTGCAAAAATGTAACGGGACGTTTCCTGTGGCTGACATGTTCCAGAGAGGTACTTGGAAGTTTTAGTCATGCCCTGCCTTAGTACAAGAGGACGAGTAATAATTCAGTGACCATTTAGGTTATTGGCCTGCAACAAATACGAGATCTATATGACGGCCAGGCTCCACTGTTCAAACAAGAGACTAAGTTTTTACCAGGGTGAATTTCTAACTGGGAATTGTACAAAACTAAAACAACTTGGGAGAGAGCGACATTGATTGTCTCTTCTAACCAGTTCAGTGGCGCACTTTATGTCTTGGATTGTTCGCGTGCGGTAGCTTCTTTGCAAGTGGTTTCAAAAGAGCTTTCAAAGTCAAGTTGGGTTTAAGATGCTATGTAGTATATAAACCCTCATAATCTATGCAACATTGATTCAGTGTTACGTTCCTTCAGACATTGGTGATATATCAATCCCGGGCATGGTGGAATTTCACTACAAAAAATTCGCTGGATAACTTCATTTTGATAACGTTATTTTGTAAACCAACTTTAACATTCTTAAAAAGATGGATTTTAACGTCTGTTTGTTAACCGACTTTAACATTTTAATTATCTAACGTTAATTGGATCTATTAACAAAAGCCCATTATCTAACATTTCAATTGGATCAATTAAGAACAATGCCTTTTTTTTATTATTTTTTTTTTCATTCCCAATTCTTTCTGAGTTTTACGAAACGAAAATTGGGAATCCATTTCCACAGCTTCAAATCCTGTTTCATTCATCGATTTCAGAAATTGGCAATTCTCATCGATTTTGTCTTTCAAATCGTTTGAAATCAATCGTCCAAAGGCACACATGCGGGCAGATCTACATCGAGTTTCATAAGCTTTCTTCTGTAATAGCTCGACAGTAAAGGTTTTTTCTGTAGAAATTTGCTGCGTTTTGATGATGATGATGATGATCAAATCGATTCCTTTGTGATCTTCGACCAGGTAAGTTTAGTATCTTCTCTTGAATCAATCTGTCAGTTGAATTTTGTTTTGAATAGATTGCGTTCTGATGAGATTTCCTTTTGATTAAATTATATTTTGATCTCAGAAAAATTTGATGCTTCTCATTTGAATGTCATTCCTTAGACGTGTTAGCTAACTTTTCAGAGATAAACTCTCTTTTTTATGATAGACTATTGTAGTTTGAATCTATAAGAACTGTAAGAGATTGGTGTGTTGAATTTTTATGATGAACTTGCTCATTTTTCAAAGATAAACGTTTTCAGTTCAAGAGCTATTTCATTACTTTTTTGCTTCACCTAAATTTGATGCTACTCATTTAAATCTCTTATGATGCCATTCCTTGGACGTGTTAGCTCAATTTTGATAATTGGGTTTCCTTATTAGTAGTCTGAATTTAGAATGGGCAAGTCTCGGATATCTAAACATCGTTTATCTCAAGACTACATAAGTGGAGTCACAGATTTTTTGGATTTTGCTTTTGGTAATATACCCATGAGGGGACTTTGTTGTTATGATTGCTTTTGGCGCTTTTGTACTGAGTTTTCATGATTCATTCTACTCTTGATTTTCCCACGATCTGATACTGTTGCAATCGTTATTTGAATAAGAAGCCTTTTGTTTTAACAAGGCATTGGTTTGGTCGGCTGATGGTGTTGTTTAATGAATATTACGAGTAGGTGCTTCACATGGACATGAATGATTACTATGGTGGAGAAACAACATCGCTTAATCTCAATCAGGTTCTTCTATCTGATTTTCTGTAAATGCTCTGTAGTACAGTTTATCATTAAGAACTTTTCTTTATGTTGATGGTTTTTTTTTTGTTTCCAGCTTTAGAAGAATTTTAAGGGAGAAGAGAAGGCTCCTGAGAGGGATTACAATGTGATGGACCAGTTTATGATGGGTAATGGAAAACTTGTCCATGTCCTTATCCACACTGATGTTACTAAGTATTTGTCCTTTAAAGCTGTTGATGGAAGCTATGTTTTCGTCAAAGGAAAGGTACAAGCTTCTCATTGATGTATAGGTTTCACTGACTCCTTTGGAGGCCCTGAAACTGGTATGTTATTCATCCATAGCTTCTGGTTCCTTCTTGCAAGTTTGTTTGTTTCATTGTTGATGTGAGGAGATTGTTTATAAATGCTTCAGCTAGGATTTGAATATGATTGTCTCAAGTTTGTTAGATTTGTTCCTTCTTGCAAGTTTGTTTGTTCCATTCTCGATATGAGCAGATTGTCCCGATGCCTTGGTTAGGATTTGAATCTGATTCATTGTTTTCTTTTCACATATTGTTACAGTCTATTTGGTGATATTATGTAATCGTCGCTTTATTTAATTTCAGGCTAATTAAAGCAGCATCTGGAGAAGAAGTGTACAAACAATAATCATGAAAACAGTACAGATTATACAATACTGTATAACAAAATTGTATCTTTCATATTATGGTGTTAGTGACATTTGTATTTGGAGCCGATTTATATTCTATGTAAAATCATATTCGAATCCCATGTAGAGAATGGAACCTGATTCATTAATATTTCTTTAGGACTTTTGCGTATATCTTATTAGTAAGATATATTCCATATTTCTAAATTGTATATTTTGCTTTATAGGTAAGTACTCATTTTCCTTCTTGTATAAGGTAAACTAGCCTAAACTAACCGAGGGTTACATTAATCCAATAACAAAGAAATTTGGATCAAGATACAAAAAACCTTTTTACACATCAATCAAAAAGCTACACAGCTAGTGTCAAGTAATGTAATGTAACCGATATCAAACCATGCAAAACCAAAAACTAAAAGTCTTCCCCAAAACCATACCGCACATGCTCGCTTGTGACATACATCACCTTAGTTTTCATGGCTTCGTAATCCTCATATACAGGAAGATGTAGGCTGTAAAGGCAGGTCTGAGCTGACGGGTAATCCAGACTTCTTCCAAACGATTTGGAGATGGTAAGACGTGGGAGGCCTTTGAAGCCATCCCTCGGTAAGAACCTGGTCGCTGTCCAGAACCACAACAAGTCATGGCGCTCTTGCTGGCTCATTCCATTCACAATCTGAAACAAGAAAACACAAAAACTCAATCACAATCATTTTCAAACCAATCACCAAAGAGAACAGTTCAGACTATACCTTCCAGAACCAACAGATTACTTCATCTGTTCCCTCAAAGTTTTCATAATCTGTATACTTTTTCCACTCATCTACACATATTGACTCTTCTTCTGACCCATGCATCATTGAATCAAGGTCCTCTAGAGTCAGAAAACTCAGAAACAGAGAGGTTGTGGCCTCTGTAGAAAGCATATCTTCAAATCCACATGAAAAACTATAAATTTGATCCTTGAGCTGTGTTACATAATGATACTCCATCCACATATCTATGTAACTGTCTCTGTTCTCACTTGTCACAGCTATATTTTGGGCATTGGAGCACAACTGATCAAAATTCAGACCAAAACAATCTAAAGATTTGAATGTATCAGCATCCATATCTAGCATATCTCTGAAACTCTTGTGCAGCTTCTTGTCAGTTAGAATAAGATCTTGCCAAGAAATTGTTTTGCCAGATAACTGTTTGAAAAACAGAGGATCCAAGAGAACACCTACTACAATTTCGTGCTTCAAGGCTAGAGATAGGATGCGCCCTGCAAACCTAAATAACTCCTTGTCTTCTACAGTGGATTGTGGGTTGGGAGAGAACCGTCTGATGTCATCAGTTGAAGTCAGGAAGAGCTTTTTGTCAGAATCAAACACTTGGTTGCAAACCAAAAAGAGCCACTCCCGTAAAACACCATATCCTTGAGATTCTTCATCTTTAAACTGTACTGATATGCCACCATGGAAAAGAGAAAGGCTAGCATCCATTATCTGCCTCACTGATTCTTCCAGGAGGTCTTTGCGATGAACATTGATCTCGATCTCATCAACTTCTCCTAAGCCGAGAGGAAACAGCATCTTAATGAGGTGGTGCTTGACGTCAAAATTTGTAAACTCCTTGAGCTTCAAGACCCAACCAAGATCGTCTTTTGTGGCAAAACATGTAACGAGGGTGCAGAATGCATCTGTCCTGGTTTTTAGAACTCCCTCAAAACGTTCCTTGAGATCCTCATGTGATTCAGATACTGAAACAAGCTTCTCCAGAGTTGAAAGATACGGTGCCCACGTCTGAGGGAGAGATTCGATAATTATATCTCCGGAATCGTGTTCATGCAATGTACATTCTGCAATACCAAGAGCAACTTTCGTTGTAAACAGCAAATCCTCTCCGCTGTAAGTCATGTAGAGGAACCCATCTTCATCTTTGTGCTCTTCATAGATTGCAGACATCAATGCAGCTGTTAAGAAACCAAAAAAAAAGAGAGAATAAGACCAGGGTTAATGGTAAGGAAATAACGAAACTTTGATCTTGAATATTGGTGTACGAGTTTAGAGCCCTACTAGTTGGAATCAGTGTGTTCTTGAGAAAGAAAAAGATGGCTTTCTCGGCTCCAAGATCGGTTTCTCTACGAAAGTTGCTTTCAACTTGGCCAAGGGTAATAGCTAGTGGAATAAGGAGCCTAAAGAAAGTGGAAGAACGTTTTTATTGAGCAAAGACTATGATAGCAGAAAGAAGAGAAAAGAAGAGCCGATACTCACTTCGTCTTGTTCATTTCATGAACATGACTATGTTCATTCCTTTCCAAAATCACCTGCAATAACAATGGGTAAATCAAATTAAGAAAACCCACAAGAAAGAAATAAAGTAAAAGATGATCAGAATCGATTTTACAGGAATTTTTCCTGGGTGCTTCTCTCTCAAATTTGCAGATTTACGTTTCCTTGTCGCTGAAGAAAACAAGAATTGAGACAAAAATCTACTTTAACGACAACTTGCACAATAAACTAAAGAGATTAAAAATTTCAATAGCCAACCCAGACTTAAAGAATTGAAATTCTCAGCCATGTCTCTCAAGAACACAAGATTCAAATCGCTTCCCGTTAGTTCTCTGTTTTCTATAAAGAGATTTTTGTTTTCAAATCCTAAACAAACCCTAATACGTGCACTAGCCAAACCGAACCGAATAAACCGGTTATTCATAAAAAAATCTAAAAAATTAATTGGGTTTCAGCAAAACCTGAACCGAATAAAACTGTAAACCGGATTGCCCATTCTCAGCCATGGCGATTGCTTCAACCAGTGTTATCTTCTGCTGCGCGAAACCCGATTTCCGGCGAATTCCGTCCCGGAGCCATTCATACTCTCCTCTCGAAAGTCGGATCCGGAGCCGTAGCTTAATCAGTGACCCAATTTCGCTGTCGGGTCTTATCGGAACCGGTTTGGTCGCGGCTGCGTTCGTCGCGGCGGGACCAGAGACTAGTGCTACTGCGGCGGTGGAGCTAAGCGAGCCGGCTAATGCCTTGTCTTTACTCACTTGGGCCGTTCATGTTTCCAGCGTTGTTGAATGGTTTCTCCCATTCTTCCTTTCCCTAAATTGATTCAAATTTCACCAAGAACATATAGTGCATTTGATCAATTGAGAGTACCTTTTGTTGTGGATTTTTAGAGTTTTGATATCTATCAATAATTGTTGTGCTAAAATCAAACCGTATTGAGAAGCTTCATCTTCATTTTGTCTTGTGTGACCAGTCTAAAAAATTGAGACTTTGCATTATGGAATTGATTGTGATTGCGTAACGTATTTTAGGGCCAGATGTTGAGATTGACTTTTGCATTTGGAGTAAACAAACGAGAAAATCTAGTTTCTCTCCTAAATTTTGGTGCTGTTTGTATGTTGCCTTAGCTTCATCCTCATTGTGTTTTGTGTGGTCAGTCCTCAAAACTGAGACTTTTTGCATTACGGAACCTGATGGAGAGATTGGCTTTTATATGCATTTATTTGGAGTTAACAAACAAGAAAATCTAGTTTCTTCCAAAAAATCTGGTTCATTTGGTATTTTGCTTTGTATTGATATTTAATACTTAAAGGATTACAGCGATGGCATTGGTATAGAAAGGGTTACGAGTCTTGGAAAGGTCTCTCATGGGCCATGGTTAGAGCTCTAAGCTGCAAGGAATCTGAGAGACTTCTTCTTGTCTATGATTTTGTCCGTAATACAAGTCTTGATCGGTATATATAGTCTCTCCTTTCTATGACTTTACGTTGTTCCTATAAAACTCCTCTGTTTCAGTTTCTTTCCTCTACTAATGAATTCAAATCAATAACACATGAAAAAATCAAACCAAGAAACAACTTCAATCGATTCACTTTATTATGGAACCAAATTTCATCCTCTTTTTCCGTTGGAAACAATCCATTTTTAAACCATCCAACAAACCCCAAATCGATTCAAAATACAATTCAAGTAATAAGAAACCACTTCAAAGTATCTTCAGAACCTTTGAAGTTTATCTGCCTTAACAACAGGATTTGCTTTAGCAATCTCTCCACGCCCAACTTCTTTGAAATCAAAGCTGCAATCATGACTCTCCGGGTACCGATGCTCGCCACAGAAAGTGCTCCCGCATTTGCACTTAAACCCCATGATCCCAACCTTCTTGTTACAGCAAAGACACCGGTTCGGTCGTGCAGGTCTTGTCGGCTCGCTCTCATCAGGAGCTGCTGCTTCTTCTTCTCCTCCTGCGGAAGATGGCTCGGCCACCACCGCCGCAACAGCAACGGCTTCTTTTTCCTTCTCCGGCTCCGATGATGATTTCACCGCCGGTTCTGCAATGAAGAGAGTACTACGAGGAGGAGATGGCTTGAAAGATTTTTCGACAGCAGCTTTCGCAACAGCTGTTTGAGCTTCCTCTGCGCATATGCTTCTGTAGCATTTCGAACATAGTCCCATGTTTGATGGTGATCCGAAGAAACCACATCCTTTTGCACATAGCTTTGGCTCTGAAGATTGCGTGAAGCTCGTGCTATCGTTTTGTTCAGAACCCATTATTGTTCTGTACCAAAAAAAATCAAAACTTTAAATTCAAATTCCAAATTCCTGAATGTCAGAAGATCCTTTTTACGCTTTGACTTGATTCGTTTTATATAATCCAAAACAATAATCAAATAGACACAAATCTCATAGCAGATTCGTCATCAAATGACAATAAATCTAAACGGAAAAGCTGAGAATCGTGCGTTTACGAAAGAGACACAAACAAGTAGATCTGAGTTTCGGATAATGAAGAAGACAAAGGTCTTATTCAGATCGGACAAGGAAACCAAAGAACAAAATCAAATACACCATCGATCAATCAAATCGAACAAGAGAACAAAGGAGATTGTGGATTTTTACCTGTTTAGATCAAAGATTTCTTCCTTGTTCAGAGTTTTTTTGAAAAGAATTTAATCTACAAATTCACGAGATTAAACTGATCTGTCGGAAGAAAATTATAAAAAAGTAATCTTCGTTTATAGATGTAATTTGATCTGTTCTTAATCGATAAGAATTCAGAACGAAACTTTCGTTTTCGAGAAAGAAAGAGAATGAACCTATGAAGAGAGAAAAAAAACAAACACGTAACTAGGGAGGATCATACATCTGTATATATATATGGTCTGAGTCACGCACGGTTTTACTTTTTAGTTTATGCTGGTGTAATTTTCCTCTACACACGCGTTATCGTACACCTTAGTAATCTAAGCCGTTCGATTATAAAGCCCACCTAATTTGACGTTTCTAGTTTATCATCGAGCGGCTAATTAGAATAATGGTACTGTTCGTAATAATTCTCCAGATTATGAGGCAACATTGTACTTTCAGTTCCTTTCTTTTGTTTCCTTTCTTTCTTACTCTTTAAATATATACTTTTCTTTTGGTCGCTCATTTACTTTTTTTTCTTTCTCTTTTTATTAATTTTCCATTACTCTTTTTGCTAAATGACCGAAAAATTGCTGAACTTCCAAAAAAATGAAAATATAGTATAAATAACAAGAAACAAATTAACTAGTATTAGCTGTTGTAAGAATCATGTTTGTTCTGAATAAATTTTGCATTCAGTTAAAAAATATACTTTTCTTTTGGTCGCTCATTTACTTTTTTTCTTTCTCTTTTTATTAATTTTCCATTACTCTTTTTGCTAAATGACCAAAAAATTGCTGAACTTCCAAAAAATGAAAATATAGTATAAATAACAAGAAACAAATTAACTAGTATTAGCTGTTGTAAGAATCATGTTTGTTCTGAATAAATTTTGCATTCAGTTAAAAAATATACTTTTCTTTTGGTCGCTCATTTACTTTTTTTTCTTCTCTTTTTATTAATTTTCCATTACTCTTTTTGCTAAATGACCAAAAAATTGCTGAACTTCCAAAAAAATGAAAATATAGTATAAATAACAAGAAACAAATTAACTAGTATTAGCTGTTGTAAGAATCATGTTTGTTCTGAATAAATTTTGCATTCAGTTAAAAAAAAATGCATTAGTCTGACTCATTATAAATATAAAAGCAAGATCTAAGAATTTTTACTTTTACCAGAAACCTTTTATTTTAATTAAGGATATGAAAAATTAATTCAATTTTATCTGTGTCAAAGATAAAATATTACCTCAACAATGTTCCAACACAATCATTTTCTTTTGATTATAATCTAAGAAAATAAACTGAAAGATCTTTTCCCCATTTTTATAGTATATGTACTTTATAGCCATTCGAACAGTAAAACAAAAAAGCATAAAAAGTTGAAAAGTACATATACTATAAAAATGGCTATCACCAATAAAATGTTACTTGCATTTGTTCTCAGTATCTTCTCTGTCATATCTTCTGTTCACTGCGTTGAGAACATTCACGGTACTAGCTTATTGTTAGAAATTACACTACCGATTTATGAACATATTTTTTAAAACCTTTTTATGTCTATACATATTGGTTTAATAACTAGATACAGGTCTGAACAAAAAGTGAAAGAAATGCTACAGACCAGATGAGTGCACGGACGAGAAATGGAACAACACAAAGTGCACCGAGTTTTTGTGTAAATGTTTTTGGCGGTTTAGTAAGCGCCGTTCAATGTGATGCTCTGGGCATATGTTGTTGTATATCCAAGTGAGATAGCCTCATCTATGTATATCTAAGTGAAATAATCTCATCAAATAAACGTATCTCCTTTCTCTCCACTAAAAGGTGATGCATTGGTCTAACTCACCAGGAATATAATCAGGAAAAATACATTATGCAAGTATATATACATACACAAAAGCTCAAGAAACATGTTTCGTGTAATCATTATTAGAGATATAAAGGAAGATCTTTCCGCTAATACCATATTGACTACCCGCGTTACTCTTGACGATCCAGTTGTTTCTCTTACCACCATTTGACTCTCCAAGAAGGCTACACTCAGATTCCTGCAATAGGCAAACAGCAAACAAATCTTTAACAATGGTGAATTCTAATCTCATTTTTATTCAAATCACTTGTTCCATATTAAGCAAAAGCTAGCTTTTTACTTGTCTGTAGAAATGGGAAAACAGATATCCCTTGGATGTGTTTCTTTCTTAACACAGAAATGTGTTTATCCCTCACGGTTTTTCAGAGATTTCCAATTTGGATGACGACTTGTTGATTCGAAAGGCAGCGATGCACAAAGTAATATTACCAATCACAGTTAATGCTCCCTGAAGCGCGACCAACACCTAACAAAACGCAAGCCCACCATTATCACAAAGAAAAGAAGCAAGAGAATAAGCTTCTGAGCCTAATTCATTCATCAGTGTTCACCAAATGATCTGAATCACAAAACATGTCTTAGCTAAGTGGGAATGAAGAGGTTTCTTCACCTCAAGAGATTCATCATTGTAAAAGAAATGCCATGTGCATGCGCAGAGAGCTCCACCAAGCAAAGGCACCTGAACAACAGGCTCTCAGAATCGAAACCATGTAAGCTATGAAAATACAGAATCTACGAGATATCTGCTTGAATCAGCTTAGAGAGCTCTAACCATTGCCCATGAGAGACCTTTCCATGACTCGTAACCCTTCCTTTCTCCATATTTCCAAACTAACGCCATCGCCGTAATCCTTTAGAACAGTAAAACAAGTATTGAATATCAATACAGAGCAGAAAACAAACAGCACCAGAATCATGGAAGGAACTAGATTTTCTTGTTTGATCACTCCAAATCCAAATTCAATCTCAACAGCTGGCCCTAAAATACGTCATGTAATCACAAAATCATTTTCTTAATGCAAAGTCTCAATTTTTGAGACTGGTCACACAAAACACAATGAAGACGAAGCTTCTCTTGAGCACAAGAATCCTTGATAGATATCTAAATACTCGGAGAAAACCCACAACAACAGATACTCTCTTACATACTCTCTTATGTCACAATTGATCAAATGCTGTGGAATTTCAATCAATGTGAGCAAGGAAGAAGGAGAGAAACCATTCGACAACGCTGGAGACATGAACGGCCCAAGTGGGTAAAGACAACGCATTAGCCGGCTCGCTTAGCTGAAGAGAATCCACCGCCGCAAGAGCACTAGTATCCGGTCCCGCCGCGACGAATGCAGCCGCCACCAAACCGGTTCCGATAAGACCCGACAGCGAAATCGGGTCATGGATTAAGCTACGGCTCCGGATCCGACTTACGAGAGGAGAAAAAGACGGAGAAGATGTACGACTCAGGGACGGGATTCGCCGGAAATCGGGTTTTGCGCAGCAGAAGATAACAGTGGATGTTGAAGCAATCGCCATGGCTGAGAGCTTTTTTCTTTTTCTTTTTTGCCCAATCTGAAGTTCTGGTTTAATTTAAACCGGGTTTGTCATCGAACCATCCTTTATTGTTTTCACAAAAGAAAAACATAAAGACATTTAACAGCATTACATATTCTTCTCATTGCATTTGGAATCTTTTCTTACAAGAATTTGTTGGTACATACTACATAGATCGGTAAAAGATCGAGTGAAATTAAAATTGCATTGTTAAATGTTTTGCTCTTTTTCGTTAGACCAGATCATCACGAGTGTGAACCCCATCAATGACATTACCACCGTCTGCAAAAACAACAAAAACAATTCTCTATTACCATCAAAACCAAAAAGAGACTCTACAATGTCTTAAATTTCATTTCGGAAACATACAGATATTGCTGGAGGAATTCCAACAAGTGGATCTTGAAAGAACTTGGTCGCAAGCGCTAAAGCCAAAAGACTACTCTGCATCCCTGAGAAATTTTCCAAAATAACAATTCTCTTCTCAAAGCTTTAAACCATACCGCAATTTCTTGAAGAGTTTTAGAAAAAAACGCAAAGAATTAGTTACCAGTTTCATAGGACAATGTTCTTTGCAAGGCTTTACCATCTGGAGTGTTTCTAAAGACGGAACCGGTAAGGAAGTATCCAGCTAGGAAAGCTGAGAGATGAAATGTTGTTACTAGTAACAAAATGGTGGCTCCAAATGGAGACATGACTGAGTTTATGTTCAGCGCGAGCGGTGCTCCAACGCAACAAGCTGTGTCAAGAACTGATAGAACTGGGAGAAATGGTCGGATTGCATTGGATAGTTTTGGGAACAACCTGTAAAAAGAAGACACGAAAATGAGATAAAATGTGAGAAACAACTTGTGCTTATATAATTCCCTTTTAGTTGCAGCTATATCTCTCACTTGTTTAGTAGCAATCCTGCAGCGATTGGTGCGATAACGACCTGAAGAATGCTGGATATCATTCCTTTTACATCAACGGGTAATTTCTTCCCGATGAGCAAGAGTGATAGCATCGGTGTGACAAGAACCGCAGTAGCGGTTGATAGAGATGTCATGACGATGCTAAGAGGTGCCAATGCTGGATCCGTTAGAAAAGTGGCGTAGTTTGATAGCTGAGCTCCACTAACACAAGAAACCAACATGATTCCGGCACCTAAGATCGAGAATTATTAGTCCATAAGTGATCGGTTAAGAGTCTTGAATGATGAATGAGAGAGGGATAAACCTATTGGAGTTGGGAGTTGGAAAAGAGAAACAGCAGCTAAGCCAAAGATGAAACCTAGTATAGGCTTAATGAGATATTGTCCAATATAACCAAGTAGAATAGCTTTTGGTCTTTTGAAAGCTTCAAGAAAGTCTTTCTCATTTGAATTGATACCAACCGCAAACATTAAGAATCCTAGAGCCGGCACGAAGTACCTAAAAGAAAGCAAGAATAGCTTATTAGAAAACATTGTTTCTAATACTCAAAAGTCTTAAGACCAATTCAAACTTTTCCAAATTCCATGAATTATGGCAAGAACCTCGACGTAAACCATGTGAAAGAAGGTGGATAGAGAAGAGCTAAGATTGTACTCGCCAACACTACATGAGGAAGAATTGAGTTTGCTTTCTTCAATGTATCCACTATAGACGCCATCTCATTGTACATCTGAGACAGAAATTAAGCAAACTGTTTGAGATCCAAAATTCAACCGTTCAAATCATACGCAGATTCAGAATAACATCCAAACGAATGGTTCGAACAAAACGTATACATGTATCCAAATAACCTCCAAGTTCAACCGTTCAAAATCATAAGTAGATTTAGAATTTTGATAACTAGAATTCCAACATTGGTGCAAAGGAACATCTTGACATGAAAGCTTGACACATTTGAGGAGACTATCTAAGAGGCAAAAAAACAATCAGGTAATGATTCAAACCCAACATAGAAAAGTGTAAAAATCCAATAGTTCACCTTGTCTGAATCAGCTCCAGGATCCAAACCCATCTCTGAGAACTTATCCGATGCATATCTACGCCACAAATTCCTCGATCCGCCACCTATAAGTTGCAGAACACGATGAGAGAAAGGAAGAAAAAAAATTAAAACTTGCAGTTGCCCACCAAAAAAATAAGCAAGAGATTGATTGGTAAGGTGAAAAAACCTTGAGAAATTGGGTCAATGCGAAGTGGAGAAGTCAAAGAAGAGTCCGAGAAGGTGTTGAGCGGGAAAAGTTGAATCCGTTGACTACGATAAACAGAACCTCGTGGTAGAAGACGAAGTGTTGATTTTAAGTGAAGGGTTTCTATGGGAGTTGTGATCAAGCTCATTTCTATCTACTTCCGAGTTCGTGATCGTTAGATTTTCAGAAGTTTGGGCGTTAGAATTAGTGACGGACGAGGTATGAGAGATAGAAGAAGGAGAGAGATCAGAGAAACTAGTATAAAAAATTCCGATCACCAACCTAAGAGCACGTTCATTAGTGATCTCCTCTATGGAGATCATTAGATTAAAATATTAGTTTTTTTGGATTTTGAGTGGAGGGATGAACTTGAGCTATTTTTTAGGTTTCATTAGTGAATTTCATTTTGGAGTTTATCCCAAATAAAATATTTTTTTTTTAAAACTTAAATAATTTAAATTTAGAGAAGAATTTAAACACAGAATTATCATAAAACAAAAATACAATTTATTACAAGTAGATAAAATATTAAAATTATAAAAAACATTTAATTGTATTTTTAAAAAATACAAAATTTATTAAGAAACAACATCCTGTTTCAACTAGCGAGGAGGAGTTTCTGTCACAACTGTTCTTTCAGAACATCACAGAATTTTTTTTGAGGAATTAACCAATCACCTGGCAGCCAATGCTATGACCAAGCAGAACAACGCCCTCTCGGAGTTCTCTTTGTTGATGAGATAGCTTATAAGTTGGTCGATCTCTTGTGCATCCTTCATCAAAAAGAACAAGAATATCATGCTAAGTAAACTGAAACGACCAATATGGAAGACAACAAGCATCTAGAATTTTTCTTTATCCAGAGCAATTGCAAGAAGTTCTAAGTAACTGAAACAGCCAATATGGAAGACAACAAGCATCTAGAATTAGCGGAAACAACCGAGGGGAAGAAGAAAACACTGCAGAATTTATGCGAGAAGATAAAGATTTAGAGCAAAGGAAGAAGACGCATACTCAGTAGCGAAAAGTCCATCAGTTAATCCACCAATAAATATCACTTGTTGTTTATACTCTCCTGTCTTAGAAGCCACCTGCAAAGACATGTGAAACAGAAAAGCAAGCTGTTACTACCAAAATTTAACCTAGAAAACCAGTTGCCATGAAAATTCACAAACAAGAATCTGCAGAGCTTATGCAAAAATCTTTCTGGATGTTCATAAAGGAGCCATATTTGATCACTGCTGTTATAAGTGGTCAACTAAAATCATCTCAGTTGATGCAAAACCTGAAATCGAATTCTCACAAGGCTTGGAACGTTGACCTAAATCACCTAAAATTCCATTGCTTTTCCTCATCAATTCAACAAATCTCTAAGGAATCTTAACATGATCAGAAAACAAGGAATCAATTTACGATAGGTAGCAAAAAAAAGTCAAAGTTAGCAAACAAGTTTGTCATAACACAATCGTTTGCTAAAACTATCTCGAAGCAATATAACAAACAAAAATTTTAAATATCTAGAAATCCTGAAGAAGCTACTTTGAAGTTTAAGCCAGCCCGAAATCAGGAAATGATATTTTTTTTTTAACGAAAATTTCCACCTTGTTGCTTCGAAGTAACTCAAAGCAATGCAAAATTAAGTAATTAGAATCGAAAGGAACCTGAATGGATTTGGGACCGTATTTGAACAAAATTCTGCGAAATTAGTTCTTCTCTTTGATGGGTCACCGTAATTCCCGCTTCCGCCTCCCGCCATGGAAGTGTTTTTCGAAAGCTTCGCTTAGCCGGTGAAATCGCACCAAAAATCGCTTTCGCAGTCTAGGAGAACAAAAATTCAGGTGAAAAAATGAAATGAACAATGAGAAAAAAATTGTCCCCACAATCTTCTCTTATTTTCGACGAATCACGGGCCAACACGTGGTCGTGATATCGTATTATAAGCTTCGTCCGGACGAGATGGTATCACGAAAAATACCCATTTTTCTTTTTTTTTTAAATCGATTTTGCGTTGGATTTTGGGCCACGATCCTGGGTTGATACCCCAATGGACGTGCTCTAATTATCTCTCAGATGGGGTTTAAAAAAAAATCATATTAACTATATGCTAAAAATAAATATTAAATTAAGAAAAAGACAACAGATCTCTCTCTCTCTTCTCTCATACCTATCCTTCAGAGAGAGAGGAGATTTCCGATTTCATTCTGAAATCGGATTTTCCCGGCTTTGTCCGGTTTTTTTTGATGTATATATTCCGACTACGATCGGATCTTTCTTCCGTTTGATCGGATAATAACTTTCCGACTTGGATCGGATTGTTTTCTGTCCTATTTCCTCTGCAATTTGGTTTCTCTTGTAAAAAAGGGACGGTGCTTCTCAGATCTTGTGGTCCGTATTAGAGTTTCTCTTCTTTGTCTACAGGCATCATCCTCTCTCTCGGCTGGGAGTTTAATTCTCTCTAGGTCCCCTATCAAAACACCTTATCAAGGCAAAGGGCGACATGGTCCTGAGGCAAAGGTGATCGGTGGATGTTTTAATAAGAAGAAGAAATCTCTAATTGAAGCTTCTCACATGATATAATCAGAGGAATAAGTAAAGGCGAAGGAGCGTCGGATTCGAGCAGCAGCGAGGTGGTCGATGGGATCGACGGTGGATATTTTGGTGGTGAATCTCGCCGGCGGCGACAGATGAGCGGCGTGCAGCGTAATCTTGTTTCAGGCTCACACGTGTCTTTGAGCTTGCATGTTGTACACGTGTTATAACACATATTAGATTTACTTTATATTCTGTATTTGGGCCTTTAAAATTACGTTGTAAATCCTGCCTTTTTGGGCTTTTCGTTATAAAACGAACTGATGACAAAAAAAAAATTAAGAAAAAGACAAAATATCTGCGGGGATAGCTCAGTTGGCAGAGCGGCATCTTGGGTGTACCCCTCAGGATGCAGGCCGCGTGTTCGATCCACGCTCCTCGCATCTTTTTACTTGAAAATGAAGAAGATAAGTGGAGTACATTCTTTTTATTATTATTTTTTAATTTTTTTTTTATTTTAACCAGTTTTTGAAATACTGAAATACAAAGCAAAGACACAAAATCGAAGGAAGAAAACTTCCTGACTGCGAGCGAAATTGCTAAATACACCAATTTGTTATTGTTCGATCGCAATCATCTTCTCATTAACGGAAAGGTCGAATTTTCCGATCACTGGATTTTTCCCGGTTTAATCGGGGAATCCAGTCGATTAGGTTTTCTCCAGTGTAGCATTCTGGATATCACTCGATGACTTGTCCGGAGGACGAGAAGGCGGTTCTTGAGCTGCAAGTGAGAGTCGAAGAAGACGAAATCGAGAAAGGGCTTTTCGTGAAGCTGAGTGAGGGTTTAGAGAATGGTCAAGAATCAGAGCAGGATAAAGAAGAAAGAGAAGAGATTGGTTCGTCGCCGTTTTGGTTCTGGGTTAAGCTTGCTCTTCTGTTAGTCTTTCTGGCTGCCTTGGCCGTCGTTGGTTTCAAATGGATCGGTCCATTAATCATGGATAAGGTTTGATTTTAACTTCAATCAGACTCAATTTCATCTTTCCATGGCTGTTTTCTCTCTCTCTCTCTCTAGTCTCTACTCTTTGGTGTTTAGTTCGTACCGATTGAGTCTGATTAAAGTCTTTAACTCATGATTGTTCACTCTTGAAGAAGGTTCTTAAGTAGTGGCCACAACTATGATGGGTTTTCTTAGTAGACGAGTTTAACTTAAATTAGCTTAGTGTTCATTGAGGTTAGAACATAGGTTTCTGGACGAGAATCGGATATATTTAAACGCTTAAGTCATTCTTTGCGGAATGCTAATAGTCTGGAAGTTAAATAGATTTTGAGGTTTCTGTGGTTTTAACAATCTTTATCATGTTGATGCTTCATGTTACACGATACCTATATCCCCTGGTACTAACAAATCCAAGAGTTCTTGCGTTAGAGATTATCTGTGGAATGCCTTTTGCTATGTTTCTTTCAAAGGTGAATTATCTACCTTCTTGGTATTGCAGGAGCTTATCCCGATTATTAAATGGGAGATCAGGACATTTACACATCCTGTGTGCGGTCTTCTTGTCTTTGCATCCGTGGCTATATTCCCGACAATACTTCTTCCATCTACACCATCAATGTGGATTGCTGGGATGACTTTTGGTTATGGCTATGGGTTTCTACTAATTATTTCAGCTGTAGCTGTTGGTGTATCACTTCCTTACTTCATTGGTCATCTCTTCCGCCACAAAATTCAAGTATGTGTCAACCCAAAAGAAATGTGTTTCCTTTTCGCTTGTATCAATAATAGTACCAGAAAGTTATCAAAATTGACGTTATAGCTTTGGTTTTCTTAGTTCAATACTAAGAATCGGCAGCTTGAAACCAGGATTAACATTCTTTTCATTTTCTCAAATGATGATTTTGATCAATGTAGTTGCAATTTGTGAATTTGTTTGTGTCTTTCTTGTGATTGTATAGGGATGGCTAGAAAGATATCCTGGTCAAGCAGTCGTATTAAGAGCTGCTGGTGAAGGGAATTGGTTTCACCAGTTTCGAGCAGTAACCTTAATCCGGGTCTCTCCATTCCCTTACATTCTTTATAACTACTGTTCTGTAGCAACTCGTGTTAAGTACGGTCCTTACATCACGGGCTCTCTCTTAGGCATGGTGCCTGAGGTTTTTGTCGCAATCTATACGTAAGTCAGATTTCTGTAACTTTTCTCGATTCCAAAACATTTGGTTAGGTCCAATACTGTATATCGTCACATTCCATGATCGTAGAACAGTTTTAAGCTTGTGTATAGCATTTACAATCTAGAAGCGGGAGTAAAAAGTCCCTTTTCACTGTTGGATCCTGTAGTATCACTGTTCAGTGATATCTCTCGTTTCTGTGTTGCAGAGGGAATCTTGTGAAGACATTAGCAGAAGCATCTTCTGCAGAAAAACACGGTCTCTCGGTTACACAGGTTATTCTCAACATTCTCGGCTTTTTAGTAACTGTAGCTACGACGATTCTCATCACCAAGTATGCGAAAAGACAGCTGGAGACGATGAGGAAAGAGGAGGAAGCATTGTTGCAGTAAACCGACGTGACAAACTCTGAGCTGCTTTTGTCTCTCTTGTCTCACTCCTTACACAAGTTCAGGTCTGCTCCAAGATGTGAAAGAGCTTCTGTTTTTTTGTTTCCTTGTTCTTCATCTTTTTATTAAATAGCTTTGAAGAAAAAAGAAAAATATGGTTAACAAGTATGAAACAGAAGAAAAAAGTTAACAATTATTAACAAGTAATTTAATTTGCTTTTTTTTCTTGTTGTATTAATTTTGATGTTTTATATGAATGCAAAATATTGTTCTGATTTGTAATGTTATTGGGAAATGCCAAAAATGAGAGAATCTTGTGTTGATGCTATATTACACTTTCTCTGGTATATGTCAAATGAAATCAAATTTTATTTAAAGCTTGTCAGAGTAAAGTTTAATATTTTGAATGAAACATAAATTCTTTTGAACATATTATTTGATGGATAGAAGAAGAAGATAAACTACATCTATGATTATGGAAAGAATTTGCCATGGGGATCATGTGAGCCGAATTAAATGAACATAGACCAAATATATTGCATAAAAGTAGGAAGATATCAGAAAATATGATAATGTGATAATATGAGTACATATGCGTATGTATTAAGTTTTACTTTTTCCATTTTAAGTTAATTTCTCTTTTACTGCCTTTGAAAATGTTCAACCAACCCCCTCCCCAAATAAATGTATCTTTGTACTCCCAAAAGTAGCTTTGGTCCAAAACCCAAAACCCTTTGAACAAAACTTATGCGTTATGCCTAAAAAACATATACAGATTTTCAAAACTTTGTCCTACCCCAAGAACGAAAAAATTGATAATTTGTCCTTTTCTTTACACAAATTTTGGTCTTTGTGTACTCCCATAGAACCTATTAAACGTCAAGTTTTGCTTTAAAAAAATTATGGATATCTTATTATTAAATTCACAGTCAACGTCATGCTGTGTCCACTCCTCATTTTCATATGAACTGATTTCAAAAAATATATAAATTATTAATCTAATATTACTTATATATCGTTCTGAAAATGTTACTTTAAAAAGGAAAAATTCAATTGACGTGTAGATGCCACTATCGTCAGTGCAATAAACCGATACTTTCCAAGATAATTATTTTCTCGCAATGCATATAGCTACAAGAAAGGTAGGAAACTGGAATTCACAATTTTCATATATCAATTTTTAGTTTTTATCTTATAATTGCACAAGAGTCAAAAATGAATTTTCCTCTAAAAGTTTAATTTCGCTAAAACTCAGTTACGTTTGTCCATAAATAAATTTTCAATTCTTCACTGAGAAAGCGCAATTTGCCAGGTCATACCTGACAAAAGAACGCAACCGTTAGTGGCAGATTCGTAAATAAACACGAAATTAAAGGGCAAAACTTGATACCGCCGGAATTACAGTCTCGTCGAAAGCCAAGAAAGCTCGCAGACCCAGACGCGCCTCGAAGCACCCACGAAGGCAAAAAATAGGCTCTCTTCAATGAATTTGACTAAACCACCCTCACGCACTCTCACTCGTAGGGGTATTATCGTCTTATCTGTTGTCTTAATTAAAATTCAAAATTTCGAGTCGTTACAAAAACCGGAGCGTCCACGCTTTTGTACATCACAGCAAAATACGGTATCGTTTTGTGCGATTTTTTAATTTGTTTTTGGAAATAAAAATTAAATTTGTTTGCCGTTTTGTCGCTGAACCAAAAATCTCTGAAACAGCGAAATTTGTGCCGTTTTTCTCCTTTCCTGCTTCTTCCATTGTTTCTTCTCTTTCTCATTCTGCTTCTTCTTCTTCTTCATCAGACCCAATGAATCAGAGATTTCTGTAGAAAATTAGGGTTTTGTCTGGTCAATTCCATGTGCTGACTTCAGGTTTTGCAGAAGTGATCAGTGATTTTCCATTTTTCCTGCGCTTTGTTCAGAACTAGTTACATTTCCCTCAAGGAAAGAGAGAGAAAGTGACAGTGGAGGTTTTGTTTTAGAGAGAGAAATGGAGATGGATGAAGATATGGAAATCGAGACAATGGTGTTTGATGTGAGAGAGATCGATCTGGAGTACGAGTTTGATGCGTCTCGGTGGTACGATTTCACTCGTGTGGAGTCACCGGCGGAATCTCAGGCCGCCGAGTTCTGGTTTCATTCTGCTCCGTCGTACCCGGCCTCTCGTGAGTATCATCATACGCCTTCATTTTGTTTCATTTCTTTGTCTTCTAAACATACGAATTGAAGCTTAATGAGAGAAAATGATTTAGGCTATAATCTTCTTATTTCTCTGATTGATTTTGGTGGTCATTTCTCTATCTTCCTTTGCAATGCCGTGAAATGCTGAATCTGCGTCCATGTTTAGTAACTTAATGGAAGCTTAATTTACAATGTGATCACTGATTTTCTTGGAATTTGTCTGCTTTAATCCTACATTTTCAGTTTTCGTCCTTGATGTTTCTCAATAGTGTTCCCTTTAGTCAGCAACCACAATTTAGGGTCATGGTGAATCTGCTGTTGATTCTTTGTGTTTTCCTTCAGCTTTCGTAACAAAGTTGTTACTTAGAGATGAGGTTTCTGATGACAAAACCGAGGCATCCACGAAATCAGAGGATGATGAAGTCATAGCAGATGCTTGTGAAAAAGATGGAGGAATCTATCATCATCCATATCTAGCTACAGATTTGAATAAAACAGGTGATTAAATGGTGTATATCTTAAGTAGTTTTCCAGTTGATTATGGTGTGTATAGAAATGGAAGCAGAAAGTTGAAGACCACCAGATACGTTTAGAATCTTAAATTATCTATTTATTTATTTTTTCCTTCAGGAAATGGAATGCGTTTTGGGATTTTTTCCTCCCAACAAGGCAGTAATTTGAAGAAAGCTCCAAATCAAACCATATGCAAAGGTGATCATTTTTTTTGTTATAATAGTAACATGAGCATGCATGTAGTTCAATTATGGTTAAATGCTTATACACTACGATTGTTGAATTATTCTGAAAAATCAATTTCGTTTCTTCAGTTCCATTTTTCTTAGCACCTTTAGATGTGGACCATGTGGTCCATCGTACTTCTGACCATCTTAGGTATTTACTTTATTGTTTGTGGTCTCACTTTCTCTACTTTTACCAGGGCCAACGTTTAGCAATCACAAGCACACTGATAAACCAAAATTCCGATCTAAGCCCAGCATCAGACCAACTTCAAGGAGCTCGACGTTAATGAGACCCACTGCTAGTCAGTTAGCAAAACAAAAGAATGCCAGGTGACTATTGGAACATGTAAAATCGTGGTACTTTTCTTCAGTCAGCTTAATTTTATTCCCCTAAGACTTGGCTTCTTTTGCTGGTATAGTAAATTCCATATGCAAGTGGATCAAATTCATGAGAAAGGGTTATGTGGGACATCTGGGACCGAAGTTCAAGCGGCTAAAAGACAGAAGCTTGATGGAGGTCTTCTTCGTAAGGTTTGACTTCTTATCTTTTTTTAACAATTGATATCTGAATTTAGGTGCTGAAACTAGTAGCAATAAAAGTCGTTTGTTCTCTGTTTCAGGTTGCTGATACAAAGCAGGAAATGAGTTTTGTCCACAAGATACCCAAGAAGGTTTGCTTTCTATTGCTTGAATACTCTTGATCTTGCTTACAGAGTCTCAATGTGTGGAAAATTCAAAATTTTCGGTGAAAGAGAGCTCTTACTGACATGTAAATAATTTAATTATTTGCTAAATGGTTTTGCAGGATACAACTCTTGATAGAAACCCACAATATGCCAGGACAAAGATTACTATCCCACAGGAGCCTGATTTTGCTACATCACAGAGGGCACACAGAATACGGTTAGAGTCTAAATGTTTGCTGAAAGTGAATTGTTACAAGAAAGGTCACATCTCACATGATGTTTTGCGAATGATAATTTCAGGCAGAAGAATGATGCCAAGTTAGAACAGGACTCAACGGCTGTATATAAATTCAAAGCACGTCCATTTAACCGAAAGGTTTGTAACTTTGTATCTGCTACTACTGGAATTGATTTCATTGTCCTGCCCCAACTCAAGCTCGTTTGTGATCTCTAGATATTTGATGCTCCCTCACTGCCCATCCGGAAGAAGAGCACTCCAAAACTACCTGAATTCCAAGTAAGCATCAGAAATGTATTCGTCTCCCCTGTTTCCTCACAATAATCTGGTGTAAGACTTAGGATTATATTTCTTGACTTCTTTAACAGGAATTTCATTTGAAGACTTCAGAAAGAGCTATGCAACATTCTTCAGCAGTAACAACAAGGTCTAATCAGAGGAATGATGCGTATAAGGTAGCAACAATACTTCTTTATACTAGTTTTATCACGTGTCATGTGATCTTAACAAGTTATAATCTCATCTAAACAAAGTGATCACTAAAAGTAAAATTCCTTTTTGACAGGGGTCAGACAAATCTAATGCAACTGATGCGCTTGACGGTGTTAATAGGGAAAGTAGGAGGTATTACTTATAAAATCACATAGAAAAATAAAATAGATTGCTTGACGTCTCACTTCAACTTGTGTTTGAGGTGAATGCAAACTTAATAGTATGATTTTTCTTGCAGACCAAGCGCTATGGATACACCTAAGCATGATGTATCGGAGGAAAATCACGTCTTTAAAGCTCGTCCTCTGAACAAGAAGGTACTATCCTTTCTCGAGTCTCATCCGCTTGCTTTAGTTATAATTTTTCACTCCTAATATAGGTTTTCACTCCTGCAAAACAGATACTCTCAAGCAGAGGAGACATGGGCATATTCAAAAATAACAAGCGAGAAACAACAGTGCCTTTGGTATGGTTACCAATACTTCTTTGCGCTTGATCTTCTGTATGTTTCTAAATGGAGTTTCCTAATACTATTTTCGGAATGCAACACAGGAGTTTAGTTTTCACTCAGAAAAGAAAGTTCAACCAGATTTACCAACAGACCTTTTCAGCAAGGTACAGCTCATGGTTTGACGTATGATCTTTGTTAAACACTCTCTAGTTATTTGAATACTCTCATAATTTCTTTAACCGGTTATATTAACCTACAGCTCTCCATCAAATCCGAGCTCCAGCAAAACAATGGCTCTCGCACAAGATTTCCTCAACCAAAGGTGCAGCTTGTGAAACTCAATTCACTTGATTCGTTTTTCCATTTTCCAAGTCTAATCATTGAGTTGCAATCTATTCTTGGTATAAGGGCTTCAAGGAAAATAGAGTGAACTCTTTCCAAGCAGGGAATGAGGTAAGCTCTAAACTTATTAAAAATAAAATTATAGCTTTCAACCACTTACAACAGAGGTTTCTTAATTTCCTGAATCGATACCGATCCATTACAGATAACAAAACTAATAGCTGGAAAAACGGTCTCTTCAGCTGGACAACAGATACAATTTGGGAACAGCGGAATAAATCCTGAAACAAACCAGCGAAGGAACGCTAGTAGGTAAGATAATAAAGTCAATTATGCAGCAACTATCTTTCGAAAAATGCATCTGATCAAAACTGGATACGTTCTATTTAGTTGTTTGGATCCAGTTTCACGAGCAAATATATCCACGAGATAACAAATGCTTATATCTTTTAATTTCACTGCTATTCTAATTTGGCAGGAGCTTAAGCATTCGCTGATGGTGTAGAAAAAAAGCACTGGTAGCGTCTAGAATCATCAGCTCTTTTTTGTACATTCAGATTTGGTTCGCTGAGACTGATTCTGCTGTATAACCCCTCCAACGCTAAGTAATACTGTTATAAAGGAAGAAGGAGAAAGCAAACCAAACCGCATTCAGTTTCTCAAAATAAGGACGTATGAAGCTGAAAATGTGAATCAGAAATGTCTCAACGTCTCTTTTTACATTTAGTAAGCATAAAAAATAAAGAACAAACTGAAAATGTAAATCAGAAATGTTCTCAAGCTTTTTTTTTTGGGGCAAACTAGTTATATGTCAAAAAAGTTAGTTTTCAAACCTTTTAAAAGATATGTCAGTTTTCAAATTAAATATTTTTTTTAAGAATATTAAACCAATTCTCCCGAATATAAATGTACATATATTTTATATTTTATATTACAGACAGCACACAAAAATTAAGACCTCTAAATGTCCACTGAGCAAATTCACTCTTCCTCCAAATATAATATTTTTTAGTAGTTAATATATTTTTTTATCATTTAAAAACAGAACATTCTAACACTTTATATTTATACATTATTTAACAATTTTTTTGGCTAAGAAGTAAGAACACATGCGCCGGGAAAATCATGTCTCTTGATGTGAACACTCCATAGTGGTTAAAAAGGTGTTTTCCTAGCGTCTTGATCTCAATTCTATTCTAGCTTTATGTTTTGGTTTGTCTAGTTTCCATGTTTTATGCTGGGTGTAGGTTCCAAGGAAACATCTTTTCTGTTGGCTTTTTGTTTTGAGAGTTTCTTAAACTTGTGGGGTTTGTTTCCGATTTGTAGGGCTTGTTTCCGGATTAAGTTTTGGTTTTGTATAATTCTGTATTATCATTTTTAAGTATCAGTATAATTTTAAAGAGAAAAAAAACCACCCAACCTAAGTTAAAGTTGTGAAATGTATCCTTTGTATGAACCAGATGAAAATACAAACTCATCTGTTTTATTTTCTTGTAGATATTCTTTTAAAGTATGGACAACGTAACACTCACTCATCACCTCTTGTGTAATCGATACAACAGACTGAAATATCATTGTCCTGATTCTATTTAACACATCACAAGATCAAGCCTCTCTATAACAACTTTTTGTATTGCATATACAGTTCCTTGTCGATCTGAATCAAGTCCTTCCACAAGATCTTTATCTTTCGAAAGAAGAATAAAGGGTCAAACATAACCCTAACTTGAACTTGGTGCTTCAAAGCCAGTAAAATTACTCTTCCAGCAAATATGTACATATCTCTAATGTTTTCATACATGAGGCGTTTAGGATCTGGGAAAAACACCTAGGGTCATCTGGAAAAGCAATGAAAAGCCTTTATTTAGGATCAAAATGTTTTGGCAAACCAGGAAAAGCCACTCTCTGAAGACTCCATCCCTTCAGCTTCTTCATTTTCAAAACTCAGTGATACACCAGCATAAAATTCAGATGGGTGTGATGACATTATTTGTTTCAGGAAATCTTAAACGAGATTTTTCCTAGAAACTGCTATTTAAAGTGGGAGCTGTTCAAGGCCATCTTCCATTTGTAGCAATACTGTATGTAGAACAAACTCTGGAGCAAGTGAATCTTCACCTCAAAATTTGTATGATTCTTAATCTTCAATACCCAATCTAATAAATAGATCATTGTCACTCCATTGATTCTTCGGGCCACTAATCAATTTAAATCCTAATTATGGTTCAACTTCTCAAGATTAAAAAAAAAACACTTTTTCCTAAACTAGAATACTAACTTTGATTGTGGGTTCGTCCTCATCTGTGCATCTAGTGCAAACCGTGTGCACAACTAAGATTCGACATCTGGTTATTAGTTTGGTTTGGTACCAGTTTTTTTTTAGATTTTGGATAGTTTGGTTATAAGGATTTGAAAACATATCAAAATCAGAAAAAAATCGAGTTGGTTGTTTTTGGTTCAGGTTGGTTCAGATAATAGATTGAAGAACAAATTTGGATTCAAATTGTAATCTTTCTGTGTTCCTCGTTTTTACTTTTTACTAACGCTTCATATATGATTCACCAAGAGTTGTACACTAATTAAGTTAAACATATACGATAGAAGTAAGTCACATAGACTAGAACCAACTAAACCGGGGGCATCTATTTCAGAATGTTATACAGTTTATATTGGCTACCCGATTCTTTCTAAGAGCTATCATTTCAATGAAACTAAAAAATGAAGCATGAATAATAAAGAGACAAAAATATCACAATGATACAATCCGTAGAAATATTCGTCATATCTTCGATAAGATACAAACATTAAATACATGATAAAGACACAAACACAAAAGAAAAGAGAAAGGCGAACATAGAGTTTTACATGTATAGACTTAAACTTGATTTTTTTTCTCTGATATCAATTCCTCTTGTTCGTTCCTAAACAACTTATGCTCAATATGTTGAGCAAATGTCCTTGGAGGAAACTTAGCCGGAGACTCAACACTCACCATCTCCGGCAACGGCTTAAGAACAATCTTATCCTTTGGTGGCTCACAAAACACAGCCCAAGATACCCTAACTTTCTCCTTATTCACCAACCCACGATGAAGTATACTCTTATACTTGCCATTACTAAGAATCTCCAAAGTATCTCCAATGTGCATCACAATCGAATCGGGGACACATTTTGCAATGACCCATTTACCCTCGTAGAACAGCTGCAAACCTGGAACCATGTTGTGTAAGATGAAGGTTAGAGCGCTTACATCGGTGTGAGCTTCCACGCCAAGTGCTAGCTCAGGCTGAGGGCATTTTGGGTAATAATTTATCTTCATTTGTAGAAGAAGCTCTTCTAAACCACCCACTTCTTTCTCTAGACGGTCAGACTCTAAGCCTAGACCTATAGAGAGCGCCTTGAAGACTTTTGTTGCTAGCAAACGAAGACACTTGGCGTACTCACTCGTTGCTTCTCTACAATCATCCAAAAACGTTAAAAATGACTCTATAACCAAACCAAAAGTTTTGTTTTCTCTTCTTTTTTTTTGTAAATAGCGAAACAATTAAAAGCTTACATGTAATCACTTGGTGTCTTGGGCCAAAGTGAAAGATCTCTTTTGTCTTCAGGATAAACAAGATGAAAGAAATAATCTTCCCATTCCAATTGTCCACTCGCGTTGTTAGCCAATTTACTTCCATACCCTTGAATCTTCCCTGTAGCTTGATCGTTGGCATACTTCTCCTTCTCTTCAACGGGTAAACCGAAAAACTCTTCTCCGGTTTTCTTCACACGCTCCATTAGATCAACCGGTACACCATGGTTGACCAAATGCATCACTCCCCAATCCATAGCTGCCTTTTTCAGTTCCTCAATGCATTTCTCACGAATCTTTTGATCTTCTGACTCGATGTCTTGTAGGTCGATGGTGGGAACTTGAGGACCGTCTTCTTTCTTCTCTTCTTGGAAAACGTCGTTGATGCTCTCGAGCTCTTCTTTGGGACGAATGTATTCTTTCGGGATCGATTTGATTCCGCTTGAGGCTAAACTCTCAACTCTTTCTACTGCAACCATCTTCTTGTCTTGTTTAAAAACTAAAAACAGAACAAAAAAAAAACAGAGTGAGTAAAGAAACTTTAAAGCAGGGGAGAAAAACAGAGTATAAACAAAAGAATTTGTTTTGTTTTTCTTACTATCTACTTTCGATTTTTGTTGCAAGTAGTGTAAATGAAATTGTGCAATGGCTTTCTTATATAAGCAAATATTTCCTTTTATTTTTTTAATTAGTTTTAAGAAGTTGTTAAAGACTTAATAAGAGAGCTACCGGTGGGTAGTGATTGTGTGAGGAGGAAGAAGAGGTTACTTCACGGTCAATGGGAGAGGATGGTTTGGTTGACTGATGGTTTCACCATCCTTAAGATCCAATGGTCAAAAAGTTTGTTTCCCTTTAATTATCTAAAGGAGGAATTAATGTGTATTGACTTGGATCTAAAAGCCCAGCCAAAGAGGCCCATCAAATAATAAACCGAATCATACTATCAACGTCACACTTGGTGGCGTTTCTTCTGCGTCCGTGTGCACGTGCCTGAATCGTGTCTCCACGTGTCTACTTCTAATAGTTCTATCAAATTACCAATATAGGTGTGTGTACATTATCCTTTTTTTTCGTTCAAATTTATTTCATTTTTGTAATTTTGACATTAGTTACCAAAAAATTACTGGTTTCACTTTCAGAAAATAATTGCATAATTTAGTTTAATAATGAAAAATGGATAATAAAAAAATTTCCAAATGGCGACTTTTCAGGCAATTTTTCTAGGGTTTCTTTTCCGATTGATTTCAACCACTCCGTTGGTGGTTTTCTCGATTCCCGCCGATAAGATAGGACCTACTTCTCCACTCTCTTGTCTGGCGACGGTTAATTCCACTTGGGAAGACACGATCTCAAGTAAGAAGCAGTTCCCACCCATTTCGGTGATGTCCAGAGAACATAAAAGCAGAAATCGAGAGTGGAATTTTACACAACTCCTCTTGCAATTTCCCGCACATACTCACTTTCCATTGAGATTCTATTCTCTATTACAAAAAATGGCAGATAATCTACGACGAGCGGTCCAAGATCTCGATCTGGGTGTGGAAGACGAGCCTTTCGCCTTGCCCGCCGATGTCCTGCATCAAGCTGCTTACGAAAACCGTTTTGTTCTTTGGGGTCGTGCAACCAATCCACGACGCCAAAACATACGCTCCATCATCGCCAACATGCCCAGAATTTGGAGTCTTGAAGGTCTGATCTTTGGGCGAATCATTGAAGGGAATCGGTTCCAGTTCATATTCCCTTCTAAAGAAACAATGGAGAATGTTCTGAGAAGAGGCCCGTGGGCATTTGCAGACAGAATGATTGTCCTCCAGCGCTGGGCACCTTTTGTGGATGTTGCGAGTTTGGATTTTATCTCATTTTGGATTCAAATTCGTGGAATTCCATTCCAGTTTGCCACACAAGATGTAATTGCTCACATCGGACGTTCTTTCGGAATGTTGATGAAAGTAGATTACAATCAAGAAGCTGTAGCACGAAGAGAGTACGCACGAGTACGAGTCAACTGGGATATCACTCGCCCCCTGCGATTCCAAAGACACTTCCAGTTCTCACAAGGAGTCAACACTCTGCTTCGCTTCCGTTACGAGAGACTAAGAGGGTTTTGCGAAGTATGTGGTATGTTGACTCACGACTCTGGCAATTGTTTGATTCATAATGGTGGTGGGGTGCTTGTTTCGGATGATGATGATGATGATGATGATGACGGTCCTGGAAATGCACCACGAAGACACCAAGGTGTTCAAAATGGAGGTGATGTTGATCATTCTGATGGCGATGGTGACGAAGAGGAACCTCATCAAGCCAATGAACACAATGGTGGTATTCAGATCCGGGAGATCAATGATGAAGAAGTTGAAGCCATTCTGCGTGAAGGTGCCCAAAACCAGAATCTTCAAAATGGAGATCATGAAGCTATTGGTGAAGCAGGGTTTCTCAACGATGATTTTGAAGAGGAATTGGGAATGAGTTCTGAAGATGATCAAGATAATGGTGATAATGCAGGCCTTGTTTCAGAAATTGCAGGTTCTGAAGACAATATTCAGATGCCTGAGAGAAACTTGACTCCCCGCGGAGCTATAACATTGGAGCAGGACGTGGTTCAAGGAAACATTGGTTCAGAACATTCAAACCTTTCTGATCTGCAAACTGAGCACACCATGACATCTTACCTGGGGAAACGTAAGCACTCTGACTCTGATGATGAGAAGTTTGTTTACAAAATGCATTCTCGTGAGCAGGGTGAAAGCAGTGGTCAAATGGAGGAATCATCTCCTCCCAAAGTGTTGAGAGGCGCGGTGGGCCCAGAACCACCTCTTCCACCATGAGGACAGCCTGTTGGAACTGTCGAGGGATTGGCATTGACCTCACAGTTCGACGCCTTAAGGAGATTAACCGCAAGTATCTCCCGGACATCATATGCCTGTCTGAAACCAAGCAGAAGGATGATTACATCCGTGATTTAGGTGCTCAGTTAGGATTTCTTCATTATGTTACTGTTCCACCGATTGGTTTAAGTGGTGGATTAGCTGTATTTTGGAAGATGCCAGTAGATCTAGTTGTTTTATTTAAATCCCCTAATCTTGTTGATTGTGAGATATCTATTAATGGAATCAAGTTTTTTTATTCCTTTGTGTATGGTAATCCCAATCCAAAACTCAGAAACCATTTATGGGAAAAACTTGAAAGATTGGGAACTAACAGAAGGGGAAAACCTTGGTTTCTCTTAGGGATTTTAATGAAATACTAGATCATAATGAAAAACTTGGAGGAAGAACACGTCCTGACAACTCATTTAGAGACTTTCGGCGACTTGTCAGAACCTGTGAGTTTACAGATCTGAAATCAAGTGGTGATCGATTTAGTTGGGCTGGAGAGAGAGGAAAACATCATGTTACATGTTGTCTTGATCGTAACATGGCTAATAATGAGTGGCATTCGCAATTTCCATCATCAGAAACAGTCTTTTTGGAGTTTGCGGAGTCAGATCACAGACCCCTAATCACCTTTATCTCTGAAATGGAAGAAGAAAAACGTGGTAGCTTTAGATATGATAGCCGTCTAACTCACAAGGATGGATTCAAAGCAATGGCTTTACAAGGATGGAGAGGTCAAGGTGAAATGGGAAGAACAAGCGTCCCATTAACTAAACGATTGCTAGGATGCAGGAAAAAAATATCAAGCTGGAAACGTGTGCATAGAATAAATGCAGAGGAAAGGATAAGCATTATTCGGAGCAAACTTGACAAAGGTATCGCCAACGGCTCCATATCTCCACCTGAAAGATTAAAACTTCGTGAAGAGCTTAATCAAGCTTACATTGACGAAGAGATTTTTTGGAAGCAAAAGAGCAGAATACAATGGTTAAATGAAGGTGATCGTAATACTCGCTATTTCCATAACATCACTAAAGCCAAAAGATCTCGGAGCCGATTTTCTCCATCCTTGATTCTGACGGTATACTACACAGAGGAAACTCTGAGATAAGCCTGGTGGCATTAGATTACTTCAAGGATCTCTTTACATCAACGAGGGGAAATGAGCATTTGTATGACGAAGTGTTTTTTGACTTCCAAAGCAAAGTAACATCTTCTATGAATGATAATCTAACACGTGAAGTGACAGAAGATGAGATTAAGAAGGCTGTTTTTGATATTGGTCCACATCGGGCACCAGGCCCTGACGGCTTTACAGGGGATTTCTTCCAAAAATTTTGGGATGAGATTAAAAAGGATATTCTTCAAGAAGTTAAAAGCTTCTTTGATTTTGGAACTTTGGATCCTGCACACAACCACACGAACCTCTGCCTAATACCAAAAGTTCATCCACCTACAGTGATGTCAGAATTCAGACCTATTGCACTATGTAATGTGTCTTATAAGATCATCTCTAAGATCTTAGTCAACAGGCTTAAACATCATCTCTCTGGCATAATATCAGAAAATCAAGCAGCATTCATACCTGGTCGGATGATAACGGATAATATTATCATTGCGCATGAGGTTTTCCATAGCCTGAAGTCAAGAAAGCGACAAGCAAAGAGTTATATGGCCCTCAAAACAGACATCAGTAAGGCCTATGATAAACTAGAATGGCATTTTCTAGAGGAAACAATGAAACACATGGGCTTCTCGACTCGATGGATCCAATGGATTATGAAATGCGTTTCGTCTGTTAGTTTTTCAGTCCTCATTAATGGCCAAGCTTATGGACATATCACACCAGAAAGAGGTATACGACAGGGGGACCCTCTCTCCCCATATCTTTTTATTTTGTGTGCTGAAGTTCTTTCCCACATGATGAATAGAGCCACTCAAACTAGAAGATTGCAGGGTATTAAAATCAGCATTCAAGGACCATCGATAAGCCATTTGCTTTTTGCTGATGATTCTCTTTTCTTCACCTTGGCGAATGCTCGTTCATGTAAGGCAATCCAGAAGATTCTCAGCATTTACGAAGCAATCTCTGGCCAGTCTGTTAATCTGCGAAAATCCTCATTAACCTTTGGGGCCAGAGTTCAGGAAACAACCCGTAGGAAAATGAGGAACATCTTAGGCATTTTTAATGAAGTAGGAGGCGGCAAATATTTAGGATTACCAGAGCAATTTGGAAGCAAGAAATCAGAGATGTTTAAATACATCATTGACAAGGTCCAAGAACGTACACAAGGATGGAGTAAAGGCTTTCTATCACAAGGCGGTAAAGAAGTTCTTCTAAAGTCTATAGCTCTCGCCATGCCGATCTTCTCTATGAATGTCTTTAAGTTACCGAAAGCTATTTGTGATGAGATTACCACGACTATAGCAAGATTTTGGTGGAGCCCTGGTAATAATGCTAAAGGCATGCACTGGTTAGCTTGGAAACGAATGAGCCTCCCAAAAAGAGAAGGTGGAATGGGATTTAGAGATTTGGAGAGTTTTAATACAGCCCTGCTCAGCAAACAAATCTGGCGAATTATGCATCATCCCAATTGCTTGATGGCCAAGGTTCTACGGGGAAGGTACTTCCCACAATCTAATGTATTGAACGCTTCTATGGGAAACAGAGCTCATAGGGGTGGAAATCACTATTACATGGAAGAGATCTCTTGAAAAAGGGTCTTTGTTATGTCATTGGTAATGGGACAATCATTAATACGTGGACAGACCCATGGATCCCATCTCATCCCCCGAGACCACCTCGACCAAGACACACCACAAATGAGGCACAACGAGTCAATCTCCTCATTAATCAACATGGTACTTGTTGGAATGAAGCCATGGTTAGGGAATATATCCATCCAGATGATGTTGATCAAGTACTATCAATCAAATTATGCCCCAAAGCTACAGTAGATCTGCTTGGATGGCACTACAATAAGAATGGGATCTACTCTGTTAAATCGGGTTACTGGTTAGTAACCCACCTCCCAGGAAACGACTTCATTGCGCCACCGAATGGTAACCAACGTCTGAAACAGCATATTTGGAAACTGAAAACAGCTCCTAAGCTAAAACATTTCTTATGGAAAATAGATGCTGAAATACTACCATCAGGAGAGCTACTAAGAAGAAGACATATAAGTCAACAATCTATTTGTCGAAGATGTTGTAAAGCAGAGGAATCTACAAAACACATTCTTTTTGATTGTGATTATGCTCAAGCGACTTGGAGGGCATCAGGCATTCCAAACCCGATTCTATTTGATACACAAACAAGCCTTGATGACAAATTGATCGCTTGTCTGTCCAGCAACACAACCTCTCTTCTCAGACAATATCGTCAGCTACCTTTGTGGATCTTATGGCGACTTTGGAAAAGCAGAAATACTCTTCTCTTTCAAAAAAAACATCTACCCTGGGGAAGAAATTTGGAATACGCAAGGAAGGATGCAATGGAATGGATGAATACAGAAGACTATGTAAACCTTTATGCTGGTGTAAACAACACAGGTTCTTGTTCAAAGTTTAACCACACGTTGTGGCAAGTCCCTCAAAAAGACTGGATCAAATGCAACTATGATGGTTCTTTTCTTAATACAAGCACTGCAGCAAAGTCTGGATGGATCATTCGTGATGACAAAGGAAGGTATATGGGTGCAGCTCAAGTAAGAGGTCGAATCGTCTTAAGTGCGTTAGAAGCAGAACTTCAATCTCTTATTACGGCTATGCAAGGCTGTTGGAGTAAAGGCTTACGAAGGGTTGAATTTGAAGGGGATAACAAAACAGTTTTTGAACTTCTTAGTGGATTGCAACAGAACTTTCATCTATATAATTGGATCAGGGAGGCACGATGGTGGATATCACGATTTGATGACGTCAAGTTCAATTGGGTGCCGCGAAGATTCAACAAACCAGCTGATATTTTGGCAAAACATCCTCTTACTCCACTACAGAATTATGTGTTCTATTTCTATGTTCCACATATTATTACAAATGAATTACATTCAGACTTTGTACCTATCCTTCATTAATAAAAGTTTTTAGGCGAAAAAAAAAAAATTGCATAATTTTATCAAAAAATGAAATTTATATCACATTTTTCTATCTTAAATTCCAGAACCCATATTTGTTAATCTTCTCTCTGTAATAGCTCTAAGTTAAATTAGTTATTAACGTTATACATAAATGAAGAAAAAAAATAGAAATCATTAAAGTCATTCAAAAAAATATTTATGTAATTAGGTAGATTCTTCTTATTACAAACCGAAAATATAGAAAGGTGGATATTTAATGCTGACGTGGATATTCACATTTTTTAAGATGAGAGGAGAAAAAAAATGAGAGATCTGCCTAGGAATTCATCTCCACACCTCTCTTATCTCTAATTTCTTCCCTCCAAATCATCTCTACTAAATTAATAAACAAATAAAAAAAACAAGCAATTAAAAAAAAAATCTCAAAATCAGAACAAACCTGAAGCTCACAGTAACAAACGCATCTTCAACCACAAGCTCCTGCAAAAAATTTCCCGGAAAACAGAGGAAAAGGATCTCCTTTACTCTCCTAGGGAAAATGGGCAGCAAGACGTTGTTCAGTTTGACAAGCCCTCGACTTTTCTCCGCCGTTTCTCGCAAACCCACCGTTTCTTTCTCTCCTCCGTCGTCGTCGAGGTCTCAGTGGGCTCAGCTCAGCCCTGGAAGATCGATTTCCCTGAGAAGAAGATTCTTCTTGTTGCCTGCAAAAGCCACCACAGAGCAATCAGGTCTTCATTTTGCATCCTTCATCTCGAATTTGTTCACGATTGGATTTACAAAGTTGAAGCCTTTTAGAATTTAGTGGTCGATTTCCTCTGGCACCAAAATCTAGTCGAACCTTTGATCTCATCGTCTCTAGCTCTGAAAGTACTCATTTTTTCTAAGGACTCAAACCCTGTTAATGTTTCAACTCTTGATTGCATTCTTCAAAGGTGTTGATTGGTTCAATGACTATAATCTCGGTTTAGCAAAGGTTGTCTGTGTTAGACTTTGTTTCGAGGTTTAGGGTTTATCTCTGTACTCAATTTACAACAGTAAGGTATTAACTTAGCTTTATATTTGCGGATTAAGTTGTAATTTACAGTCTTTTTGACTTCTTTAAGGTCAAGTGGAAGGAGAAGAAGTCGATAGCAATATTAATGCTTATTGTAGCATCAACAAGGCTCAGAAGAAATCAATTGGTGAAATGGAACAAGAGTTTCTCCAAGCCTTGCAAGTAACGGCTACATACCTTCTTATTTTTATAAGATGCCAAAAACATGATAAATAACAAATCATCCAAAGAGCCTGAGAATTGTTTATTTTGCAGTCGTTCTATTACGATGGCAAAGCGATCATGTCAAATGAGGAGTTTGATAACCTTAAAGACGAGTTGATGTGGGAAGGAAGCAGTGTTGTGATGCTAAGTAATCAACCATGATTCAATTTTCATATCTTTTTTTTTGGTTTCTTAGTGTTGAGTCCTGATCTTCTTTTTTTTTTTTTTTTTTTTTTAATGAAACGCAGGTTCGGATGAACAAAGGTTCTTGGAAGCTTCAATGGCTTATGTTTCTGGAAATCCGATTCTGAATGATGAAGAATATGATAAGCTGAAACTGAAACTAAAGGTTCCATCCCCTTTATTCTTCACTCGAAATATACATATCGTGTAAAAAGATTTCTTTAAGCTTCAGTTTTATGATTCTTTCTGCTCTTTTAGATGGATGGTAGCGACATTGTGTGTGAGGGTCCAAGATGCAGTCTCCGTAGTAAAAAGGTAAACATAGCATAGGTTCCATTGTTTTAGGTTAGACCGTAAAAAAAAAATTATTACTTTACAGTATTGTTCATTTCCTCAAATGCAGGTGTATAGTGATCTCGCCGTAGATTATTTCAAGATGCTCTTGCTGAATGTTCCTGCTACCGTCGTTGCTCTCGGCCTGTGAGTCTCTATAACCAATTCATTGAAATCATTTAACTCCAGATTTTTTCTTTGCTTACATGTTTTCTTTTAATATGGTACTTCCAGATTCTTCTTTCTGGACGACATTACAGGTTTTGAGATCACATACATCTTGGAGCTTCCGGAACCATTCAGCTTCATATTCACGTGGTTCGCTGCTGTGCCTTTGATTGTATATCTGGCTCTATCAATCACCAAATTAATCATCAAAGACTTCTTGATCTTGAAGGTAAAAAAAAACACCATTACTCAAGATTGCAAAAGAAAAGCAACAAGAGTCCTTTATGAATGTTCTTGTTTTGGCAGGGTCCTTGTCCGAATTGTGGAACGGAGAATGTCTCCTTCTTTGGAACAATTCTTACAATCTCCAGTGGCGGTAAAACCAACGCTGTCAAATGCTCCAAGTAAGATTATAGCTTTAGATCTTATTTCAAAAGAACATAACATTAAACAGTATTTGAATCATTGGTCATCTCTGTCTTTTTGTTGCGGTTTTAGCTGTGGAACAGCAATGGAGTATGACTCGGGTTCTCGGTTGATCACATTGCCAGAAGGAAGCCAAGCTTGAAGGCTGTGAGGTACCGAAATCTTCATATAGAGATAGTAATTCCTTTTGTAATTACTCTCTTTTAGTTCAAATGGAAATCTGAGATAGTAAAGTATTTTTTTTTTTTAAACAAGGTGAAGATGGGAAAAGAAGAATGGGTTTTGTCAGAAGCAAAATAGATATTGATGGTTGTATATTTAAGATCTTCCATGTTAGCTCTTTCCTCCTTCACATGTTTTCTGATTTGTAAGTATTGTGTAAGCAATAAGAGAAATATTTTATGAATACTTCTTCTATCAACCTTTTGTAGTGATAATATAGTCTTTAATAATAAGTTAGGTATCAAACTGATCTAACCCGAAACGAAACAAAATATTTTGTTTGGTTTGCTTATATTGAAAGACTAAATCCGAAAACTAAAATCGATTCTACTCTAGAGACTACAACTCAACAACAATTATGAGTAATGCATAGTATGAATTTTGGTGTCAAAAAAAAATTGAAATGGTGTGTAACATAAAGAGATTGATTGATAAGAGGACTAAAGTCAAGAAAACACATAATGAAAGGACAGACAAAGGTATTAGCATTTCAAAAGTGGTAAAGTCACACGAATATTAGCACGCCAATGTCTCTCTTTTATCTTTGCTTGTCTAAACTAAATTACTATATTTTTTCCTTATTTTGAACTAACACAAGAGTAATCGTTTTTTTTTTTTTGGGGTCAGGACACAAGACGACTAATCATGATCATCATCTTCCCATGCCTCTATCATCATTAACCCAATTTTCTCGTCCACTGTCTCAAAATTGCTTTTATGTTGGTATGAAAAAAAAAACATTTAAAACTGTAAACCTATACGTTAGAACGGTCATAAGCTTATTTAACAATTATCATATGTCTTTCTACAAAAGGTAAAAGAGAAATCTGACAAATGAAGTGTGATTGTTCATAATGTTGTCCACTTTATAAACACAAACACATCCCCACAAAGTAAAACACAAACAAAATCAAACTTTCTTTTCTCTTTCTAATTCACTCTTCTTCACTACCTCTGCAAACCCTTAGAATCTCTGGATCCTCTCATGGGTTCCTTCTCTTTATGTACATCAAAAATCTCGATCATCATCATCACCATACTTCTCTTATCATTTCACCAATCTTACTCTCAACCCATCCAATCTACTCATCTTCTAGATCTTATAATCAGAGATTACACCATTAGAAACTTTAAGCTAAACCTCAACACAGGCACACCACAAAAAATCCACCTCCCTTCTAATTTCTCCGGTATTGAAATCGACACGGTCAAGTTAAGGTGCGGGAGTTTGAGAAGATACGGTGCAAGAATCGGAGAGTTTCACATCGGCTCAGGCGTGACTGTGAAGCCATGCCCGGAAAGAGTCATGCTGGTTAGGCAAAACCTCGGTTCGAATTGGTCTTCCATCTACTCTACTGGTTATAACTTAACCGGTTACAATTACCAGCTCGTGTCACCGGTACTCGGTTTATTAGCTTACAATGCTAACCCTGACGGTGTAGCCACGAACCCTTTCGAGGTTAACGTTTCCGGTACGGATCAAAACCCAATTTTGATCGATTTCTTGAACAACAAGGCAAGTGGTAACACTAACCCTAGCACTAGCCCTAAGACGATAACGAAGAACTCATCAGTCTTGTGTGCGTGTTTCACAAGCAACGGTAACACAACGTTTAGTGATCAAGTTTCGCCTTATGTGTGTAAAGGAACAAGACAAGGACATTACGCTCTCGTGATGACGATAGAAGCTCGAAGAAAAGATGATGATAGTGGTGACGGTGGGATGGTGACGTCATCGACGGAGGTGAGTGGCGGAGGAGGAAGGTTGAGCCGGTGGAAAGTGGTGGTTGGGAGTGTGATTGGGTCGGGGATTGGAGCGATTCTGCTAGGGATGTTGGTGGTGGCGATGTTGGTGAAGGTGAAGAAGAAAGCGGAGAGAGAAGAAATGGAGAGAAGAGCTTATGAAGAAGAAGCTCTTCAGGTTTCAATGGTGGGTCATGTTAGGGCTCCTACTGCTCCTGGAACTAGAACTCTTCCAATAACTGCTGATGATAGGTATAAAAACAGTCATTTGATTAATTAACTATCCTTAATTATATTTTTTTCCCTGATTTTTCACAATTTAGTTTTGTTTTAACATATATATCAAAATTAGTTTGAATGAAATCCAAAATGAAATTTCATCCAAAATTTTTCTTTTCTTTAAACGGCTAGAATCTTTTGTTTTCTTTTTTTGTTTCCCTCTGCAAAAGTGAAGACTTTTACAGAATGGAGCAATTTCTCTTTTTAATGGTACTATATATATGGTCTTTTTTTACGTTGCTTATATATGTTATGGTCTAAATTAAAACCCCAACTTTCACATTGTAAGATCCTTTTTTTTGTTTTTTTTTTCATTTTTGATTTATCCTTTTTTTTATAATCCCTTTTCTATTTTGGACCTTTTGGTGAACACAAGATATTAAATTTCCATCCACACATCACCAAGGCCAAGGGACACCTCCTTAGATGTTAGCTAATAGCTATTATTGTTAACGTGAAAGCTGTTTTCACCAAACATCGTAATTACATGGAATTTCTCTTTTCTTTATTTTCTGTTTTGTTTGATTCTCTTTTTTTTTTTCCTTTTTTTTATTATACAAATCTTCTTTCCTTCATTGCTACAACAGTTTGGTTCCCTTAATTTAATGTGTGGAACGTAAAACAAATCACTTCCGAACGTGAGACTTTAAAAGAAAAAAAGAAACCAAACAAAAGACTACTTCATTGCAGCAACTTGCAAGTAAATATCATTCATTTTAGTAAGATTTTTTGGTTGCCTTTTTTCAGTTTTAAATGTTTTAGTATATAGTAAGAAAAATTGAAATTAAATAGAGTTTAAATCAATTTCTTATGATAGTATAAGTGTAGTTCTTTTAGTTGGATTGAAGTTTTCTAGTATATCTTAGATTTGATTTTTGATTTTTTTTTTTTTGAGACATCAGTTTTGGTTTGGTTTGTGTATCTCAATAATATTTTGGATATTGAAAAAAAAAACAATTCCATAGAATTCAGATCTGATATTAATATTTATATTAAAAAAATACTTGGCTTGAGTTGGCGTAGATCTATGAGATTTAATCTAAGATTAATATTTTCCTTGTGGATCTGCCATCTAAGATTTTTAAGATCACTAGTTTTAATTAACTCATTTGAAGTAAATGGGTGAAAGTGGAGTTAATAAATAACTAAATAAGTACGCATTTAGGCATATCTAATTGGGCCTAGCTATAAGCCCATAAAAACTTGTTTTCTAGGGGTCTAAATCAAACGATCAAGATCTAATCATGACGTAATCAACCTAAACACCACCTGATCACACCTCTTGATTTCGCATCAATTCACATGTCGTTTTCTGTTTCCCTTGAGATTTCCCGGGAAAGGAAAAATTAAAAAAAAAAGGAAAAAAAGGTAAAAAAGATTAAAAAAATAAAAAAATAAAAATCAATAAAAGGACAAAGAGGTTTCAACACTCTTTAGCCTTTGTTAAATCTGAAGAAGAAGAGACGAAGCAAAATAGTCAAAACCATGGAAGATCCTACCGCAAGCAATGTGACTCCGGCGGCGAATTCTTCTTCTCATCTGAATCTATCGCCGTCGATGAATACTCCGACGCTCTCGCTTGAGTCACGAATCAATCGTCTAATCAATGCCAACCAATCTCAGTCACCATCAAGGTCAATATACTCTGATAGATTTATACCCAGTAGATCCGGATCCAATTTCGCTCTCTTCGATCTCGCTCCTTCTCCGAGTAAAGACGGGAAAGAAGATGGGGCTGGCTCTTACGCGACTCTCTTGCGCGCGGCGATGTTCGGACCAGAGACGCCGGAGAAAAGAGATATTACTGGGTTCTCTTCGTCGCGAAATATTTTCAGGTTTAAGACGGAGACGAATCGGTCCTTGAGCTCGTTTTCGCCTTTTGTCTCCGATGATGCTCCTGGTGTTAGCCATAGTCCGATCAAGGCGTTGAGGAAGGTGTCGCGATCGCCCTATAAGGTGAGTTTTTTTTTTTTTTTTTCCTTTCCATGTCCGATTCTGGGGATCGTGCATTGCGAATTTCTCTTTTTTGGGTGTTTTTGATTGAAGTAGATTGTCAAATTTATAACAACGGATCTCGATCATATCTCGTGTTTGTGAGCTAGATTTGCATTGTGCGACACTGATCGTTCCTTGATTTGCTTTTTGTGTAATTTTTGTAGAATTGAGTTTGAAGACCTTAGATTATCGATCTCGTTGACTTTTGTTCTTCGATTCCGTTGTTGCATGAAACATTCTGTGATCTTGGTGATGTGTTGTTCTCTGATCCTGAGGTTAGTGATCTAGATGAAATAGTTATTGAAGAATGCTTGTTGTTTACTGTTTTTTCAATAGCTCTGAGTGTGGTTACAGATGTGCAGAGCTTGTTCTTGTCCTAGGATTTGAAATTTTTTTTGTTTGTGGGCAATGTTACTTCAGATGATAACAGAGGCTTTCTCTGTGTTCGTAGGTACTGGATGCACCGGCTTTGCAAGATGACTTTTATTTGAATCTCGTGGATTGGTCGGCGCAAAATGTTCTTGCGGTGGGACTAGGGAACTGCGTGTATTTGTGGAACGCTTGTAGCAGCAAGGTGAGTCCTTTTGCCACTTACAACTTTATAATAAACCTTTTTTTTTAACTTATGTGTTTCGTCACAGCAGTTTCTAGTTGTTTTGATGTTGATATCTTCCTTCAAATTCAACAGGTAACTAAGTTATGTGATCTCGGGGCAGATGATAGCGTTTGCTCTGTAGGTTGGGCGTTACGTGGAACTCATCTGGCTGTTGGAACTAGTACCGGGAAAGTACAGGTTAGATCTCATTTACGTTTTGTTATGTGCATTGTTCTATACTCTTAGCCTATGTGTTACTAAGAATTTAAGTTACTTTTCAACATTCTGAATCTGGAAGGAAAGTTGTAAAGTATATACCTACAGTTACAGAATGATTGGATCATATATGGGGACTCTAGTATTCGTGCCACATCTATTAGTGGAACAATATCAGGGGATTATTACAAAGATATTTTTCTTGAATGATAACATATGCTCGAATAAACCCTTATCGGTTAAGATGGAAAGTATCTGAAAAGTATATGAAACCTTAGCCGATAGGATTTGAGGAATTTATGATGTTCTTTTTATGGAATATTCACTTTAACTGTGTTTTGACAGATATGGGATGCGTCGCGCTGCAAGAGAACAAGAACAATGGAAGGTCATCGGCTAAGAGTTGGAGCCCTGGCATGGAGCTCATCGGTTCTGTCATCTGGTAGCAGAGACAAGAGTATTCTTCAGAGAGACATACGTTGTCAAGAAGATCATGTCAGTAAACTGACAGGTCATAAATCCGAGGTATGTGGACTCAAGTGGTCTTATGACAACAGAGAGTTAGCATCTGGCGGAAACGATAATCGGGTATGTACTGTTATGTTCTTCATTTGTAGTTACATTAGTCTTCTTTTTACCACCAACATGGCTAAAATGGTCATGGATTTTTCCGCAGCTTTTTGTATGGAACCAACATTCAGCACAACCAGTATTGAAATATAGTGAACACACTGCAGCGGTTAAAGCCATTGCTTGGTCTCCTCATGTTCACGGGCTTCTTGCTTCTGGTGGTGGCACTGCTGATAGATGCATACGTTTTTGGAATACAACTACGAACACTCATTTGAGCTCCATAGATACATGCAGTCAGGTAAATTACTTAACTTGACATGACTTCACGAAACATACCAAAAATTTTCACGGTTGATAATCGTCTTTGTTTATGCATATTTACAGGTATGCAATCTGGCTTGGTCTAAGAATGTTAACGAGCTGGTTAGCACGCACGGATACTCCCAGAACCAAATCATTGTCTGGAAATACCCAACCATGTCCAAAGTATGAAATCTATCTCTCTCTCTCTGACCATTTTCCTCTGTATATTACTTTAATGGTTAACCATCTCTCTTTTGTTTTGGTTCAGATTGCAACTCTGACCGGTCACACTTATCGTGTTCTGTACCTTGCGGTTTCACCCGATGGACAGACGATTGTAACCGGAGCAGGAGATGAAACCTTAAGATTCTGGAATGTATTCCCTTCCCCGAAATCTCAGGTAAAAAACACTAACTTATCCACATCTGTAATTAATGATCTTCAAAAATGTTAGTTACAGAGGAACTGATTTCGATCTGTGTGGTCTCAACGCAGAACACGGATAGTGAAATCGGGTCGTCTTTCTTTGGTAGAACAACAATTCGGTGAATATAATCATTTCAAAACACAGACAGATACATGTTCTTTCATTTCTTCAACAGCAGCCTCTGAGTTGGTCGTCTCAACCAACCTTTTCACATGGAGAAAGAGTCGAATTAAACTCTTTTTCTCTCACACGGATGCAAAAAGATCTAACCCTTTTTGATATAATACGGAGGGGTTCGACAAGATGCGTAACAAATTTTCAAACTGTATATCTTTATTCAAATTTTTCATTATACATCATATATAAAATTTTGTTGTTGTCTTTTACTTACGAACACACACCAATTTATAGTGAGTCATAATAAATGCAATAATTCGTTGCCCAACTTTCTTGTATCACTTCTTCTTCTTGTTGTCTACCCATATTTGGTCGTCATTTACAGGTAGGTAGATAGACAAATGGGGTGAGAGGAAAAGAAAAAAGTCATCTTTATTCTGGTTTATTAAAATAAGAAACTTGTGAAGAAAGAGACCAAATAAATCCAAGAGAGTGATTTGGAATCATTAGAAAGCAAGGAGTGGCCAGTACGCTTTGTAATGTAGACCAGACAAGTCTTTTGCCGTCACTCACTCCTAATCTCTTTACCTTCACGTTTCTCCTTATGGTTTCACCGTTGATTTGTGTCCTAATATGCGACTATTCCTTTATACAAACTTTAATTTGGTGATGATTCTTGTGAGCTTACGTTTTCGTATTTTAATACTTTTTTCTGATTATTCGTATTCGTGAAATTTCCCACCTTTTTTAAATGTTTGATCCATATTTACTACGGTTTTTTCCTTTGGGTATTTTGTGATTATTGGACAATTTTTATTTTATTTTGCTTAGCTTTTATGCATTTTTTTTTTGTTTGATTCTACCAGTCATCCCTTTTGTTGCTTATTCATGGCAAAGTTACATTTTGAACGTGTGAATGAGATGTTATTGTGATGGTCAAAGACTCAAGACCAGACGCAAAGTACTAAACATTTTTAACTTAATTTGGCACTAGTAAACCTACAAACAATCATTATTTTCCTATACCACATTATGTACACCAAACCAAACCCAACCAAACCAAACCAAACCAATACTAGATGATCCATCAGAAGGAAAGATCTTCCATTCCCTTTTCACTTTACAAACCACCAAAAAGGATGATAAAAAAGTATTCAATCACTAGAGTTTCTCCGGATTAGGAGTAGAAATTCCCTCAGCCTGAGCCCCAGAGTAACCACTAGCTGTTTCATTACTAAGACTATGAGACCACGGAATCGAGCTAACCGGTGGAAAACAACAGCTGCACTCATCCGCGCACCGAGTCTCAGGAAGAGTTTGAGTCCTGTGACCATCATGCGAAGTAGCTTCCCAAAGCGGACCCCAACACTCTACTCTATTGAACTCATCGACGTTAGAATGGAAATAAACCCAAACAAGAGCTTCTTGCAACTCAGGGTAGCTGTTCAACAGGTTCCCATCGCCATGCACAAAAGCCTTGAGCACCTAAACATATCAAAACAATCATAGTAATCAACATTCTCGTTTCACATGATGTAAATAGATGAAGTTATTTTCACTTTGGAAGCTTACCACTGGTAGTTCTTTGCAAAAAATGTAATATCGAAACTTTGCGAATAGATCTAACAGGAAATGGCCACCGCTTATGTGACAGTGAACATGAAGAGACATTTTCCCTTTCACTTTTTTCCATTCTGCTACCACTTCATCTCGGTATATCTTATTTGCCCATCCTTGTAACTACATAGAGAATGCATATACATCAACCTCTAAATTGCTAAAACCATAAAAGCATAAACTAAACCATTTTTTAATGTTCTTCAATAGCCTCTACTATGTTTCTGTGTCTGTAGATATGTTGAGAGCAGAGACAAGGGTTTTACCTGAGAATTGTTTATAGAATGGGAAATAGCTAAAGTTAATTTAGCTGTAATGTCACTGTGAGTGAGCGTGTAAGTTCTTGGGAGCGTTGATGGATGCTTCTTCTCATCAACCCCTAAAAACAATACTTTCAATTTGGATGATTCGAAAATTGCCGGTCCAAACAATCTTGCCATCTGCACCAAATCCAAAACACCTTTAAATAACCGAATAATGTTCTTAGCTTTACGAATCATTTCTTTAATCTCTACACAGATAAGAAATAATCTTTAAGGTCCCTAACACATAAAGTTAGCGTTTTGAAATCGAACAAGAACCGTAATATTCACGAATTTCCTAAAAGCCGTGAAGAATTGAAACTATAGCTGGAAATAGATACTGTAAGAACAGCGGATCAGCTCAATTACACTGGATTTTTCTGAACAATATATCAAATGACCAAAACAAACAAAAATTTCTATCAAGATGATGAAAAAAAAAGCCTTACGGGAACAATCGATTGGTTCTTCCTCTTGGATCTTCTATTGGCGACAAAGAGTGAGCTGCTACTATTACTCCGTTTGTCCGGATAAGCTGGTCTCAGCTTTGTCGGTAACAACAGATTCGCCGACAAACTACACATCGCTGCTCTCTTTAGCCAAAATCAAGCTTCAATTTTTCAGAACTAGGACAGAACAAAACAGCCCTAAATACAGAGAGGCCCTTTTGCAAGGCCTGGAACCAAATCCTCACGCGATTTCTTGCGTGTGTGTACACTAAAACCAAAATCGAAAGCTTGTGACTTTAAGAAGAAAAAAAAAACCCAAAAAAACGAAGCTTTCGTTTGCTTGAAGCTTTAGCTTTTGATTATCCTTTGGGACCTTCTTGTTTCCTCTTCCTGGAATTTAGGGTTCTTCTGATGCGTATTGGGTTGGTTCTTGTGTTTTAAAAGGGGTTGCTTCACGTTTCACACTTCCCTGCCCAAATCTTCGACACTCTTTTGGAATTTTTTTGAGCATGAGAGAGTGCCACGTGTCATCTCGAATACTTGCATGAGTTTCCCATGTGTCGTCGTGGTGGGGCTAACAAGTGGCTTTAACAGTCTTTTGGATAACTTAACCATCTCGTTGCGACAGAAGGACACAGATTCGACTCGAACCGAACCTTGATCATGAACTTGTCGAGCCGAACCCAATTTGTACGGTTTATTACCGGTTTAATATAATATCATTGGTTTGCCGGTTTAGAAATTAGATTTTCACTCAAGTCATCTTTTCCATCACCAGCGTCATCTCCGTCATTTGCTTTTCAATTTCAAAGTGTCTCTGCTCTAATCGGTAAGATTCTGTGATTTGAGGTTGCATAAATTGTTTGGGGGATGAGATGATTATACAGTTGTGGTAATTGGATTTCAGAAACTGATTTTCTTTGATTTATAAAAAAAAATTAAGAGGAAGTCGTGATGGATTCATGAGCCTTTTGATATGATAGTTAAAGCTTAAGATATGTGGCAGATAAGGTGTTCGACTAAATGTCTAAATGAACTTTTGAAATGTGGTTGTGTTTTGTCAGTCAGAGTTTTCGCTTATGGGGTTTATTAGCTTAAATTCAACTTGTTTGCGATAATATGCAGATTTTCGTTTGGTCTTATTTTGCTTGATGGATGCTAATTTGTTCACTTGTTGAATGCCTTATCTTTTGTTGCCCTTTTGAAGAGGCGAATCTTGCAAAGTCTTGTGATGATAAAGACTTTGGTTTCTCCTTGTAGTGTATGTACTCTTGCCTCCTCCACTCTTGAGTCTTGTTTTGTTTACTCCAAATTATTCAGTCACGTGACCCAAATTTTGATTTAATTTAAATTCAGAAGCATCTCGCTGACCCAATATTTATTCATGTTTTAGGGATTTGGATCTCAGAAACTGAAGTTTGACAGATCTTGTACGAAAGTGAAACCGAGAGCAGTAAGAATGGAACTCACAATCACTCAACCTGATGATTGGCATCTTCATCTCCGTGACGGTGATCTTCTTCAGGCTGTTGTTCCCCACAGGTCATATAACTTCCTGCAATTTTTTTTGTTTTTATTTTGTGTGGCTTCTGTGTGTTTTTGCATCACTCTTTGGTGGTTATTAGTGTTTACAATGGAACCTTTGCTGTTTGTTCTGTATGAATTCCTCAGTTACACAATCTATATTTTCTTTGATGCTTGTGTTTTATCTGATGGGAAATGCGTTGTGTGAATGTGTGTAGTGCGAGTAATTTTAGGAGAGCGATTGTGATGCCGAATCTGAAGCCGCCTGTTACAACCACTTCAGCTGCCATAACTTACCGGGAATCTATCATGAAAGCTTTGCCATATGGGAGCAGCTTTGATCCACTTATGACACTTTATTTGACTGACAAAACCCATCCTGATGAGATCAAGCTTGCCAGTAAGTACCTGTGCCGTTGTTTGTCCATCATGTTGCAAGTAGTCAGATACATTTTCATCTTTCAAGTTGAGGTTCTACTTGCGAATGTTCAGCTTATGTATATATAAGCTCGTTTTTAGGGGAAAGTGGTGTGGTCTATGCGGTGAAGCTGTATCCTGCCGGTGCCACAACCAACTCTCAAGATGGTGTTACGGACCTCTTTGGAAAATGCTTACCAGTACTAGAAGAGATGGTCAAACAAAACATGCCTTTGCTGGTAAATAAACGGCACATCACATTAGATTTTTTAAAGTCTTTTAGACCATCTTGTCTAAAAAATGTTTTGGTTAGGTTCATGGAGAGGTCACAGACCCGTGTATTGATGTCTTTGACCGCGAGAAAATCTTCATTGAGACAGTTCTGCAGCCTCTAATCCAACGCCTTCCGCAGCTGAAAGTAGTGATGGAACACATCACTACCATGGATGCTGTGAAATTTGTTGAATCTTGCAAAGAAGGTTTTGTAACTATCTTAGCTCTCAGTCATTGTCTTTTGGTTATTGTTATTCTGCTTGGCTCATCATACCCTTTTGTTGGTTCTAGGGTTTGTGGGTGCAACAGTCACACCACAACATCTCCTTCTCAACCGGAATTCTCTTTTCCAAGGTGGATTACAACCGCACAACTACTGCCTTCCCGTTCTCAAAAGAGAGATACACCGTATGTTCTTCACTTTTCTCTAGAACATTAAGATTTCATTTCTTACAGCTCCTTTCTGAAGATTATTGTTGCTTAAACCTCAATTATACAGGACAAGCCATTGTTAAAGCTGTAACTAGTGGAAGCAAAAAATTCTTCCTTGGCACAGATAGTGCTCCGCATGAGCGGAAAAGAAAAGAAACATCCTGCGGATGCGCTGGTATTTACAGTGCTCCCGTTGCCCTGTCTTTATACGCCAAGGTCTTTGATGAGGTAAACTTTGTTACTCGAACAGTGTACTATCCCGGTTAGGAGTTTCCTTATGTTCATAGCTGATGCTTCTTTAATGTTCAGGCTGGTGCGCTTGACAAGTTGGAAGCTTTCACAAGCTTCAATGGACCTGATTTCTATGGCCTCCCAAGAAACTCGTCGAAGATCACACTGAAGAAAGCTCCTTGGAAGGTTCCAGAGGTTTTCTCCTTCTCCTTTGGGGAGATCATTCCAATGTTTGCTGGAGAAACCCTTCAGTGGCAACCGTTCTTCAAATAATGTGGTGGTTTGGAACTGTTTAATTTTTCCTCCCAAATCGGGAAACTCATTGTATCTCTTTGATTCTATTTTCTTTTTCTTTTTTGGAATAAAAACAAGATACTGGCCAAGAATATTGTTTATTTGTGCTTGAATCTGTTCTATTCTTTTACTATTGAATCTAATTGACAGTACAATCCTCAGTCAGGGTGTGTTTGATGCCTACTATCGCCGATGAAGATGTTCCATTCTCATAAACGCTAGGCAGAACTGATGTTGAGTTATCCCTAGATGGACTCATTGGCCAAGGTATGTCGTCTTCCATATTCATCGACCCTCCTAGATTCTGATTGTGTCGAGATAAATCTGTGTCAGAGACTTCTGCTCCACATTCATCCTCGGTTGTCATGTCCTTAGTTGTTCCATTCTCATAAACGCTAGGCAGAACTGATGTTGAGTTATCTCTAGATGGACTCATTGGCCAAGGTATGTCGTCTTCCATATTCATCGACCCTCCTAGATTCTGATTGTGTCGAGATAAATCTGTGTCAGAGACTTCATCTCCACATTCATCCTCGGTTGTCATGTCCTTATTTGTCTGCATATGTCTAGTAGAATGATCCGGTGAAGTCAAATTCTCGTCTTCCTCGGAAGACTTAGTAAATGAATTGTCTGTGCTCCTGGAATCTGGACATTTGCTCTGCATTTAAATCATGTTTTATTTCAGATTTCTGCCGAAACACTCGAGAAACCTAGAAACCTAAGATTAGAGATACCTGCACCGCTTCTCTGAGAGAAGAATCCGATATAATTGGCTGGACAGCTTGAGGTTTATCTATTCTTCTACTTTGAGAAGCTTGCTTTCTAGTTTCATCGCGCATTTTAATGTCGATTTCCTTAGTGGGTGGGTATTTTGGTAGAGAAGATGGATCACAAGCCAATGGCTCAGTTTTAAAGTACTGTTTCATATTAAAAGAAGCTAAATCATAAGAACAACAAACCACATTTTACAGAGAAACATGTAAAGATCCAAACCCAAGTATGTACCTCGCTCTTGAGAGCACTAGCTGCACTCCCTCGAAAATCTGGGTCTACTGAGAGCAAAGTCTCTAGAAGCGAAATAACAGGACTTGGAAACTCTTTGAATGTCTCTGCTATATTTGAACCATATGGAAACATGGGTCTCATTGGAGTTGGAAGCTGTAGCTTTAGTTTTGTCCAATAATCCTCTGAAGGCGATCCACACAACTCGAATATCTTTTGCAGTTGTTCTGTCTAACATTTAGAATGCAGAGAACAAAGTCTGAGACCTTTGCTTATCTTGGTAAAAACAAGATCGATTGGAATGTAACTGTTTGTTTACCTCGTTTTTCCCAGGAAGAATAGGCTTTCCAGCGTATAATTCACCGATTACGCAGCCTGTGCTCCACAAGTCAATCCCAACACCGTAATGAGAGGCTCCAAGCAAAAGCTCAGGAGGTCGATACCATAGAGTTACAACATGTGTAGTCAATGGAACACTGTTATGAGGATCAAAGAACGTTGATAACCCAAAATCCGCAATCTTGAGGACTCCATTTCCGTTTATGAGAAGATTCGAGCTTTTTATATCTCGATGAAGTACATGATTGGTGTGACAATGATCAAGCCCTCTTAAGAGCTGCGTCATATAGCATTTGACCTGACAGAAAAGAAGAGAGATGTGATTGATGGCTACGAAGTTTTTTAATAGAAGTGATAAGACAGTACCTGAGGTTCTGAGAATTCGACACCGAGTAATGAAGAGAGTCCCAAAAGGTCATGTTCCATGTACTCAAAGATCATGTAGAGGATAGAGGAATCGTGGTCTACTAGCATTAATCCTTCCAATTTGATGACATTGGGATGATCTAGCTTCCGCAGGATTATGATCTCTCTGGCTATACACTTGATGCTTTCTGAGTCGCTGAGATCAAATCGGATTCTCTTCAAAGCTACGGTTTTATTACGGAGAAGATCTCTACCTTTGAACACCTTACTGAATGTTCCTCCTCCAATCTGTTGCAGAGACAGAGAATAAGTTTGTTTATCAAGAAGAATGAGTAAGAACAGAGATTCTTAGATAAAGAAGAGAGATTCTTAGAGAGAGAAGAGGGACTTGTTCTTGCTTCTCGAAGTGAGATTCACGGCCAGGGATCCAACCGACAAGCGCTTCACCAGCGGCAGAGATAAGCCACGGTGGCCAACCGGAGGCAGCTAATTCCGATGACCGAGGATGAGAATTAACAACAAGAACACTTTCCTCTCTCTTCAGCTCCTTGGGTCCTAATTTATCACTCATCTTCAACAATTTTGTATCCTTCTGGGCTTGATCATCATCATCTATTATAGTTTGTGATGTAGGAATGTGGAAGCGAGGACGGTTTTCCGGCGACCCTTTTGTCGCCTGTTTCTTTTTCCGGGAAGAAATCATGCAACCCATATTGACAAAAAGCTTGAGACACACGGCACTTAATGTGTTACAAAGGTTGCGAATATGATGAAGAGAAAGGAGGATATAGAAATTGCGATAAAGAGACGCAAACTATACAAATTGAACCAAACAAAAAAAAAAAAGTGAAAAAGAGGAAATGTCTGAAGTATGTACAGAACCAAATTCGCCGGAAAGCGACAGGACTCAATCTAACTTTTTCTTTTGAGGGTGAATGGTCCCCCTTCCAAAAGGCTTATGGCTAATCACTTTTATTCTCTTTAGATTACTATACGTAAACTATTGGTTAACCAATTCGGTTTTAGTTCGGGTTGTTCAATGTATTGTCGGTATTTTGAGAATTGGAGTTACTTCTCGGTTTTAAGAATCAGAAATCAGAATGAACGACCAATTTTGCTTTCCTTACTATAATGATTTTGTTATGATATAGATGAATTGCTATTCAATTTACTTTTAAGTTTAAAGTGTTTTTTTTTGTGTAAGAAGAATGTAAACTTTACTTATAAAAAAAGAAAAACATTTTTACTGTGACTGCTTCAAGATTCTAAAGTTCGAGTTTGATTTTAAGAAACTATTATTACATAGTGTTGTTCTTTTGTCAGTACCACACGACTCCATGATTGATTGTCCAATATCGAAAAATATTGTTACATAGTTTACTTCCACACATCCTGGTGGTTCCCGTTTAGTATCCTTGAACACTTTCTCATGTTGAACTTTCCAAATGAACTTACATTACACAAACTCAGATATACAAATAAAATTGTTTTGCCGAATTAAAATTTACACAAATTAACTACATTACACTATCAGTTGAGCTACGCATCTCCAAAAAATAAAAATTCAAAATTGCCGAATTAGCTGATCATAGTGCCTTGTTTAGCTGTATAAGTTATATTATTGTTTTTATACTGAAGACGCAGGTAAAAAAAACTAAAAGGACCGAATAATAAACGTATTTTACAGGTAAATTTGTAAGTTTAAATCCTTGACTAAGAACAAGTTAAACACACGAGATTCAAAGATTATTGATATCTCAGATTCATGGACGAAAAGGCAAAAAAAAGTTCATACATTAGTAGTAAACATATTTTTTGAAGTTGTGAAATTAGTTTTGAGGAGGGATTTTTTTGGATTGTCTTGTCTCAGGAGGTCCAATGAATAAACCAGTCTCCACTTCCATGGTAGTGTCATTGTCATCTATGTTCACTTCTGATGATGATAAGGTTGATGATGATGATGCTACTATTGCTCCCATTCCACGCCACTTTTATTTACACAATTTACCAAAAGTATTAATCAAAGACCATATACATTTCATAATAATAATCGCATCATGACTAGCTACAGAAGATAGAAAAAAAATGGTACCTTCTGCTTCAGTTCTTTATTTTCCTTAATAAGATTCCTCCCCTAATTTTTTGACAAGGAAAGCAGAGTTATTTCTTACTTCAAGTGTTGAAAATCGAAATAAAAATGATTATTTATGTAATCATATATAAATATACGAACATACATTTAGAGAAAGAAAAAAGGCAAAGGTGAATTTTGTTTTACCTCTTCCTTCAGCTTTTCAATTTCTCCACGGAGTAATTGGTACTGAAAATAATTGAATATACAAATAGATGTAAGCAAAAAGTTCCTTAGTAAAAATAATTTATTGAATAGACATTCGCATGTATATTCCAATGAATCTTTGGACCATATATCTAGAGTCGGCCCTGAGTTTTAAGTGGCTGTAAGCTAAAATAACAAATGGGCCGTTTTATAACTAAAAAAAATAGACAATTTTATAACTAAAGAAAAATGGGCCACAAATTAAAAAAAAAATTTGTATAAAAAATAAGGCCGCAAACCCATGCTTGGCATCAGGGCCAGCTCTGCATATATCCACAGCATATGTAGTTGTATAGTAGATACTCTTAACTACAATATTATCTTGACGATGATATATAATACGATTGGTGAAGCCATGCAAACCATGCACACATCAATGATATACTCATGCATGGAACGCAACAGGCCGTAATTAAATAGCATGTTAAATGTTTAATAGAAGTATAGAACATGTATTGTTCTGATATGAGCCTGCGACTGATTTTGATCTCTTGTAACTGGAGCCGTGCTTAACGTGAGAGAAAAAAAAAAAAAAAAAAAAAAAGAGAAAGAGACTAGCTTAGCTTCTTTTTGACTCTAATTATCTTAGAGAACAAAACTGAATGTTGGAAGTTGATTTCCCATAAACTTAAAAAAATCTCTTCGACCTAATTCAGAGAGACAACACACCAAAACCAAATGCATTAAAAAAAAAACATTAATTAAAAACTCCTGAATCCTTATCCCGTACGTTCTAATTAATATGAAACATGTTTTCATAAAAAAAAAAAAAGGATTTTGGTTCAAATGGGTAGTTGAAAATGCAAAAATATGAACATACAACTTCCATCATACACTCCTAAGTAAACATAACATATAGTACATCCACACTTAATATTATAAACTCGCATAAAAACGAGGATATTTGAATGAATCCTAATTTCATTTATCACTGGAAATGACGAGTGAGTGTATGTATGAATAAAATCGATATTTTTGAAAATGTTCATATTATAATTTATGAGCATTCAGTGTGATATTATGTTGTATTTTTTTGGTAAATAACAACAGTACCTTCTTGGCTCTTATCCTGGTCAAGCCTCGCTCCAACTGATTCTCTAACTGTTGCAGCTCCTCAATAGAACATACATCAATACCTTCTCCAACCAGTTTTCTGCAATTTTATAGTAAAATTGTCTTACAGTTCCTAATATTAATAATAATAATAAGTTATTTTTTCATAAGATATTACGAGTTCCAAACCGTTTAGATATCTCTAGCTGCTCAATCTTTTTTGTCAAGCCAGATGTTTCGCTTCTTGCTTGCTGTAGAGTAAGTAAGTAGTATAGTCGGCGAACGTTTAAGCACACAAAAAGAATATTTATGAAAAATTACTCATCCACAATATGTAAAACCCATTGAATGAGAATTGATTTTAAGCATAATTCAGATGAAAGATTTAGTAAGAGTGTTGATTACCTGAGAATCATCATCTCTCTTATTGTTAATCCCAATTTCTTTTACTCGTCTCTGATATCGTTCTATTGTATTTGCTATACTGAAAATTATAAATAAAGTCAACGAAACAAAAAATGTACGGAGTCAAAACTAAGCCTTTTCACTTCATTTTCCAACAATTAAAATCACTATTTTATATATTATCATATTAGAATTCTAAAGTTAATATATATATATATATATATATGTGTGTATATGTGTGTGTGTGTGAATGAAAAGAAAAAACTATTTATGTGAGTTTCTATATAATTGATCTCATTTTCTATTGGCATTCAAAATAATAAACCATCATGACTTATTATTGATTATATTCAAAAATTAATTAGGTAGATGACAATAATGTGACCTCTTCTTATAAAACCGTCCAAAAGTTTTAGTTATTTTTGATTGAACACGTTATTTTATTAAACTAAAATGATATTTTATATTGTATTCGTGAATAAATATATTAAAAATAGAAATATATTAGGTATTTAGATATCTACATAGAAAATTTATATGGGATTGAAAAGAAAAATCCCTCTACTCCCACTTAATAATAATAGTTAAAACAATTCTGTTAAAATCTTTATTTAATAAATTAGACGTCACCATAATAACATCTTACATAAATATCATGATTTTTTTTAATAGTTAAACGAATAACAAAATCGTCCAAAATATTATTATAGTTGTTTATAGCTATTTCTTAATTTATCTCAAAATAATTGCCACTCTGCCTAATTATTCTACATACAATGTAAAAAGAATCATGTGGATAATACATACTACAATTGTTCCCAAAAGTTAGGATATGATCTCCTGTTTCGAGGATCAGATATTGTATAGTTTATACATGATATCAATATATTTAAGAGTAATTGTAATAAAGGGTAATAGATGTTATCAAAATTAAGAGATACCTTTTGAGTGTAGATCTCATAGAACTATTCACTATAAAAAAACTATATTACTTTTATTCTCCAAAATTTTGCTATATCGCAGTTATCACGATAATTTTTTAATTATTATCAATATTCTAAATAAATTACTGTAAATTATTGTTAATATTTTATATACATTATGTATAAATATAAATATTATCGTTATATTATTGTTAACGTGCTATATTTCTCGATTATTAGTGTTAATATTTTATTTTTAACAAATATTATTGTAAATATGTTAATATTTTATTACAAAATTTTGGAATTATCACGTTATAATTATCTGATATATTTGTTAACATTTATAATTATCATATATATTTGTTAATATGTTAATATATTATATGATAACAAAGTTAACACAAATTTATAGCAATAACTTTCATATTTAACACAAACTTTCATATTTATAGCGATAACATGTTAATATTTTATTACAAAATTTTGAAATTATCACGTTATAATTATCTGATATATTTGTTATCACTTATAATTATCATATATATTTGTTAACATGTTAGTATATTATATGATAACAAAATTAACACAAACTTATAGCGATAACTTTCATATATTTTATGTTAACTAAATAGTTATCCAATAATAAAAAAAAAATTTCTCTTAGATGAATAGTATCAGCGATGATGAACAGTATCTTCAGTAATGCCATGTGCAAAAAAAAACTAATGGCAATTTATGTAAATAAGTAAAGTTAAAAGGATAATAATGGATAAAACAAAAAATTCTATTTACTACTTACCTAATTATTAATTTATGAATGCTATATATTTAATTTTTTTATTAACCATTGATATAGAATAAGTTCACTTTATATTTAAACCATCTTTAGTTTCAATACCCCAAAATTTTCGAAACAAAGTATTCTTTTGGTAAACTGAAAATAAAAGATTTGTTCCTCTTTACTTACAATGCAGAATAAATAGTAAAAACCATAGGAATAGTTTATGAAATTAAGATTTATGATTCAGCATTATATACACATATATATATATATATATGCAGGGTCAGGCAGCACATGGACATGCTCAGATCGATATCGAAATTAATAAGCTTTACCCTTTAAAATATTGCGTTAAGAACTATGATTCTGTGGTTAACAATGCCTAGTTAATTGTGATTAACCTCTCTTAGATTTGCTCAAAAGACACGTATATTGTTTAAGTGCCTAATTCTTTAGGCTATGCTTAACCAGCATAATCAAAAAAACAAGTACAATCGTAACTCAATAAATGAAAGTAAGAGAAAACATAGAAAATGAATATAATTCTGATCTACACACATGCGCTGACTCCTTCACTGCCATTGCTGAAGTAAGCGTTTTGTAGGTGAAAAGTGAAGCAAGATGCCTCTTTGTTGCCACATTATTACATAGATATACAAACATATATATATCCATTAAGTATATAAGTAGACTCACATATATATCTGAAGACAAATGTTTTATATATGTAGTCACCGTATGCTTAGACATGTTCTTACAAGTAATCCATTCATACTTTCCCGAATGTGTAAAAATAATTACTTATATACATCGAATATATGGAAGAGCAAACCAAACTCGCACATACCCACACAAACACACACACAAATTTGTATATAAACATATGTAGAGACAGACTCAGAGACAAATGGTACACATGTCTTCATAAGGAAAATAATCGTTAATTCCATATGGCTATTTCGCCTAATTCATGGACATTTTGATAACACATGTAAGGCCTAATTTGAGTAATTAAGGACACTATGCTCAAAAGTCATATAAATTCTGCTACATATAACTAGCTACATATTTACTGATAGCTAGCATTGACTTTTCTTTGTTATAAAGGGATAAACATCAGATATTTGTAAACTAAAGCTGTTTCCATATCAAAAATATCTCGTTAAAGAGAGAGAGAAAGAGACAGAAATATCAACTCATCTACAGCGAGAAGTAAATGGCTCATAACACGTACACATATATACATACATATATATATATATATCATAGATTGAAGTGCCATGTAAATCTGATTACTACTTCAGTCCTATAAAAATACTTCAATTTCTTTCTCCGATTTACTAACTACTTTGTCTAGAAACCAAAATCATCATTATCTCACTCTCCATCACGGCTTTGAAAATAATAAAATGAATCGAAGCTACTAATTATGGTGAAAAATGGATGGGATTAGATTAGTCCCTAATCAAAACGGGATCAATAAATCGATTTAGCACAAGTAGAAAAGAAAAACAAAAGGAGAGGGGTGGAAAAAAGAAATGTACCTTGAGCTAGAGAACTCATAGATTTTGGATCTTGGAGAGAGGATGATCAAAGCAACTTCAGCATCACAAAGGACAGATAATTCGAAAGCTTTCTTCAAAAGACCATTTCTTCTCTTGGAGAAAGTCACTTGCCTGCTCGTTGCGTTCTCTATCCTCTTCATCTCCGTCTTTCCCCTCACCATCTTTTCCTTCTTATTAAGCCTAATACAAATCCAAACCTTCTGCTTTAATTAAATCTCAGCCAAACAAACAAACCAAAAAAGACAAAGATTTACTTAACTCATTAAAACGAACAGTATCCTGAAATTAAACTTAATTAAGATATGTTATGGTTCAGAAGAACATCAAGAGCAACAACAAGTAGGATCGGGAAAGAAGATATGCTTTGATTTGACTTCTTTTAGAAGAAAATGAGAGCAATAATTATCTGCTATAAATAGAATATGAATTAACGGAAAAAACTGAAGACGGATTTCGAGATTTACCCTCTTTGTAACTGTGTATGTGTGAGTGGATAAAGAGAGAGAAAGCAAAAAAGAGAGAGATTTTGGGAAGAGGAGTGACAGATTGCTGGGAACTTCTTAGAAACCCTAGATTTATGATGAAGGAGGGGAGAGAGAACAAAAACTTATTTTTTTTACATTATGCTTTTAGAATGAATGAAATTTGATAATAGCCTCTCTTTTTTTCTTTTCTTTTTCTGCTTTTTATCACAATTGCCATTTTCTCTTATGCCTATAGTGGTCTATACTCTATATAACCCTAGACCTGGCTGACTTTTATTTTTAGAAACAGCATTACGTAATTTCTTTCTTCTTTTGGTAAAAACTTTAATCCAAAATTGTTATTTCTGTCAGCAGTCTAAATTGAAGGCATATATATATTATATAATAAAATAAGTTCCAATAGGATGACATTGACAAGTACATCAAAATTCACGATATGACTTTTCTTTCTTTTGGATTTTAAATTAAGTATACAAGAACCTCTCGTACGACGTATATATATAAATAACAAATTTTTTTATAAAAGTTTCTATACTATTTCGTGATGTATAAACGTCAAATTAGTCGTCTTGTTGACAGAAAAAAAAGATGTCCTACACATTTTTCTGATTTTTACGAGTTGTTAGTTGTTACAGGTAAATAGAGAGATTTACGGGATAATTAAATAATAATGATGGTGTAATCGAGGTGAGGAAGCGATGGTGATTGATAATACTCCAGGTTATTATAACAGGGACCATACTCTCACCGAGTCACCGTACTCACGCGTCTGTGACAGACCAGTTAAATCGAACCACGTGGACAAGTTATCATGTGACAGCTCCGCTCCGTCTAGCTTTTACTACTTTATTCGTTTCCCCGCGTTATTTTAATTAGTGTAACTAATCTACATAAGCAAGTGGTTATCCCACTATTGGATGCTATTTAATATACTAATCAGACATTTAATAACATTTGTACTTAACTAATTGTATTCATCTTTTCATATCTCGATACAGGTGTCGCACGCTAGGAGGACCACATCCCTTTCACCAATTGAGCTCAACTAGTAATGTGTGTTTTCTTGTTCTTTCTGATTTTTTTTTCTAGCCAGCAAGTAATTCTTGTTAAATTGCGTTTCCTTAACATATAAAACTTTTTCTAACATATTATTTATTTTTTAACAAGAAACCTATGTTTCTCTTTTCCAAATATTTTTTTAGTGATAAACGAAAGCAAATCTGGTATAAGTGGTAGTTACATGATCAAATGATCTCCAAAATCTACGAAGGTCAAGTTTTCTTTCATTGAACGTCTTGTCAAAGTTCTTCTCCCTGTATATAAATTGGAAATTCTAACAGAAGTATTTTTCTTTTTTTGGTCGAGTTTCATATGCTTATTCTTAGACTATTTATGACGTTATGACTTATGACGTCAGCACCAGTGTAAATCTGTAAAGTGATCATTAATAAGCTACACATGAATTATGTGCTAGATGGATGGCAAAACTAAAAGTTTATATTCATATGAATTTGATGCATACGCTTGATGGTCAATCTATGAGCCAATATACGGGCAAAAACAGCGACTATGGTTTATCTTTCAAGATGAAGGTTTAGCTCAAAATAGCATATATAAGAACGAAAACCTAGTTCAACAAGAAGTATAAAAACTCAAGAGAGACAGATCAACAACAAGCTCAAAGGAGAACTAGAAATTTCTAATAACGAAACCAAAAAAATAATAATCAAGAAAGCCAAATCCGAATGGAATTATAGAAAATCACAAATGTACAAGATTTTTTTTTAATAAAATTATCAAACTAAAGATTGATACCAAAAGCAGTCGCCTTATTAATATGGGAGCTTGACTTAAACCGCAACATGGTTTCATCGCATTCAATTTATAGCTCATTTTACATGTCTTTGTTTCCTCTCTACAATCCATGAGACAATCACGACCCGACCCGACCCGACCCGAACTGCACTTCATTCCTCTTCCATGATCTCTTTTCCAATTGCACCGCTCAAATCTTCTTTGGTAGGTACCGTTGAAATATTGAGTTCGTACCCCACTCACGAGATTTATTGGTACACTTCATTATAGAAGGATATCTATCCAAATGATATAGTAATTACGATGAATATATTATTAATTTGTGTATGTCTTATTATTATATACTAATAAGAATGGTTTTGATGTGCATTGCTTTATCCATCTATGCTAAACACAAACAGTAAAGATTGGTTTCACAATATTTGATGCAACAAAATATATTCCACTGAACATAATTTTAATTATTCAATTAACAAGTCATTCATTATACTAACAATCAGGCAAAAATCAACTTTTTTCTAAAGTTTACATTGCCTTAATAAGAAAGAGAAATGTGAAAACGAGATGCATGATGTGTTTCAAGATTTCCATTTGACAAATTTAAAAAGTAGAACATGAAGCTATAATGTATGAAAAGTAGAAGATGAAAGACAAAAATGGACAAGATTTGCACATTTTGAATCTCAAAGGGTATTTCGGCCATAATAGCAGCGGTTAATCTTGTAGTCCCATGAGAATTTTCTGGTAGTAGCAACAACAAACCAACTTCTCTTTTTACTCCTGCAAATATCTTTCCCCAATGGTAGGAGATGAACTTGGGCACATTTATAAGCAGTTTGGCAAACACCAGTGTCTATAATGTAACCTATTCTAGCAAACCTGTTTGGAGCTTTGTATGGCCAATTTTGCAAAGAAATCATACAACAATCCTCAAAAACGAATATAAGTTTTTGTTTTGTTTCTTATTCATTGATGTTTCAAACCAATTTCCTATTTGAAAATATGTTAATGTTTAGGTAAAGAAAGAGAAAAGACGGGAGAAAGTCAGAATAAAAAATTAGATACATCATTAATAATAACTAAAATTTATATGACATTTGATGTATAAGTACAAGGTAAGAAAACTTAACCTCTTTTCATAGCTTCAAAACAAAATGTAATTCCTTTAATATCTTTGTTTTGATTTCTCATCCCAATATATAGTTATTTTTATCTACTATCATATCTCACATTTTATATTTTTTAATTGTTTATCCTATTACACATAAAAAATAATGTTTATCATTCACGAGTTTGAAGTTAAATATTTTCTTTAGACCAAAAAAAAAGAAGTTTGTAAATATTTTTCAAGGGTTGTATACTATGTATTTTACCTTTTTCTTTAATCAACAACAAGCTCAAGGAAACGTAGAAATTTTAAAAAAAAAAAAAACGAAAACAAGAAACAAAATCAAGAAAGTCAAATCCGAAAGGAGTAATTAGATTGATTAAGCAAATAGGGTGGTTCCCAATCGCAGTCAGATCAAACCGCAACAAGTAATGCGATGAAGTCAATTTCTTTGAGGCGGTATAGTATAACCATACTAATTTCGGTTTGGTTAGTTCCGGTTTCGGTTTAGTAAAGACCAAACCCATTTCGGAATCAAATTTCTCTCCTCTTGCTTTATATGAAACTTCATATGAACAACCCATGACGCTCACTCTACTTTGCTTGCGTTATTTCTTCAGAAATTCCCAGAAGAAGTTTCCTCTTCGATTGAACTTGTCTTGACTTAGAGAAGAAGATTTATCAACAAAGCACCACTTTTTCGATTTCCAGTGATCTTCAATTGCGACGGATTCCTCTCAACCTCCTTCTCGTTCTTCGGATTTTCCCGCCGAAAATGACGAAGACGAATCGGGAATCGCAGAACGAAACTGGGAAGCGTGTCATCACTTACAAGACGAAGGAGGTCTATTTTTTTGGAAGAAAGACGCGAATCATTCTCCAGAACGAGAATGGACCGTGTCCTCTGATCGCCATTTGTATGTGTTCCCTTTCTCGCCCCCAATTTTCGCTTTCTAGGGTTTTTGAACTTCGCTTAGACGATCGAATAGGGAACGGAACTGGAATGTTGGTGTTAATATCTTGATCTTCTTTAAATTTTTCGTTTTTCATTTTCTTAAACTGATGATTCTCTGCAATTGTTAAACTGAAATCGTTTTTGGATCAGATTATTAAGATTCGTTTGTGTTCTTGGTATGAAACAGGTAATGTTCTTCTCTTGAGAAACAAGATGAAACTATATGCGAACTGTTTTCAAGTTTCTCAAGATAAATTGCTGAGTCTTGTGGCCGACGTCCTGTTTGAGGCCACCAGTGGTGTTGATGTAATGTTACAAAACTGACTTACGATGATGATTTTGTTATCTTTTTCCCCTGAATTACGATGATGAGGTTCATTTTCTGTTCTTCTTTCTCATGTGCAGAGCTATGATGATGAGTATATCAAGAACCTTTCTGATGCCATTGATCTCCTCCAACGCTTTGCAGATGGCATTAATGTCAATATAAGATTCAGGAGGTAAAGCTAATCCTCTGTTTATATGTTTCCTCGTTTTAATACGTACTTAGAAACACCTTCATCATTAACCGAAAATGTTTACTTGCTTGCAGTATTGATGATTTTGAGTTAACACCTGAGCTTGCTATATTTCAATCACTGAAGATTCCCTTATGTCACGGATGGATTGTTGATAACGAGGTACATCATTTTTATGGTTGTTTCTTGTTTCAATGGCATCTTCCATTTGTAAATTTTTGAAAAAAAATGGAGTGATAGAAAGGTTATAACGGTGACTTATTTTCCTCCAGGATTTTCAAACTGCTACTGCAATTGGATGCAAGTCTTATAATGATCTGATGACCGGGCTTGTTACCTTGGAGACACAGGCTCGAAGCTGTCAAATCGAACGCTCTATCGATTTTACTGCAACTCTAGAGGTTCCTTCACAACGTTGCTCGAAAACAAGTTCCTTCGCTGACTCTACACCTACATCTGCAGAGCATGGTAGATTGAGAAGGGGAGATGTTGAAGAAGAAATAGTGTTGCTTCGAGCCTTGAAATTATCTGAAAGAGAAAAGCTTGGTTTTGATACTTGCAGAGACTCAAGCAGTGGAGGAGAGTCTGTGTCTGAGGATGACACATTGCTAGATTCTGTGGATACTATAACCCCTGGCAGTAGTAATATCTGTCATCAGTCCAAATGTGATGATCAATTTTTTTCTAAGGAATCAGAAGATGAGACAGATTTTGATGTCGGGGAAGTGGTATGTTCGGCAACATCAATTACGAAGAGCAGTGGAGCTCTTGACCATGGTCAGTTATCTTCAACAGAATTGGGAGATGATACGGTTTGTGAGGTTGAGACTGAGAAGAGCAGCAAAACGAATGCTTTGCATGTGACATCTTCTGACACAATCTCTGCAGAGAAAGCTAATCTGGAGTCAATCAAAATTGACAGCAGTTCTGAGATTCCACTCAAGTCTGAAGCTGTAACTTCTATCAATCCAGGTAACCTCATCGGTAACTCTGTGTGAACAGTGCATCTGAAGATGTCAGATTTGAAGTTTCTTACGCAAAACCTGCGTACTGCATTTTCCAGATCTTAGTGGCAGCTCCCAAGATGATGACAAACCCCGGTATGAAGCTGAATGTGTAAGCTTAGGGTCTCCAGTTATTGAAGAGAGGGATACAAATGGGCTCACATCAGAAGATGGTAAGCTCAATACATTTGTATAATATATAGAGAGACAACTTCATATAATTCCTGTTCTTCTCAAGACTATAACTTCACCATGGTTGAAATTGCAGGTAAACTGATCAAAAACTTTCTGAGCAATAATCTCAGCCAGTTAACTGATATTGGGTGAGTGGTGGTATTGTTTGATTTGGAGAGTTTTCTGTAATTGGTTTTTTATCTCTATATTAATTGATGATCATTTCCTCCAGAATCTATTACTTGCAAGAAGAACTTATAGAAGGTGAACTTTGTGTCTTCTTCCGCAACAATCACTTCTACACCATGCTGAAGGTTATATTACTACTTATATGTACAGCGTTTTTAGAGCAGTCTAGAAGGTTATTTGTGTTTCGATCCTTATTTTTTACTCTAATTTTGCAGCATGATAATGCACTCTATACCTTGGTTACTGATGAAGGCTACCTGAACGAGCGAGATGTGGTTTGGGAGAAATTATACCAGGTATTTACGAATCATGTATTAGTTATCCTTGTAAAGAGAAGATTATATTCAAAGGATCTTAATTGCTATTTGCTATGGTATGGTTTCAAAAATTTCAGGTTAGTGGCGATTCTGTCTTCGTGAATGGTGAGTTCAAGGTCTTTAACTGTGACAGTGGCAAATGGGATCAACAGAGTGCAGTCAGTAATACTGCGGTATGGACACTCCTCTCCTGCTTCTGGATTTTGTTTTTTCTTTTATCGCTTAGAAATTTCATGGAATTTACTAATTTTGAAATCCTTTTATTTTCTTTATCAGGATTATATCTTCGGCATCAACAGTTCATCAAAAGAAGGCATGGAGATTGAGTAAATATCTCCTACTTTCTAAACTCTCATCTGTTTTTAGACCATTTTTCCACTTTGTTTTTTAAACCTATAACATTGTTTTACAAAGTTCTTATATGGTTTCTATGGTAAAACGCAGCCCGGATCTTAAAATGGCGATGGAGCTGCAGCAACAAGAGTTAAGTGGTGGTAGCATTGATTTTGAGGTACCTCAGGTGTTTAATCCTTACAAGTCCTCATAACATGAGAATATAGAACTATCGTCAAAGTGTAGAAAGTTAGAAACAACACACGTCTCATTTTCATACATACTCTGTTTGTTCTTAGTACATATATACCTTTGTCATGTTTTTCCACAAAACTTTGTTCTTAGTACATATATACGTTTGTCATGTTTTTCCACAAAACGAAAAAGAAGACAGAAAGAAACCTATGCCATTTTATCTTCTTTCTGTTTCCAACTTCTGCTTTTCTTTTGTTGTGTTTGCCATGAACATGACCAACGACCTCTTCTGCAGTATTTTCTTGTTGTACCGAAAAGCCATACCCTTCAAAACCTAAGAAAATCAAATAACCAATAAAATACCAAAACCACAGAAGAGTCTAAGATTAAGATTTAACCAAAATTGCCTCCAAAGAATCCAACCACAAGATATACCAAATAAAGTACGATGTAACAATAACAAACAAATGTACCCGGAATAGTGTTTGTTTGCATTTTTTTAGAAACCACCCATAACATTTACTCTTGTGTAAAATTTACGGGATTAGGAATATCATAAATGAACGATCATGGTTCATAATACCGTGATCTGAAAAGAAAAAAAATCTAAGTAAGTTCAAAGCCAATATGAAACCATCAAATGTTCTAAATGATAAAGCATTTCTTACAGTTTAAACTGTGATGAAGGGACACAGTTTGAGGGATGAATGTTAACTCATGAGTTGTGTCAAAAGTGTGTGATATCTCTTCAGGTACCAATACGAAGCAGTCACATGTCTTCTTCAATACAAGAAGTGAAAACAGTCCAAAGATGGCCAATGTACAGTCATGTGTATAGATCCTCCTCGTGTCTCCTTCTGTGTAGAGTTTAGCCCTTTCTTTTTTTTTTATTGATTTTAATCAGCAATCAGAGCTTTATGTAATATGATCATAGCGACTAGCATAACGTTTGTGCTAATTGTTTATTTTATGGTTCAAATCAAAATATTAGTGGTTGGAGAAGTTAATGAATATATATCACAGGGGTTTGCCTAATAAAATTGTGTAAGTGGTTTTTTGGACTGTTATAGTGGAATGGTTGGTTTTTGTGCAATTACCTTGTCATTGGTCATATACCGCTGTTTCAAATCCCCTTTGTTCCTTTGATCTTTGAATTACTTGACATTTTTATAGCATGAAATTTGAGAAAGTGAAACCATGTGATATTACTAATAATCTTTTTACAATTTGATATATATAAATAGAATCTATCTCTAGTGTCTCCTTTTTTTAACTCTAGTGTTGTGTTATGATCTCTGATTTCAAGTCCCCAACTCTTAAGACTTTCATCCCACTAAAATATCCTTCAAAACTGTGTTATATGTCCAAACCAACTAACAAGACGAAGAAGGAAGAAGAGCTTCAACTCTTTTTTTTCCTTGTGATACCAGTTGGTACACCATAACACACCGGTGCAGCTCCAATCAAGTATGGCAATGTACACGCTTCTCGAGCCGCAGCGATGAATGAACCGATTTTGCGCCCATGCTTGTGGTTACACTCAACCTTCCCTGACCCATCAGCATTCGATTGAGCTGGCTTGTTACGCGAAGACGGTTTCCTTGACCTCTTGGTGTTGTTGTTGCCTTTTATATTCATGGCTGCAAGTTCATTAGCTAATGACTCACACTGGCTGCAACCACCCTCTGAAGAAGAAGAAGAAGAATCTGACCTCTCTCTCAACCAAGCTTCCAACAAGGCTTTCCCAAACCGATCAATGTCTCGGTCTGTTACGTCCCATAGAGTAGCCACAATGGCTGGAGATCCAGCTAAGAGGTAAGAGAGTGGTATGCCTTGTGGGATGTAGCAGCCTTTTAGCCATAGTGAACCGCTACTGCATCCCATTAGGAAAGTTGCAGAGCAGTTATCTAGTTTCTCTATTTCATGCCTAGACAGATATTGTGCTCCTGCGATATCATACACAGTTGAAGAATCTATCAGAAACCATTCTCAAAGTAAACGAAGATTTGCACCAAAGACGGGTTTAATGATTAAACGGTTAAGGACACAAAAAAAATTTCTGGAGTGCTATAGGAATCGTACCACTTCCATGGCCGAAATAAAGAAACAGATCATGATTTTTTAATGCTTCTGTCAACTCTTCAGCACTTGGTACTAATCCAGCTTTCCCCTGAAAGTACACGCAAATGACGGAAGTTTGAAAATTAAGCATCAAGAAAAGGTTTGGGATATTACAAGGATGCTGGCTCTATATTATATGTTACCTCAAAATTTTGATCTCTGAACCAACTCTCAAACACGATTTGTGTCTCGCTGAGATCTCCACCGGGATTCAACAAGTAAAATGAATCTAGCGGATCAATAAGAGGGAAGGAAGCAACATTAGATCTTGCTGGCTCTCCTTGAAGACAGCGCTTTTTTAGCACAGCAGATATGCTACCTACAGAAGGCATTCGGTACACCTCCTGTTTCCTTAGTATTGGAATATTCTCCCAAGGAAGCATCTAATCAAATATCAGAACACAATTGCAGGTAAGAAATTCTGTAAGCGCAAGGGAAAAAGCAGACTCTTCTTTGCCAGTCAAATGTTGTAATATATCTGCAGGAAAGAGATAAGGATATAATTGACGAACCTGAACCTCAGGATCTAACACAAGAATGATAGGTTCTCTATTTTCATGGCCGTCATGTTGCTCCAGTTTGGTTGCTGCTTCATGTATCAGCTGTAAGGCCAACCCATGCCTACTTTCAGAAATATTAGTCGCAGCAGTAGGAGTTTTACAGCTATCTTCTTCATAAAGATAGCCCCCTCTACCTACGTAGCAACCATTTCTTAAAGAAAGCTGAGCAACGCATGCCTCTCCTTTAAAGTTTTCAATCCCACCTCCAAGAATAATCTTCAAAAGCATCTCATTTACTTCCATTTTGCACTTGGACTTGAGATCTTTTACCAGTTTTTTCTGTACAGAGTCGGGCAATTTGTAGTTTGACAAGTCTCCAAGAAGCAGACATCTCCAGGGACCCAGCCAGGAAGCTTCTAGACTCCTAGAACAAAAGAGTGGTTACCCAATGTTGTTAACAAAAAAGAATACTCGTGCCTAGTTGTGGATTCAGATATAGATCAAAACAAAGCCCGTCAAAGATTAAAATGTTAACATGAAGAGACAGTTAAATGTCAAGAAATATGACAAGTGACCGATCTTACAGATATGTACACGTGTTACAGAAAGAGAGCCGTCATACCTTAGGAATTTTCCAAGATGATGATCTAGTTTCTTTCTCCTTTTCCACCACAAGCATCTATTCTCTTTCGTGTCTTCTACTGGAAATCCAGAATATGTGTGGCTTTCCTCCATTATTGATTTAAATGCTGGAGCTACATCATCAACCACGGTGGAACCCCATGGACAAAGCCAGCGCCTCTCCAAATTCTTGACTTGAGTTGCTTCCGTAGAACTAAGATTTCCACTGTCATCTGACATGTCTGGTGAATCAATGAGATCATGAGTACAAAGAGGAAACACCATTGATAAACCAGTAGGCAGTTCATATCTACCTTCTAGAACCGAATCTACAGGCAGAAGTGTGGCAACCGGTTGACTTTTCATGTTAAAGCGTGATACGAGCACCCAGGCACAAACAGGTGAACGAATTTGCAATAGCTCTTGTAACAATTGATTTAAAGCGCCTCCAAGCAAACTAATACAGATGATTGTTGAGCTTGGAAGATTGTTGAAAAATTCTTTAGAAAATTGTACAAGATCTTGAGTACGCTCAGGAGCAAGCCTACAGCGGTGAGTAAGAAAAAAAATAGAGTAAGCCAACAGAAATTAATATAGGATGTTCAGTTGCTTAAGTTAAATTATATACCTCGGTAAGTCCAACTCGTCAGGAACCATGCAACTCGAGCAAGTAGCCTCTGTACACTGAAAATTAAAGCTGTCAGATAGAGACGCAACACACACTTCCAAAACGAAACTAATAACCACGTAAAATACCTTTGAGGCTACAGGAGTTAATCCACAAATTGACAAGCTGAAAATACCTATACAACCCCGTTCTGTTACCTCTTTATCTGATAGGCACTGTGATTTGTGCCTTCGGCTCAAATTTGAAATGAATTGGTAACTAATATGGGTACCAAGCGAAGCTTGATGGAAATATGAGACCCAATGACTTGCAGACAGCTCATTTCCATCACATTCGAATGAGAATTCAGCACTTGAGGCAGAAAGCAGATATAAACAAGCAAGCAATCTTGAAACCTGTAGGGAACAAAAAACAGTTTTATACAAAACGATAACTAAGATCGAAACAGGACAGTCAAAGACAGGTTACCACAGAACCAGCTGAGCATTTACCTTTTGAAATAGTATTGGAACCTCTCTGCTGAGTATAAATGCTAACATTAACCATGACACCAGTTTTGTGAAAGGAATATGAGACAGATCACAGCAAATAGACCTGTTCAAGGTAACAATCAAGAGGCTAAGAAGGATATTTGATCAATTCAGCATATGATTTTTCTCATGGCATAAATTTCGCATCGGGAGGACATAGCTTAAGCATGGCAAAAATTGAAGAGCGCAACCAATAGATTTCACACATACCTGCTCTCCCTGCAGTGATAATTCCGCAAACTTAACCAGCACAAGTTGTTTAGTATTATTGCACGATCAATAGCAAATACATCCCTTGTAACTTCTTTCCCAATAAACTCCAGCAACTGACTGACAGAAGGTTGGTCGTGGCTGGACCAATTGCTTTTAAATAAAACAGAGATACTATGCAGTAGTGCTTCATGAGCTAGACGAACTCTACCAGAGTCCGCCAAACATTTTCCTGAGTTGGAAAACGAAATTATAAGGAGATATACACTACTTTTACGGTGCTTAGTGACTGAGATGCGTATATAGCATGTGTTATTTTCCAGAGAATAAACAAAAGAGTAACAGAAACATTTGTCATGATATAGAGGAGAATGGCCAGAAAACAAAACAAAAACCTGGAAATGGTTACTGAATCAAAATAATTTTGGCTCGAAACTTACTCAAGGTTTCGAAGACCATTTAATTTTTTATCAACAATGGATGAATTCAATGGTTATCAGATCTCAGTTCTCGTCTAACCTATTAAGCTATTAGATTGTTTTCAGCAGGAAACTGTCAAAAAGCCAAAACATATGCATGCATTCACGTTTGCATGAGCAGATGCATAAGGTATTAGAGCATACCGAGGTTAACAAGTATTGAGGACGCAAGCCTCCTATGGCAGAGTTCCCATTTCAAACTTACTAAACTGTTTAGAGACCCAGATTCGGTTACTTCTACAGAGAGGCACTGCATACATTTTCCTTTGTAGCAAATGCAAAAGCCATGGACTGCGTTTTTTGTTTCCAACAACACCCTTTCACCCCCAGAACCATCAGATATATGACAGAAGCTAGGCTTCTTTAAAACAGCTTCAGGCGCATTAGTACAATTTTGGCATTGCTCTTTTAGTGACTGACGCATTGATCGAGTCAACCTTGATGTTGGCTCATATATCAAATCATGGTCCTTTGACACGCCAGTTTGGGAACTTTTAGCTCTCCGACCCCTCCTGGTGTCTTTGCCTTCAGTTGGCTTCTTATTGAGTTTTGTTTTACTTGATTTAGATCCTAAAAACTCCCCTCCATTTTTAGCAATCGCTATTCCCTCAGAAATTTCTACTCCATGAGATCTTAGGCAGCTCTGCCATGCTGAGCAACAGATTTTTCCAAGGGCAGCACTAAACAGACTCTCAGCATGCAAGAATCCATCTGTCTCGGAAACTCTAGCAGCATTAACAATTTGTTTGCGAGATATGTCTCCAAGTTGCTTATCCAATGTAACCTCTAACCTCAGTTTGCACTTCACACAAGAAAATTCTCTCTGATTAGCAATTATTATCTCTTTTGCATTTTGGAGTTCCTTTTCTGCCAGATCCAGACTCTGCTTTTTGTGGTAAAGATTTCCTTTAACGAAGAAAGAAATAAAATCAAGTGGCTCATTAACGAAAAGAATAAGGAAAACTACAAGAATAGAGTATACTGTTTGATCAAAAAAGTAGTTTCATACCCAAGGCAGAAGAAAATGCAACTACAAAAGGGAATAGACTTTGCGAGCATGAAATTGCTTTCCCCCATGAAAGAAGGGTTTCTGCCTCCCCTCCATTCCCTATCAGCTCATTAACAATTCCAACCTGCACATCTGACACGAAATTGAGAAACAGAGAAGTGAAGGAACCCGGCTAGACAAGAAGGACTGAGCAGAAACAGAACCTGAAGGGTGCTTTCCAAATAACACTGGAGTACATTCCAACGACTTAAGTAAGAGCGATTGATGTCCCAGAGAAAATTTCCACATGGCCAAAAATCAGTTGCTACTGATTTGAACACTTGGAAATTCGTTATGCTAAAAGTCCGTATCTCTGATATTTTCCCGGCGTCATTGTGTTTTTCGAACTGCTTCTCAGCTGTATACTTAAATTTCTCTTGAAATATAAGAGTTCGTATTCTATAGGCTTCTTTTGCATATGAAAGAGCCTGTAAACGAAAAAGCTTACCATCACGAGATTGAAAAAATGAACCTGATAATAATTCACAATAAAAAAAGTTGAGGAAAAGATGCAAAATATGTATAACGATTTCACCTCAGAAAGCTTTCCAAATGATATGAGCCGTTCACAGAGATCATAATAGAGATATGCAGCAAAAAAAGATGAAGGACCTGAGAGTGATGCCTGAAATGACATTCATTAGCAAAATTTGATATCACCATAGATAATATATGGCGAGAAGAATTCTGCAGATAAGTTAAATTTCTTACACTTGAAATGAGTTCCGAAGCTGCATCTGTGATACCATCTATTGTGATGTCTGATTGAAAGGGACTTTTAACCTTATTGGAGGTACGCAAGAAATCGTGTAAATCATGGAAATTCTGCTGGAACCCAATTAGCTTTGCTTTTGAATCTTTCAGGCAATCTATCCAGAAATCAATGCACGTAGATCTGTCACCACAATTCTCTGATAAGGCCAGGATAAAGACATCACTTATGGGGGACGGACATAAGGCATGACTGAGCCTTCTACATTCCCACAGCATTGCAAGGCAGACCTCCAATTTCACATTCTTCTGTTTAAATAATCTGAAAATCAGCTGGTATATATGATGATGGAGCTCCGTACATCCCTGGACATGGAAAAAAGTATCAAGGGCCAGATAGATATGAAGCATGCACTATAAAGTATGTCCTAAAAAGGACCATAGTCCAGCTAGATCATAGGGAAAAAGATACCTTCACTGACATCAAATCGATCATATTATAAAGTAATGGAATTATGTCCACTGTCGGTAGACTGGCCCCACTATCATCTAGGCAAGAAATCTCCAGCCAGAGATTTAGCGAAGTGCTAATATCTTCAAGGACTTTCTGCGCAAAAAGAAACATGGCAAACTGTTTTAAGAAAGATAAATTAAAACTGAACCAAAACCACCAACTGAAAGATCAACTGTCAACAATTAGAGGCTATGTTTTACGCATTTGCACCTTCGAGTTTGGTTCAGCTTCCTGGATACAAAAGGCTCTCAAGCAATACGCAATAGGTAGCTGGTGGGAAGATGGAGCACCCTCTTTATTTGGCCTATGATGTACCTCACTCTGCTTTCATACATAAGAACATGGTCACGAAATATTTCAAGTGATTAATGAGCTGATAATTCTGATGTAGTAAGAGGTATACCAATATAGAGATTGCTTCTGACAGAAAATCAATGCAGTCAGTTAGACGTTCAGTTCCAAATGTCCTTGTCATTCTTGCTTTCCATATTAAGATTCTTGCTCTTTCTAAATGCATATCCTCTGTGACATATACATCCTTCAAAAGGATATCAGCTATTTCAATTCGCGTTTGTTGACCTAGATTTGAGCTTAAAGGGAACATTTCATCATAGGCCAGAAGCTCCTGCATGCATTAATAGAAAGAGAAAATGCAAATTAAAAAGACTATCAGTATCATCTTCACCAATTTTACAAATAGGTAAAGTACATCCATCGATACAAAAAAAAAAAATTATATAAGCAATTTTGCAACCTGCTGTAGGATTTTTCCGATAGCCCGCTTTGACTTTTTTTTAGAAGATGATAGCAATGAGTACAAAGTTGTACAAGAATCAGCCGCATCTAGATCTGTGTGACATCCCCGTTCTATCTGTTAATAGCACACATTCAGATACTTGAAGTTCATGAAAAAGGGTATTTCATCAAAAATTACCTTAACCCACTGTTTTACAATCGCCGCAGGGCCTGGTAACCTTCTAATCAGATGTTCAGCTGACAACCAATTTTCAAGACTATGTACGATAGTCTGTCTAATCTTACAACTGCTACATTGCTGGAGTATATCCAGGTAGAATGCACACCTATTACATGATTCGCCCACAAATTCCATAATGGCATCTTCTGACAGGTCATTATCAGATGAACTAGATTGATTTTCAAACATCTGGCAATGTAGTTCAACACATCTCCATGATGCCTTGGAACAAAGCCTGAGCGCCTCACAAGCCTGCAGAGTAGAACACTTACTCTATAAAATGATCTAAGAAAATGAAAAAGTAGATTATATTATATAGATGCATGGGTCCACGCAAATAGAGCAGGAGCAGATTTTTATTCAATCTTCATACTTGTTTGCATACAAAATCTATAAGCGCCAAAAAGCATTTACTCCACCTTTTCTAGTTCCTTATTTCTGTACAAAACGACACCAATATTGTATAGCGAGGCTAATAGATACTTGAGTTCTTGAGATCGGATCCATGGACTGGTAATTACATCCTCAACTAGATGTGCACTGATCTGAAAAGGAAGATGTTGGATCACCAAGTTAGATTTATGATAAAATGTTGGTAACTTGAACGATATTTTCCACTGATTTGTCTGCATTGCACATAAATACCTAACCTCCAATTTAAGCTGGGTTCTCAGTGAGATAATGAAAGCAGCCATAGCCACGTTTAACAAAGCTTTGTTATTGTAAGTTGCTCTACCTCCCGTGTCAGACGGGCATCTAAGAAGTGGGTAAACAGCGGTGAGAAATGCATTCAACCCACAGAAGAAGATTTTACAAAAGAATATAGCGTAAGGGAGATAATGATCACCTTACCTCTGAAGGAAGAGACAACCATCACAATATTGGAGAAAAACATCATGAATAGTAGACAGGTGAGCCGAAGCGCAGGGCATTTCTGACTTCAAAACAATCTTTCTTTTCACTGAATTTATCAAGTCCGCAAGCGGTTGGCACAAGAAACTCAAGGCATCTACATACTGTGGCCAACAAGTCTTCTTGTTTCTGTTTTTACAGCTATCATTCGTTTTATTGTTGTAGTTCTTATGTCCACCAATCAATGATCCATCAGTCTGATTGCGTACAGCACCTGAGTAACTATCAACCATGGCGAGTAAAGAAACTAAGCTTTGCCACCTAGCCTCATCATCAAGCAAAGCTTGAATCTTCCAATCATCTGTTGCATCTTTAACCTTACTTTCTCCAAACGTGGAATCGTAAACCGTGATGGACAGCCCGGACGAATAAAGTCTAAGAATCTGATTAAGTTGTGGTATTGCCTGCCAAGCAGTCACTTTATAGATTAACTCATACACCAGGATACTTCCTGAATAAGTTGAGGCGGGTTTACATGCCAAGGAGAGAGAAAATACCTCGGAGAAGTTAGCTGCCATCTCATTTAAATATTTTGAAACTTTTCCACAGTACATGTCTCCGGCTGCTCGAACTTTGTGAGCGCAATAAGAGACTAGGTCAACAAACTCCATTAAATCCTCATTAGTATCAGCCTGAAAAAGGAGCTGTGTTATAAGACGTTGCAAGTTTTCGGTAGAGCTTCAACTGAGTAGCTAGCAGGAACCTAAAGTCACCCGATCCAGCAACAGGTGGAGGAGCAGGTGACACCAGAATATAAGGAAAGATATATCTTTGAAATAGTTACTCGATGTACACAGGACTACAGGAGTCAGGATGCAAGGCTTACCACGAATTGGCAAGTTAAGCTGCGCAACAAAGACATTGAAATGTCAATGGTCACTGACATTCTTCTATCCTTCAATCCGAACAGAACAGAAAGCACCTCACGAGCAAACTAGAAACGGGCATTGGATTTGATTATCTATTAGATGACAGCATGTAAAAGAACAGCAGAAGCAAGAAGGGAAGACATCAAAGGACAAAACTCACCTTATAAATTCGATCTTTTGACAATGCAAATTTATAGTGTTCCTTCACAGTTGAATCACAGAAAGAACGCACGAAATCCCCATCAAAACGCTCAGCCTCTTTAACCAGAGAAAGAGCACATTTACCCAGATTTGTCACGAGCACTCTGTGCAATTTCTCATACGCCTTGGCATCTAAGACCCTGCACAGTAACAAAGTTTCAGGCTGTGGCATTTCTTGAAAGAAAAATTTGAAGTTCCTTAGTGTGAAACGGAAGCAGCATTAATCCAAAATCAAAGAAGAAAGTTAATCCCACACAGACCTGAACCAAGCTCTGACCTCCTCGAGCAAGAGAAGGGCTGTTCTGTACGGCTTATCATCTGTTTGAAGGGCCATTCCAATAGCCTTGAAGACAGCCGCCACAGCCTCTACTATAACCATCGCAAGCTCCGCCTCTCCGTCCTGAACCTCCGGCAACAACCGGCACTTCCGGGAGCTAATACCGGAGCCTCTTAGCCTCTCCAGAACCTTGAACGCTTGGGCACTAACACGCTCATAAAACCCCCAAGCATCGAGACAGTAAATCATTCGCAGCCTCTGAAGCTGAACTGTATGGGGCTTGCAGGCTAACTGAGCGGAGAACGATTCAAGGCAATCCAAGCAGAGTTCGTACGCCCTGAACAGATCTCCGGCCGATTCACGAGCTTCCTTGTCGGGATTCGCGGCGACGGAGAGCCGTTTGGGGAAGAGCGAGATCGATTTGTTGAGGAAAGGAAGGAATTGCTTGCCGAGGGATCGAACCGTAACTGTTCGGTCTTGTTTCCGGGAAGTCGATGATAGAGCAGAGAAAGGTCGAAGGTAATCGGAGAAGGAGGAGAAGACATCGCCGGCGTGGGAGGATTCGATGAGAGAAAGAAGACGGACTTCATCAGTGGCCGCCATTTTTTTTGGTTTCGAATTTGTGAAAATTTTGGTAATCCCCCTCTAATTGAGAACTTAGAAGAAGATGCACATTAGAGAAGGTCTACACTCTCTGTCGCTCATCATCTCATTTTCAAGTCTTTTACACTTTAGTTTATGTGTGTGACGGTATAAATTTTTGAAGACGAAATGGTTATCTTATTCCACTTGTTAACTATGTAACCCAAGTCTGAAATAAATTTGTTCTCTTATTAGAAAAACTAAAATGGTTCTCTTATTACAAATAACTCTATGATGTTATTTTTGTGAAATGGGCTACAGCAATTCCAACAATACCCAGCACAACAGTAAAAACAGCTTGGATAGATGAAACATTATAGGCTTGCTTCCAAATTGCTGCAGTGAACAATTGAACAACCAATGCAAAATAGTTCTTGTTTTTATACTCAAGGCCGTGCTTTTCTAACAAGACATTGGCTTCAAGCCCGCACTATATATTGTGGAAGATAAAATGGACTATAAGTCTATGATGCATCATTATTAATTTAAATCATTATAGTATTTTCCCACTGCTCATACACTGACTCCAAAAGATAAAAATAAGACGACCAAGTTTTGTAATCTAATTTAAATTGTAGTCTGTTTAATAATCAATGTTACGAAGATAACTTAAATTTGAACTGATATAAAAATTCGAAATTCAGTGCTCGTTTATGTTCTAAATTTCAAAGGAATGAGAGTATACCAAACAAGAGACTGCTCTTTCGGCAATAGGTGTCCATTTAGCTTTTAACTTTCTTCTTTTGGATTAATTTTGCAATTAACTTTTTATTCTCTTTCTTTTGGGTATTTCTTCCTTCGGTTTGTCTCATATCTCTAATCACTATATAGCTGATATTCCTAGTTGTGAAAGATTATTATTCAATCGGAAATATGGGGAATTACATTAATACGGGATTCAAATGTCCGCATGGGCAATATCTGGACTTTGGAGCACGGGAAAACATTAACATCTTTTTTTGCTAAAGTTAAGTTATAATATGGTACAAAAAAGAGTTAAGTTATAATATCTTTAGAAATGCTCTTTAAAAGAAACACAAATTATTGGCAGATAAAAACAACACAAATTTAAGTTAATTTTAAAATAACCTTACAGACATTATACATACCTACCACACACACAATCTACCGAACTTATTTTTCTTTTATTTTTTGGTTAAGTTAGAAAGCACTAGATTTGAAAGGAATGGGTAAAATGTAATGGTACTTTGGTTATAAACTGGGCGAAAACACTTATATAATCTCTGGAAGTTTGTTAATAGTTACTAGCTATACATATATAACGAGTACGCTGGCGAATTAAATAGTAACTTTTATTCCGCCTTTTTTTTTTTGTAAAAAACAAGATGAACTTGGTTGCATCACATGCGGGATGTGTTAAAATAACATTTTAAAACGATAATAACATATGTAGTATATTAATAAATATCACACGGTTTAAAATATAAGATGAAAATTTAATGGGGAAAACAAATCAAAAATCAAAAAATAAAGCTCAAGATTCAATTTGACCAGTTGAATCTTGTTTTGACTGGAGGTTTATTGCTTTCCCTAGTTTCCATTACTTACCTCAGAGAAGAATCTGAATCTGAGTCTATAATTTTATTTAACAGATAATCCTTAATCTCTCATGTGATCATTACCAACTACTGCATGTATACTAATTACTAATTACCAAACCATTTAGGTTCTCGTTTTGGTGACCACGCCAGAAGTGCACCAAAACCTGATTTCGGTTTGGTTGGGTAGTATATACAGTGTGCAGGTTTGCTTTTGGATTGGTGTTACTATTTACTATTGACTATTCAATTTGATTTCTTTTTGAGGGTTTAGTTCTTGATCTTGGTTATGATTTACGAACTTTTATTCCCATTCGAGTACGTAACATTCTAATTTCACATCTAGTCAAAACCCTAGTTTTCCGAGAAACCTTATTTTTCCATGGTTCTATATTTAAATTTTGATCATATCGTTTGACCGGGAATTTAAAAAAAAAAGAAATACTTAAGGAATCTTAATGATATACATACATTATATATAAATAAATCTAAGTCAGCGCTCAAAATATTTGCTTAATGAATTGGCCAAGAATCTTGAAATAATAAAAATAATAATAATTTAAACATCTGTGTTTACAAACGAATACCCGTTCAATTATAAGATTTTCGTATATCTAATTAAGGAATATATAAGAATCTTAATCTTGATAGGAACTAAAACTTGTACTGATCATAATCCAATCAAATACTATATATATATATAGAATATAGTATATGGGATGGGGCTGCTGATCATATTGCATAATAAATTCACGTCGATGGGTTATCCACCAAAGGGATCTCTGGAATGGATCGACATACGATTGATATTTGTGTTTTCGACGATGATCTTCTTCCTCATCCTTATCTTTCTCTCTCTCTGCGCCTTTCTCTTCTTACTCCAACATGCCAAGACTTACAATAAAAACGACGACGACTTATATGCGGCGTACCATCGAAGATCTGAGCTACAATCTACTACGACCTAGAAGAAGATGATCTATAACAGATGATCTATAGAAGAACCTCTTACTCTGTTGGTCTTTAAATTAAACAATTTTTGTTTTCTTTTCCTTTTTAAAATTACAATTGTTATCCATTCATGATTCATCTTATCATATTTCTGATTAAAACTTTACCCTGAGCCTTCCTTTCTCGGGCTTTGCACGTAGTTTCTTGAGTTTCTTAATTTGCACTTGCAAATAGTTGCAATCATAGATTGATCATTGAGATTGAGCGTGCACATGCTTCTCCCTTCATAGCATTCCTTATCGAGTGATCAGTTTTACAATTTCCTCCACAATTAGTTTTTTTTTATATATAAGAATTCTAACTTCCAACTATTAAAGTTTCATTTAATGGGAAGCTGTTTGTAAAAAGTAGAACGCAACTATTGACTTGTCATGATAAAACGCATGTAGGGAGATCAAAGAGAGAGGTCAGCGATCAGCATAAATTATAAAGCGAAACATAATTGAGGGATTAATTCCAATGAAAGACGATGACTCGAATCATCTTGTAGATGTGTTTTCTACAAAAAAAAAAAAAAAAAAAAAAACTAATAACAAATTGAACTCATCCTATAATTAAAGAACAAATCATCAAATCTTCAAACTCGATTGACGATATTGGATCACTGATGCACGTCGTGTTCACTGATCCCCTCGTCGGTTCTCAGGGTAGTGTATGAGGGTTTATCAAGAGATAGCCACTTACGAACATAATAAACTACGAAGATTCCCAAAACGATGAGCGAAAAGAATATGGCTCCGACCATCTCATACATAAACACTAACGTTTCTTCTGACGAGAATTCATCATCATCATTCATGTTCAAGCAATCGAAAAGTGTCCAACAAAAACAAGTTTTTCTGAACTAAGGGTTTTTCAATTTTTCCTATAAAAAGTAACGCACTTGTATATATATATAAATTAAGTCGTTAATCCTAGCTCTTGTTGTAATCCGATTAATTAGAAAAGTATGATTTTAATTAATTAATAATACATATTAATATAGAATAATAATTTCTGAAGATAATCATCTACGTAAGAAAATACATAATAAACGAATCTTTGTTCTATAAAACAAACAAACAAAAGATCTTTGTTGTATACATCGGATACGTCTTTAGAAAGTAAAAGACTGATTTTGAAGCAAATCCCATCAGAAATAAATTTTTTTTTTTAAAAAAAGAAAGATACATCGGATATATACGTCTTTGTACATCGGATACATCGGATACATCGGATATATACGGTCTTTAAACTATATTTTAAACACACAATTAACTGTTTCGCATTATTATACGTTTTCTAGGTCTATTTGAAGGCCACGCACAGCTCGTGGATCCAAATCCTAATGATATTGAAGTTTATAATTATAAACGAACGAGAGTTCATCCAAAAAAAGTAACAAAAGAGTTACATTAAATTTCGATGATAAAAACTCATGTAATACCATAATAGTCTGCCTTTCATACCATTACATGATTACATCACTGTTGTGAATCTGAAAGAACATATATATATATATATATATATATATATATAATTGGATCCAAATTCCATAGGGATCATTGTAATCAAGCAAGTACTTCAAGCCCCTTTTAAAAACAAAAACAAAAACACAGCAAAAAAAAGCTAATAATAATTCCATAGGGATCATTGTAATCAAGCAAGTACTTAAAGAAAGAATGGAACAAAGAGATTGATATCTTCGTTTTCTTTGAATATTATGTCACTCGTCGTCCGATATCTCCAGGATGATATCCCCGGCCGGCGTTTTCCCGAGTTCGATTTCGATTATGCGAGTTTCTTCTATAGTAACAGCACTATTAGTCACCCATTCCAAAAATAAGATCCATATGATTACATAGATGCCAACAAAGCAAAAGACCAAGACGATAAACGAGCTCGCAATATCTATCATGTGATCACGCCGTACGTCGAACCTTGCAGAAGTAGATAAAAACGGAGGAGGTGCCACAGATTCCATTCTTAATTATTACTCGATTAGCTCAGCCGTTTATATGTATATATAGTTCTAATTTGATACACGTTATGAATCCTTATAAGAACAAAACAAGGACTATTTATCTTCTTCTTTTTTGTCGTCCAACATTGCCCTTAATTTATCTAATCTATATTTTTTTTTGTGTTTTTCTTTTATTAGTTAATAGATTTTCTCTTAAACTTCATTTAATATAATTATCTAACTCACCAATACACAATAGAAATAAAATATATATCGTATATAAAATGGAACAATTTATAGGTTTGATGGAGCGAGATTGACTTTATTTTTTGTTAATTATTTAGACACGTACGGAACTTATCCATAAATAAAGTAAATCTCCTAATCTATATGGTATATAATTGAAATATATTAATATATATGTATATATATATTATATACATCGTTTATAAGACTTCCACAATCGATTGCAACAAAAAGCAAGGTTTAATTTTTGGGAATCTCACTAACGCCATGGATACATCACGGTATGAAGAAACTGTAATAGTTTTGTTTTGGACAATGGTGGTGATGTCCGTAATTGTTTTTCTTTTCGGCTCTTGTCTTTTTGTTAAATGTTTCTGGCGAGCCTGTAATCAGAATGATGAAGAAATTGTATATCTGAATTTCAACTTATGAATCTAATCCACGAGCATGAACGACTGACGATGATCAAGGCAAAGGACAGTTTGCAATTGGAGTTACTTTAGTGATTAGGAATAATTAGGGAATGGCTTTTAGCCTTTTATTAATAATTTGTTCGACATCTTCTTCCCGGTTATATGGTTTTTAATACTTGCTTGATTAGCGTTTTTATTGTTGTTAGGTTCTTTATGTTTTCTTCAATTATTTCTAATGGAGTTTGCTTTATCAATTTCTCTCCTTTTTTTTAAGAATTATCAGATTACATCAATGATGTTGCGATTATGTGTCGTATGTGTGTATATTAGTACATATATTCGTTCTGAAAAGAAAGCAATCATCAGTGAGTTTGAATGAATGTTAATTACCCATTACAAACCGGTCTCATCCTTTGGTAAACGCACGAGATCCATCATCTGTTTACCAAATTATTCTAGTCAACATAAGAGAGACTTTCGTTTGATCGTCTATACGCAGTTTTACGTTTAACTATTTAAGTCCTAAACCAAGTAAACTACTCTTATCGTCAATATCTATCTGTTCGTAGTCCTCCTTATTCGTACATGTGGGTATCGAGTAATATCAGAATCGAACCATCTGAACTACCCAAGTTATAATTTTATTATATAAACGAGAATATTTAAAAGTTGTTAAATCATCCGTGACACATATTAAGTTTATCAATCAGATTTTGATATGTGTTTAATAAATTTATTATTAGATATTAACACATAAAATTTTAGTTATGTTTTAACACATATTATTAACAATAAAACTATAATCAATTATAAATCCAAAACTACAAATTATAGAGAAACACAAAAAACTGAAAACTGTAGAGAAACATAGAAATATTGTAAGCTGTAAAAATAAAATAGAAACCAAAACATCCAAAATCAAATTCATATTCAAAAACATATGCTTTTGAACCGTGGGAACATCATAGGCTTGGATCCAAATATATGGTATGGACAAAAAAAAGAACAATATGAAAACACAAACACTTACATTTTGTTTGAACTATTATTGTTATGACATGTTTACATTTTTGCTCAAACATACTTCCATTGAAGTTGATAAAACAGTTGAAGTTGGTAAAACAGTTGAAGACAAGTTACCCTTTGAAGTACAAAATGTGCGAACTTTGTTCATATTTATCTTTCATCTTCCACTTTTCATGCATTACCTCCATGTTCCATTTTTTTTAATAAATCAATTGGAAATTTTGAAACACTTCATTCTTCTCACTAAGTAATTACTTTCCAAGACAATACATGGGTTTTAAAATCTAGTTTTTCACATTTTTCTTTTTTATTAGGAGAATGTAAATTTTGGAAATTTTTTGATTTTTGATGGATTGTTAGTGTATAATGAATGACTTGTTAATTGACTAATTAAAAATGTGTTTTGTGGAATATATTTTGTCGCATCTAATATTGTGAAACCAATTTATTTATTAGTTCAGTGGTATTATTTTGCATTTTAAAATAAACTATGAGAGAACATGCGCATATGCGCAGGTCTTGTTTTAATTTATATTTTAAATGTTACAGTTTTTAAATTTGTATTAGATTTTATGTTTAATATCAATGTTTTTGCATTTAAAATATTTATATTTTATTCGATTTCTTTTTGATGTAATCTCTTCTACATCAATTGTGTCAAATAGTCTAATTTTCTCTCAAGATAATAAAAGACTAAAAATCTACTATTTTAATTTTATATGAAAACGTAATAGTTCACTTAAAAATATACGTTGAATATTAGAGAGAAATATTTATTTGTTCTTCGATGTTCATATTCTTTTTAGTCTTGTAAATCTTACTAATATAATATTTGTTAACTTTCTCAATTTATTATATTAATTTTTTTTGGTTATATATATCATGATTCCATCTTTTTTTTTAAGTAAAAAAACATTTTTATGTGGACATCATTCTTTAAATATTATTTGTGTTTTATAATTTTATTAGTTGGAGTTTTATATAAGATTATTTGAAAATTCTTAACTTATTCAATCTTTTTTTTTTCACTTGCATTAAAATTTAATTATAATTTTTGTTTAAAAATGAAGTTTAAATCACTTGAAAAAATAGAATTGTGCATTTAAAAAGTTTTTTTTATTATATAATATTTATAAATTTTATAGACTTAAATTTAATTTTAATTTCATTCTAATATAAATATATATTATTATTTACTTTTATTCTTTAATGTGTTTATTTACTTATAATCTTTAATGTATTTGCTTTAAATTTGATTAATTAATATTTTTATTAATATTTTTAATGGACATGTGTCACTCTCTCCACTGCTGATGTGTCACTCAGCTGGAGAGAGTTGATTGTCTTTTATATATAAGATTTGCAATCCACTAATTAAGAACTTAGAAATAAGATGCCCATTTTCTAGACTCCACTCAGTCATAATCTCATTAAGGCTTAGGCATAAAATTTGGTTATGCCCAAAATACTGCAAACCCGTAGAGAAAAAGAAAAATAACTGCACAGAGAAAAGAAATACTGCAAGAAATAAATAGAAAAGAGAATACTGCAAATGCAAACCAAAATGGCAAAATCAAATCCATATTCTAAAATTACAAGACATAACAAAGTACAAATTACAAATCAAAGTTTTAGTTTCAGCACATAAGTTCTAAAGTACAAATACAAAACAAAGTTTTAGTTCCAGCACATAAATTACGTAATTTTTGGTTTTGAAATTGTGAAAATTTGCAATCCTGCTAATTAAGAACTTAGAAAGAAAATGTCCATTTTCTGTACTCCACTCTCTCATAATCTCATTTAGCTAATTTGTATTTCAAGATTTTCCATACTAAAAAAAAAAAATCATCCGCATAATGCATTTTCGGCTAAAACTCTCCTTAATTTTATTGTTTATTTACTCAGTAAATTTTAGTTAGTATTTACCTTTTACATTTTAAATTTTGGTTTTATTTCCGATTTAAGCTAATTTTAGCAAATTTGTATTTCAAAACTTTCCATACTAAAGAAAAAAAAAACTAAACCCTTTCTCAACAAAATTTTAGCTAATTTATATTTCAATTTTTTTTAATCTGGTCACATTTTTGTATTTATTTATTGTTTTATTAATGAGACATATAATGTACTACGTCTGATTTCGGGTTTTCTCAAACCAAACCGAAACCAAGCTAAGTATCAACCAAAATGAACCAAACTAAACCAACCGAAAGAAAATAGAATGCTTAATCGATCCACGGTTTAAGGTAACCGAATCCATATCCGAAATGTTGAATGTTCAACCATACGGATTTAGAATCGTTTAATTGGCAATTTGTATTTGCTCAAGAGCTTTCTTTCTCCACTTCTCTTTCTCCACGAAATCCGCATCTAAGAACCTCGACACAAATCCCCAAACCCTAAAAACATCATCGAAATTCGTCATAAACCCTAACCTAACACTCACAACTGACACTCTCAAACTCATCAGGTTCTGTTTCTCGTCGTCGCTTCTTCTCTTGTTTTTCCCGATCCTAATTTTCTGCAAATACGCGCATCGCAAGCTTATCTTCTCCCTCTCCGCGAGCCTCTCCACCACTAAAGGATCGACCTTTTCTCCTTGCCAGTCGAAAATGTTGAACGAGATCGACGGTCCTCGATTCGTTCTCGTCTTGGGCCCGCAGATTTTGACCAGAGGCATCTCTGTTTCATGAGACCCAGGGTGTTTCAGAGTCATCAAGGCTCGAACCAGCCATAAAGTCAACGACTTTGACCTACGACTGATCAGTATCAGCCCCAGAGAATCTGCGTGGTCTAAACCTCGAAACTCAATAATTGCTTTATCCTCTTCTTCGAATTCAATAATATCAGTGGCGGAAGTTGACGCCTTGTGGTCCTCGTGGTCTAGAAAACCTTTTTCAAGGGTAATTTCGTCATTTTCTGTTTTCCAAGCCGGTTCGGCTTTTACCGCCGTGAGATTCGCCGGATTCGTGACGTGTTCAGGTGCTTCTGACAAAGCTTGAGAGCTAGATTTCTTTACGAACAAGCAACCGAAACCGGAAGGATCGTCTTTTCCTAAAACCTCTGTGAAAGAAGAGATGAGGAAATCTGGCTGAAACAGAGAGAGACCTAAAGTCTCCATGTCTTTGGAACCTAAAGCAGAGGTGTCGAGCAACACGTGCCATTCGTTTTCGTGGGCTAAACTCATCCACGAGTAAGAATACGAAGCTCCTGTGACCAGAGATTGAAGGGGAAACACAAAGAGTCCTCTTTTATCTTTTTCCCCTCTTCTTCTTCTTCTTCTCTTATTGCTCTTGGCGATTTTCCTCTTCAGTTTCTCCGAGACAATCTCAGTGCTCGGCCACGAAAACTCGGCTGATTCTGGTTTTATACCCTTTTTCTCTGAGATTCTGATCATTTCTTCGACTGCTTCGTCTTCGTAGTTGTAGACTGTGAGAAGATTTGGATTTGTTTTGAAAGAGTAGAGTTCCGCTAGAATCTTGAAAGCAGAGGAACGGTCCTGAGTTAGAATCATGTGATATTCGGATTCTTCAAGATTCATAAAACCCATGATTCTTTTCCTCATCCTCGACTGAAACCTAGATTCTTCGCTCGCAAACGATAACAATTCTTTACCGGAGCTCACTGGCGTGCAAGACAAGGTAAAGAGAGATTGATTCAAATCGGGTTCCGATTCGGAGATTTCTCGGAATTGTGAGTAAGAGAACAAGGGTTGTTGTTGACCGGTGTGGTTTAACAACACGTGGTGTGACGAGTAAGAGAGGTTTTGATACTCTGTAGATCGGAGATGATCGGCTTGAGTTGTCTGCAAGTAATCTGGGAAAGCTGTGATGAGATCGTAGAAAGATGTACGGAGAGGAGGGAGAGATTCTTGGCTCGTGAACTTGATGTCTCTGGTTAGAAACGAAGCTCCTGATGTGATTAATGAGAACTCGAGCTCTTCTTCTGGTTTCTGAGTTACGGAATGGGATGAGAATGGTGATGAACAGCAGCCACTGAAGCAAGTTTGAGAAGCTTGTTGTATCAAGTGTGAATTCATTTCTTTTTGTCTTTCTCTCTCCTGTTTTACTCTCTTATTCTTTCCTCTGCTTTGTTTGTCTGGAGAAAAGAGGTCTGCGACTTGTTGTGAGATTGTTGAAGGTCAATGAGATTAAAAATTAAAAAAGCGAAAACTTGGGTCTATAAAAAAAAAATTAAAATGTCGTAATCTAAAATGCATGGTCAATAAAAAGGAAAAGTTGCTGTTATTTGGAGGAAAGGGAACTCATACCTAAACTTTGCTCTTACAATCTCTGAACCAACTTTTAGACTTAAGTTTCGTTGATAAATAGTAGTCAATAATTAAAAAAAAAATTGATAGAAAGAATAGTATACTATAAGCTATTGCTACACATTATGCCCACGTTTATGGTTGAACGAGTTGACTTGTCTATGGCTTTTTGTTGGCTTGGAGAAAGGTAAAGTGGGAGTCAGATCTCAGACCAGGAAGAAGAAAGAAAGATGAAAGAAGAGTGTGAAGATCGTTGAAAACAAAAAAAAAAAATGGAAAAGAGAAAGGGCGAAGAAAACTATTTTTTGGGATTCGGGGTTTTTGGGATTTTTGGTTTATATTTCTGGTTTCTTTAATTTTTGGTTTACCAATTTCAATCAGGTCAAAATTCAGTTTAAATTTATTTTTATTAGTTAATTTTGTTTGGTATATAATAATCCGTAATTTATCTTGATTTATGTGGATAAATATGTTTTGAATTTTTCAATTGAGGAGAAATACGTTGTTAACTTTCAAATTAAAGAGATTTATGTTGAAGTCAAAATTTTGGGTAGATCTTTTATTATATGATACTTTTGGTAGATTTGGAAACAAAGTTTCAATTTCAGCACATAAGTTTCCATTCCAAATGCATATTATTGTCAAGCGGCTTAAATCTGAGAAAGAGACAAATACAATTTTTTCAGTACACAATTATAGATAAATTTAAAGAAATAACAAATAATAAAAACAGCAATGATGCCCACCGTTTGTAACACTGACAATATATGCTTCAGCCCATATAAATGCCATGGATATTTGCATGGCTAAAGCAGATAATGAGGTGACCACCATTCGAAGCAGGTTTGATGAATCTTCCAGCAAAGATTAGTCAATCCCTTGTGGCTTTCTTTATGCCTTCATCTTCCTTCACCTAAACATTAACACACATTAACATATATATAGAAAATTGATTTGAAACAATGAATAGAAACAAAACACAAACTTACATTCGTTTCAAAGATTTGTTGTATGAAATTTTTGCAAAATTGGCCACACCGAGTTTCAAACAAATTTGTCAAAGAATTGTAAAACATAATTTTGTTGAAGTTCTTGTTGGAATAATTTACCTAATATGAAGTAATGATTATCAAACTTTATATAAATGTGCCCAGTTAATAAATACAGATGATATACAAATACAGATTGAAACAAAATGGAAGTGTGCAAACCTTGTTCAATTCATTATTTCTGATTGCTTTTTCATCTCCATTTCGAGATTTTTCACTTCTTCTTTCAATTGTTCATTATCCAAACTGTTGCAGCAGTATCTGTCTATGGATATATTAGCTTATAGAATAGAAGTGTATATTATTTCGGTTTGATTAACCAGTAATGAGACTTATAAAATATGTTGGAATAGTTGGAAAACATAAAAATAAAAGACAATCAAAAGATTTATTCACAATCAAGAGATTTGTTAGTTAATGAATTTAGAAAAGGGTTAAAAAAGCCAAATGTTTTTTATTGACTAATGACCACGAAAATTATATCCAATGAAAATAGGTCCACCGAAAAACTAATATATATTTCTTACCATAATTTTTGGTCTCTTTCTTGTCCTAATTGTTTATGATATTTGAGTGATACGGATTTAGTAATAACGCCTAGACAGTATGCTCGTTGACCATATTAATACATTTATATCAGTATTGAGCTTCCCCGAGTTATACATAGTAAACATAACCTTACCATTATGTTTTAAGTAAACGAAATCACTTGTTCTCCCCAAAACGTTTTTTTTTTTACCAATATGACTATGACGTTTTATTTAGTGGTTTATGTTAATATTTAATAACGTTATTGTATTACCTTTCAGTTAATTTTTTTTTTGTATAATGTATGTTGTTAAAAACGTATTTAATACGATAATTAATGTTTTAAAGTTTTATATTTTTACCACAATGCTAAAAGCTAAAAAGTTATTTCTTAAAACCCTTTAACAAGAGTGAGAAAGTGGATGGCTTTTTCATGCACGTAGGTAGAAAGTAGAACCTCGAGGGCGACGCGGTTTGGACTTGGTCAATCTCTTGTGTTTACATTACGCTTTAATCATTTAATAATGTCTTTACACTTATCACAATCAAACATCTAAAGTATGTATGTGCGTTTATACATATTTTACGTGTCAATATATCTATCATCCATTTTTCTCAAAAAAAATATATCTATCATCCACTCACCCCACTCCTGACTACATTAGCATGGGTGTGTCAATGTTGGGTGGTACTATAAAACTGTATCATTGCTTTTTATGTGTATTTTGTACTTATTACATAGCGTTTGATTTACTATTGGAAGAATATATCTAACGATAGTTAACAAATCTATCCCATCTATCTCGTATAGTCGTATATCAAAATTTATGGTCCAACACTCCAACTTTATGGAACTCTCAGTCGGATACTACAAAAATACGTAGAGAAGGATCTAGAAACATGATTTCACTTAACAATTTAAAATCTTTATGATGTCAAAAAAATACTTTATATTATCTTGATAAAAATAAAAGCGTATTAGGATAGTTTGGTTCAAAATTTAAGACCCTTTTTTGTTAAATAATTGTGTTATTGCTGTTATGTATGCTATGCATATATGTATGGAGACTTTTGAGTTATGAGTCATGAGACAAAATTATGTTGAGATTATAAAGTACTATATCTTTACGAAATTATAATAAAAAAGTGAAAAAGAATACAAGGAACAATTGCTAGTGGCGACTCTGATTTTCAACGAACCAAATCACAAGTTTATAATGATTTATATTTTTTGGCGCTATTATAAATCCGTGTGGCATCCACTATACTCACAAGGCTACAAACAGAAGTTTTTCAAGAAAAAAAAAGGATACAAACAGGAAACAGCAAAACAAAAAAAAAAGTTAATCCAAGTACCCGTTATATAAAAAAAAATATATAAGAAACGTAGAAAACGAGGGATTTTCTGAAGTACGGGGTATATATACATGATACATTTAGGAAAAAATGTCCTTGATTATGAGAAGAAATGATAGTCAAAATATTAAAATAGCCTGATGTGATTAAATAATATCAAAAGACAATAATGATAAGTTCGGGGACTGTAGGAGCTGAGGTCCATAACGCACTAATGTCCTATCACGTGACCGATTTTGTACATAGTTTACCTAAAGGGCAGGCAAATGGTCTTTTTTGATGTGTGTCTGTAAAGTTTAAGTCAAAGTACCTTTTTTATTGGGTTATAATTGACATCTACCTTTTGGTTCTAATTTTGTTTGTAATGCTTACTGCCTGAATATGATAGCTTAATGTACAATGACAAAAAATAATGTTATCATACTAGTAAATGATTCATTGTTCTCGTAATTCGGCTTAGGATTTATCTGTAAAAATAGTTACCAGTTAAAAAAAAATTGGCATTCTTTTCAATGAATTTATTAAGATTGTGTTCGTTGACTTCATAGTTATTGCAACAGACACAAACAAAACTTAATACGCGGGAGATGAACGGTCGAAACAGAAAATAAAGTATTATCCGGTTAAAACTCGCCGGCGTTTTAGTAGTCGTCGATTGAGGGTACCTAATTGTAACAATTTGGTTTATACGGAGTAAAATCTGTAATAAGAGTACTAATACAGGGAGTTATAAGTAAAACAAGTAGCTACGATAGAGAGAACACAAATGACCAGAGAAGGAAGCAGAGTAACATTCAAAAGCATATTCCGTCCAAAGTAACCGGCTACAGTAATCGTCACGTCAGCAATCACACGTGCGATCGTTCCCGCTTCCGTCGAAAGCAAACCTCCGTTATAAGTCCCTCTCGATAGCCTCGACGACATAACCCTCGAGAGCAAAGATAGATTAACACCTTGCAAAAAATCAAGAAAAGTTCAGATCAGAAGTTTTAAACCCTTTTCTTGATTAGTATCAGTCTTTTTTTTTTTGTACCTTCAAGAACTTCTGCAGAAACAAACATGATGAGTCCCGAGCAAACGTATTGTGGCACAGTGTACGGAACAATGACATGGAAGCTGAGAAGTATTCCGACACAAACCATAATCTCTGACACCAACAGAATTTGCCTGAGAACAGAACAAAGTTTAAGACTTTAGGGAAACGTAATGGAGAAGAAATCAGTTAAAACGGATTTTTTGCAAGTGAGAAACTTACCGGTCTTCGAACATGTTGCTTATATAGCTTCCAATGACGATGTTTACTGGAAGAACAGTGAGACCGAGACAAGCCAAGAAGATCGCAACCGAGCTCGTGGACCAACCGAAGTAGTAAGTTGTGATGACGCTGGATTCAGAGAGAAGAATCTCCATTGCATACTTAAGCATGAAGTATATCAATAGTTGAACCTGAAAAGTGAAAAACGCAATCAAATTGATCATCAAAATTTTTTACACATATTCAGTTTCACAGAAGTTAGAGTTTCAGGTTTTCATTTATACCTTAACTGAAGGTGTGAGTAATCTATAAGCAGCTACAATGGAGTTTGCAGGTGTACGAGAATCCTCAGAAGCATCTTCGCTCCCTTCTGCATCTTCAACCTGTTCTTCTATCTCCTCCGATGCAATCAGCAATGGCTCTTTGATGCCTTTCTCCAGATTCACATCTTGACCAGCTTCTATAACTCACACCAAAACAATCAGATATCGATAGCTTTCAATCACTCCCACCAAAGAGAGAGATAAAGGAATATAAACATATACCAGAGTTATTAGAATCCTTTGAAGTATTATGAATCTCCTCAGGCTGAAGAGCAGGCTCACGAAACGAAATAGCTAACCAGACCAAGTACATAAGCCAAGCAACGGCCATAACCCAACCAGGCAATGTATCTTGGTTAAACGTAAGCTTATAGATCTTGAATCTTGTTTGCAATAGACCAGCAAGTGCAGGACCACACGCCATTCCCAAAGAACTTGCACTAACAAAACCAGCTGAAGCCTGCATCCTGATCTTTAACGGTACACAGTCACTTATATATCTCCGGTTCACTGCTCTCGCCGATCCAAATCTGAAAAAAACACAACACGGCAAGAATTAAATGTAACCGGTTCTTAGGAGATTGGTTTATATATACAACTCTTCAAAGAGACTTACCCACAGAAAAGCCGGCCAATCAAGAGAACAGCTATTGAATTGAAGTCAAAAGCTAATGCATATAACAAGTTCCCAATGAAGAGGACAATGCTACTGAACACGAGCGGTTTGAAGTAGGATTTATTGGACCATGCACTGAAGTAAACCGAAGAGAATAGCTGAGCCACGGCCATGGCACCAATCACTACACCACAGACCGTAGCTGCTGCTCCGAGGCTCATGGAATAGTCATCTGCTGTAGGGACAATGATGTATGTATTGACCATATAGAGAAACGTGTTGACCAGATTCAACAAGAGAGACATGAAGTGATATCTCCCATCTTCTTCACCAGTTTCTTCCTCGTCTTGTGGGCTTGGTAACACTTCTTGCATAATAAACGCGTGCTGAGCCATGAAGTTTAGGAAGTTTGTTGAATGTGTTAGCCTATCCACTGCTGCTCTGATTGAGTCTACTACAGGGTCCTGAAGACGTAGAACAGGCTGATCATATATAGATAAGTAGCTTCCTTGATAGTTTTGAAGCTCGTGAAGGTTGCGAGATACAGCTCCAACAACAGCTCCAAGACCCTACAGAACAACATTAAGATCAACATTAGTTACACTTAGCAATTTAAGCTTACAATTATGTTTTATTCATACAAGGCTTTGCTTACCACATGTCTAAAGACTTGTTGAAGTTCAGAATATGGATGGTTAGCGCGAGTCTTGACATAATAGTTTGTGAATCTATAACCAAACCGTTTATCGAACTTCTTCAGTATCTTACGGATACCAATAGCATTCATCTCGACGAAATACAGAAGCTTGAGAAGATCTTGCCCAACAGCTCTATACTCATCTTTTAGATTAGATATCTGAGATATCTCTGGCTCTTCTTGGAGAGCATCATGCGACTCCCTTAGTCTCAGTAGCCTACTTGCAAGCAACCCTTGTTGCTCCAACATGAAAAGAGCGATTTTCTCTATCTGATATGCATTCAAAACTCAAAATATAACTTCAAGAAATCTCTACAGTACTTCTGTCTTAAGAACTAAAATTGATGAAAGAAATCAAGACCTGATTATCAAGCATCCTTGAGAAATCTTTAAGAACATGGCGGCGCTCTAGATTCCCTCCTTGTAACTGGCGACCATATTGATTCACTTTCTTCTTCATCAATTTGTAATTGATGTAATAACTACAATAGGATTGTGATTCACATTAGGAAAAACTTTGCTGAGTTTCTTTTTCTTTAAAGTATATATAAAAAAATTACCCTTGCCATTCTTGAATGCTCCGTTCCTTGAGCTTTTTCCCAAAGGCAACCATCTTCTACAGTATCTGAAAGAAAGTGACAGAGAAGAATCAGACTTGAAAAAAGAAATATCATACACTAATTCTGTTGATACAAGAAAAAGATTTGAGCTTGATCAGTTGATTGATATGTGTGTGTATATTCGTAATTTCAGATAGATGGTAAAATGATTGTTATGTGTTGATTCGGTCAACCAGATTCTCTGTTTCTGCTAAAGAGTCAAGTTTTTTCACTCAATGAGAAGTCAAAACTATGCAAAAGATTTCATTGATATGAATGATAAAATGTGTGTACCTCTCTTTTCTTAGCTGTTTCCGTTCTTCTGCTAGTTCTTAGATGAATTCAGATTCCGAGAAAACCCACCGATCTTTTTCATAGCAAAAGATGAGAAAAATCCGAACTTGTAAATGAAAAGTAAAGCTTAAGATAAGGCTCTAATGATGAATTTCACTTTCAGACTGTTTTTCGGCAGATTTCAGAAAACGGCGGGAAAGAAAGGCAACGCCGGAGATAGAAATTGTCGAGAAAATATCAATAAGTTTTTCAACCTCAATAAAAAAGGTTTGGAATAATTTCGCAAATAATGTAAATTGCTAAAGACTTGAATTGCGGAGGCTGCGCATCTACTAGAAATCACCAAAATTTCTCCCTCTTTTCTTATTTGGCTCCAATGGAAAAAGAAATGAGCGAAATCGCCCTCGTAAACATCAAAGAGAACACCTTTAGAAGAAAAAAAAATCATCAAAGAGAACAGAAAAAAAACCTATAATATTACGATAAGGACACAGAGAAAGATACAGTAATATTACCTCGAAAGTTGAAACACGAGAAATTCCCGAGAGAGAGACCAGATATTTTTTCAGTGGCAGCAAGCAAAATTACACAATTTTGCTCTAAACCTTATAAAATTTGCTGGGGATAGAATTGGGATTCGGTGAGAGAAGAAACAAAAAAACGAGAGAAGTGGAGAAGAAACCAAATAGGAAAATCCAGAGAAGAGAGTGTGTGTCTCTGAGCTATTTTCTGTGGTAAGTCACGTTGAACGTTTTTTATATACGAGTTTTAAAGGAAGCAGAGGGAGAGAAAGAGATCAGAGTTCCATCACTTGCATTGTAGGGTCCACTATCATTTGTCGGACCCTTCTCAATTGATTTTTTTTTTTAAAAAAAAAGTGAGATGATGAAATATCTTTGGTAACAAGGATTTTCTGTTGAAAATTCATTTTTTATGACAGCAGCATCAAAACAAAATATCTCATCCTTTGTTACAAAGATAAATGTTGTTTTTTTTTGGCCAGAAGATAATATCGAATTTCGGCATAAAAAAAAATAAAGGAATCACCTATTGGACAAACAAAAAGATGGAATCATAGGACAGTTGTGTCTTAAGTTTTGTTTCCTTTGATCATCACTATTTTCTTTTCAAAATAGTATGTTTGAGCATTTTCAACATAATTGGGGTGTACCGTCCTGAAACTCGCTGTATATACTTGCAATGAATCAAGCATTATACCATTCTATTGGCCCATAGACATCCATTGATGACCATGAGTCTCTTGTTGTCAAATGTCGTCATTCTTAAACATCCATTGATGACCATGAGTCTCTTGTTGTCAAATGTCGTCATTCTTAAACATCTCTTCTTTTTGTTATAGTTGGGTTTTGGGGGGGGGAGATTGATCATCTCTAATAGTTTTTTTTTTTGGTAAAATCTCTTATTATTTGAGCCATTAGTTTTCGTATAGGTCTTGTTACTCTTGTATGGACCAGGTGAATGGGAAATATGGTCCACATGCCTCCAATGTATGATCCCGAATGTAGTCCATTACGTATATGGCAAAATTAATATGAACATATAAGAGAAAGCAAAATGAATCTTTTCATTAGGAAAAATAGCAAAGAGAGATCATAACTTTAAAGTTTTGACTAGGATACCTTTTCGTTAATGAGATATGCAAAAATTGCAAGCTCGCTAGTTATGTCAGTTTTCATATAAAACTTTTGCGTCATATGATTTGTGTTATATTTATATATATATAAAAAATGATAACTTAAGCATCGATTCTTAAACACCAAGGAGTGCTTAGACAATTTTTTATAAAAATGAAATGTTCAAAAATATAATAACTTAAACATCGATGCTTAAACAAGCATTTTAAGCAGCAGTGCTTACCAGACACAATGCTAAAAAATAAAGATAATTTTAAATTAATAATTAAATAATACATAAACATTCTCTCTTTGAGTTGTTATCATTGAACATGGTCTAACTATTTTTTTTTCTATTAATGTAGCACATGTTAATTTAGCACGTAGATTTTGGCTTTTGCCATTACAATTTTTGTTAAGTTTCAACATCAAGGTATCCATTGTAGTTACCGTATTTGTTTTCTTCTCAACGTATACTACAAATATATAACAAAGCGTTTTCTTGTCTTTTTCTATTCAAAGAATATGATCTTAAAGTTAGAAAGCGTAATAATACTCCCTGTGAATAACATTCAGTACATAGGTTGATGACTAAGGATAAAACCCAAAAAAAAAAAAATCCAAGTTCCCATGTGACTGCAAGAAGTGTCAAAGGCTATCTGTGATCAACACACAGACAACAAACAAATTTTGTTGTCCATATAAAATACTCCATCACCAATATATAGAGAGAATATATGTGGTAGGTGGCATTAATGTGTCAGAGCCTAAAAGCCATGCATTCGTATGTGCTTTGAATTGATTTACATTTTCTCCATAATTCACACATCGAATTTGCTTTTAACATTTTTAAATACAGATGCTTAACTTCCCTATTTTCGTATAAGTTATAACAATGGGTTCTTATAGTTACTGGTCACGAAGCACATACACATGAATTATTCATATTTGAGAAGAAAAGAAAAAAAAAAGGAATCACTTCATAATAGATAGATAGATTTAGTGGGTCCTCGATCATAAAGTTTTTAGGTGAGGGTCGTTTCTTTTGAATGATTAGACGACAAACTACAATTTACTAAACTGTACTATATGTAGACCATAACTCTACATTATCACGTGGACAATAATTACTAATATGAACTATACATTTCTCCTCGCTGCTAATGGCAAATTTAATCTCCAGCGACATTTCACTTAGCTCGAAGTGGAGTAATATCGCATTTAGGGGAAAAAATCGCGTTTAAAAAATACACAGAGTGAGATATTAGACCATTTCCAATTGGGAGTTCTTAGTAGTAGTTTTTAAAAGTGTATGTATATAAAATAATAATAAATTATTAGAGAGGTTTCATTCACGCGCCACCACTTTCCTATTTTGTTTTTTCTTTTTCTCTTTTTCTAGTTTTGGTGGAAGGATCTAGAAACCCTACGAGTACCCACTATATAAATATTGTTCCTCCTTCACTGAGCTTTCTCTTTACAATCAAAGACTAAAACCCTTGATTTCGTCTTCCTCGCTCTGTTTCTTCGCCTTCCGAATCGTTAAAAAAATCCCAACCTAAGCTCCGGGATCGTGATGTCGGACACTGAGACGTTTGCTTTCCAGGCTGAGATCAATCAGCTTCTCTCCCTTATCATCAACACCTTCTACAGCAACAAGGAGATCTTCCTTCGTGAGCTCATCAGTAACTCCTCCGATGTGCGTATTCTCTCTCAATCTCTTTCTCTTTTGTTATTAGGTGTTTCTTGTTTCGTGTTTCGTGTTCTGATTCGTTAGACGAGTAGATCCATTGATGAGTATTGGTGTTGAGAGTTGTATTGCTAATCTGTGAAGTAAGTTAGTTTGTTGAATCTTAGGATTAAGATCCAGTTCTCTTTTATCCATCGGGCAATTGCTTTAGTTTATCGACTTCCATCTTTCGATTTGTTTGGTTCGTTTTATCTGCCGATTGAAATTTAGTCGAATCTACACAGATTTGAGATCTGTTGCATCGTTATTGGGTCTTGTTTCTAAGAGTGTTGCTATCATTAGAGTGCACGATATGGATTTGTTTCAACTTTAATCTTGTAAGCTCAACGTCAAATCTGATGTTTTTATCTTTTCTGTTGAATAGGCTCTGGACAAGATTAGATTCGAGTCTTTGACTGACAAGAGTAAGCTCGATGGCCAGCCAGAACTCTTCATTCACATCATCCCGGACAAGAGCAACAACACCTTGACCATTATCGACAGTGGTATTGGGATGACCAAGGCTGGTAAGTTTTATATTATGGGAAGAGAATACTCTCTTTGCTTTGATGTTTCGACTGTTTTAACTAAGCTTGTATTGTATTTGCTGATGCTTGATTGTTTTTCTTCTGTACAGATTTGGTCAACAACTTGGGTACAATTGCCAGGTCTGGCACGAAGGAATTCATGGAGGCATTGGCTGCTGGTGCCGATGTCAGCATGATTGGACAGTTTGGCGTTGGTTTCTACTCAGCTTACTTGGTTGCCGAGAGGGTTGTCGTCGTCACAAAGCACAACGATGACGAGCAGTATGTGTGGGAGTCCCAGGCTGGAGGATCCTTCACTGTGACCAGAGATACCTCTGGTGAGGTCCTTGGTAGGGGTACCAAGATGACTCTTCACCTCAAGGAGGACCAGTTGGAATACCTTGAAGAGCGCCGTCTTAAGGATTTGGTCAAGAAGCACTCTGAGTTCATCAGCTACCCTATCTCTCTTTGGGTTGAGAAGACCATCGAGAAGGAGATCTCAGATGATGAAGAAGAGGAAGAGAAGAAAGATGAGGAGGGAAAGGTTGAGGAAGTAGACGAGGAGAAAGAAAAGGAGGAGAAGAAAAAGAAGAAGATCAAGGAAGTGTCTCACGAGTTTGATCTTGTCAACAAGCAGAAGCCTATCTGGATGAGGAAACCCGAGGAGATCAACAAGGAGGAATATGCTGCCTTCTACAAGAGCCTCAGCAATGATTGGGAGGAGCATTTGGCCGTCAAACACTTCTCTGTGGAAGGACAGCTCGAGTTCAAGGCAGTTCTGTTTGTCCCCAAGAGAGCCCCATTCGACCTCTTTGACACAAAGAAGAAGCCCAACAACATCAAGCTATACGTTCGCCGTGTCTTCATTATGGACAACTGTGAAGAGATCATTCCTGAATACCTTGGATTTGTGAAGGGTATTGTCGACTCCGAGGACCTTCCTCTCAACATCTCGAGAGAAACTCTCCAGCAGAACAAGATCCTGAAGGTGATCCGCAAGAACCTTGTGAAGAAGTGCATTGAGCTTTTCTTTGAGATTGCTGAGAACAAGGAGGACTACAACAAGTTCTACGAGGCATTCTCCAAGAACCTGAAGCTCGGAATCCACGAGGACTCTCAGAACAGGACCAAGTTTGCAGAGTTGATCCGTTACCACTCCACCAAGAGCGGTGATGAGTTGACAAGTCTGAAAGACTACGTGACCAGGATGAAGGAAGGCCAAAACGACATTTACTACATTACTGGTGAGAGCAAGAAGGCCGTGGAGAACTCTCCTTTCCTCGAGAAGCTCAAGAAGAAGGGATATGAAGTCATTTACATGGTGGACGCCATTGATGAGTACGCCATTGGTCAGCTCAAGGAGTTTGAGGGGAAGAAGCTAGTCTCCGCCACCAAGGAAGGCTTGAAGCTCGAGGAGACAGAAGACGAGAAGAAAAAGAAGGAAGAGCTCAAGGAGAAGTTCGAGGGTCTGTGCAAGGTGATTAAGGATGTATTGGGTGACAAGGTCGAGAAGGTGATTGTCTCTGACCGTGTTGTTGACTCACCTTGCTGTCTCGTGACCGGAGAGTATGGTTGGACTGCTAACATGGAGAGGATCATGAAGGCTCAGGCTTTGAGAGACAGCAGCATGGGTGGATACATGTCAAGCAAGAAGACGATGGAAATTAACCCAGAGAACTCGATCATGGACGAGTTGAGGAAAAGAGCCGACGCAGACAAGAACGACAAGTCGGTAAAGGATCTGGTCCTCCTCCTGTTCGAGACTGCTCTGCTCACCTCTGGATTCAGTCTTGACGAGCCAAACACCTTCGGAAGCAGAATCCACA